CTAAAAATTAATGTAACTATTGTGAAAAAAGGTAATTAAAATTACAACATATTGTTTAAGTATAATTGAAAACTCTCCCACGTCTATGGATTCAAAAAACAGAACATATTTAATTTATATTAGAAGTAAGTAGATTTTTATTTTTCGTTTTAAATTATTTTGAAATCGTTGGTTCTCGTCACACAGAAATAATTTACCTTATACAAACAAATCATGGTACCTACGCGCGTATAATTATAGAAGTATAATTTTTGATGAGAAGGACGTTTATTATATACTAGTGATCATCTAAACAGATATATCATCCATGTTTGATCATAGACAAGATATAATACTGTAAAAAAGTCAGTATAAATTTATATATTGTTGTTTGATTTAACAATAATTCAAGATGGTTATCAAAAAACTTAGTTCTTCAACTATAGTTTAATACTCATGATCTTGAAATGATAGCAATATCTTGGTGTCAATGCTATCTACTCAAAGAACCCACAAATTAAAGAAAACTTAAAACAAAACTTTGCCAGATCTTAATATGGATATGATATATATGAGCTTACAAAAAGCTGAAGATCACACTTATATATCAGTGACATCTCTACTACCAAATAGGTCTATGTGCCTATGTTTTACAGAAATTTTTTTCAACAACAACTGCAAGATATACCAGAAGGGAAAAAGTTAGTATTATAGACGTAAATTCAGGTGAATGAAAAATTAAAATTTTCAATTAAATTAGTGTTTGGTTATGTAATATACTATTAAAACCATGTAGCGAAATCAGGTCTTTACACATCATCTACTTTTAGATTATAGATAGCCGAATCATCATATCATCATGATATTAATATACAAGCGCCAGCTAGATACTAATTTTGTATATATAGATTAATTCACGATGATACAATTGAAAGTTGTAGAATTGATCAAAAGTTGCATACTATATATAAGACTACAATAATTGTAGATCTTGGAGTTGGGAAGAAAATGTTTATTCAAATCAATAATCTAATATTCAGATGATACAGAATGGTCAATTTAATGACAGTGAATCATACGTGAATAGATTAGTATTGATCAAGAAGTTCTGAAGTTAAATAAAGAGGTGTTCATCATTTGATAGTGTATCCTCAATTACTTCAATTAATTATAAGTCTTAGTGAGAGTTCCAGTAGAAGATTTCCACTCAACATACAACGATCCTGGGTTCAAACTTTTTCCCAAAGGGAGTATCAGAGCATGCCAATACAATTTAAAGTGATGACAAAAAATTCTAATAGTAATTGAATTCTAGATCAGTTTCATACTTAAATTTTAAAAGAGTGAATGAAATTTAGAAAATTGGTGGTTAATGGTTAGAAGCCCTGAAGAGAGGGGGGTTGAAACTTGAATTTCTCAATGGCTAATTTTATTGAACAAACATTATATAAGCATTGTGCGTGTGCTTAGTCATATAACTCTGTTTAAATGAGTATATAGTAGTATTAGTAGACAATAAACTTTGAAGTAATAATTTAATTTTATTTAATAAATTATTCTCTATCTATTACTATCATCATTATATACCCATCTATAGTATTGTATTTCAATGTTCAAAGTCTGGAACAAAAGTGCAAAATGGAGGAAAATAAAATACCACCAGAAGAAAATTGAAAAATATATTTTAATTGGTTATGTAAGCGTTAGATATCAACAATATGGCTAGAACGATCATCTATTTACCGCTCATAAAAACTTTACAATCAACTACATATAATTCCATAATTATTAGTGAGAAATTGAAAAACCATCTTAGAAATTGGCAACTTAAAATTGGAAAACAACTTTATCAATTGCTGTTTATTCATATGTTCAATATTCATGTTTACATATTAATCAGATCATGGTTTTCAGAATTGTGAAGTTTAAAGAAAAAAGAGGTGATTATATTTCATCAAATTATGAATGGTTTATTTATATAATCGATTCATGATTAATCATCATGATGTAATTATATATATTAAATGTGATTTTAGTTTTTATTCAAGATATTTCAAGTTATTTCTTAAAAGCTATAACATGACAAGAACAAGACTCTTTAACTAATTAAGATACTTATGTGAAGAGATGGATAAGTTAAATCAAATATAGATTGGTTATTATTTGTACTGCAATCATAAGGTTCATTATTTAAATCAATGAATTCAAAATTACAGTCTATTACTTGCATAACTGAAAACACTTCCATTTCAACCATCAATTCGATAATTTGAAACTCAATACTATCAACAGATCCATAAATACATGATTATGAACATGATCTATATTTGATTTAATTTATTTTGATGAATTCAAACATCTGGATTTGATTCTAAATCTGATGAATATAATTGATTATCATATAATGAAGAATTAGTTGTGGTGATTGTTATTATTTTTCAAGGTCAATGTATTGTATTTTCATATATAGTTAACGGCATGATGTTGAACAAAAGTGTATTGTTATATAGTTAATGAATTACTTTTTGTAATATTAGGATGACTTGGAAGCGATCAAATGTATAGACAAACAAACAAGTTAAATTTCATATACTAGCGCTACAGTATAAGTTCTTATGATATTTGCGAAAAAATTGTTTATTGAATCAATGTTTAAACTAATATTCAGATGATACAGAATGGCCAATTTAATGACAATGAATCATACATGAATAATTAGTATATCGATCATATTTAAAAGTATATCATATGATACAGCTTATATGGAAATCAAGTTTTTGGATTATTAAACTAATATTCACACGTTCAGTAGTACAATATCATGATATAACATTATATAGTTAAGTTAATGTTCTATCATATTTGAATAAATAACCAACTCACCACAGGAGGACTATGTGTCATTAACCTAAAAAAAGTATTCACAAACATTATAAAAGAACCATAAATACCAACATATTATACCAAAGGTGTCAAATTTTGAAGGCAAATTTTTGCTTTTATATATAATAATTTTGGAAAATGGTTCTCGACACACGTAAATTCTTATCAAACACCTACAAACTTCAAAGTAGTAACTACGTTAATTGATATCATAAAAATGTTTATATTATATACTGTTCATCTAATCAGATGTATCATCCATGTTTGATCATAGACAAGATATAATGCTGCAAAAGAGTCAGTATATTTTAATATGCTATAATGCTTCAATATTTCAACATATGGAGGATTAATTTAACTTAGTTCTTCAACTAGTTTAATACTCATATGATCTTTGAAAATTAAATAGATATAGCGATGTTTTCTTCAAATTTTCTTCACGGCCTTATGATTGATGAAAATAAATGATACGCAAATCAAACAAAGTTCACTTTCAACTGGGTCTTAACTTATTGCTTTGAAACATTAAATGAAGAATTTTTTTGGTTACCAACTTGATCATTTATTCTTTATCAGTTAAAAGATTTTCAAGAAAATTGTTACTCATCATAATTCAAATGTTCTCATCATCAATTTTTTTTGTGTTATTACAAAATTTGGGTTTATAATGAATAATTTCATGTTTGTGCTAAATATATCTGGAAGCAATTCAGGTAAAAAAATTGAAAATTTATATCATTTAAAATAAGTGCTTGATTATGTAATCTCTTATTAGAACAGAATATCAGTGAATTAATATATTATTAGCGAAATTTCAATATTTTTAGTATTTTATACTTTAAGAACACAGCACAAAAGATGAATTTCGAAGATGGGTTTAATGATCAAGATATTCATATCGTTAAATAAGATACATCAATTAAAATAAAAATTCATTGAATCCCACCATTAAAATTAAATAATAAACTAATTGTACACATTAAAAAACAAATCCTTTTTAAAAAAAATATATATATTTTTTTTGTTTATAGTTACTAAACACACACTAGATTAAAATTAAATCTAATCAGCGTTACGTTTAGCAGCATGTTTAGCAGCACGTTTACCAGTACCGAAAGTTTTCTTGTCTCTGTTTTTACGTTGTTTTCTTTGTTGTCTTGAAGCTTTTTCAACTTTATCAGCTAAACCGTATCTAACTAATCTGTAAGTTGGTTCAAATTTTTTAGCATCAGCAACAGAGTTGTAAACTAAACCGAAACCAGTTGATTTACCACCACCATATTGAGTTCTGAAACCGAAAACTGAAACAGCATCTTTATCAGCTTTGTAAGTAGCAGCTAATTTTTCTCTTAATTCATCTTTTGAAACATTAGCTCTGTTTGGATGTAAAACATCAACAACAAATTGTAATCTAGCTAATAAAGGGTTTGAAATAACTTTTCTAGTTCTGATAGTAATAGCGTCACTCTAAAAGAAAAAATCAATGTTAGTACTGGGTTCTATTAAATCATGGAAGAGAAGAGCAAAGGAAACTCCATGATAGCCCAAAACACGAAATTTATCTCTTTGATAAAATCGTTATAAATATATAGTGAAGAATTTAATGAAAAACTTCAAATTCACATAATAAAAATTTATCTAGAGCCTGAAATCAATATGAAAGAAGTAAATCAGATGTATGTCATTGTAATGCTAAAGTAGAACATTATTGTATCAAAGATCATATGAATGAAAATAGAATAATCATAAGAAAATCTTTATGATAAATCTTATCCTTATTATTCTATATTGAAAAAATTTCAATCCTTCATATAAAAAAATCTCTTTCAACAAAAAAAGAATCCCTTCAATAACAAATCATCATACTCTGTTACTCTTCCCTATTGATCTCATAGCTCTTCTCTTTCGATCATTCATCTATAACTTACCATTTTGATATGGATTTTCTGTGGTATGATAATTCTTCTATATTGGAAAGAGTTGAAAAGAATTGATTTTAATAAATTTCAATAAATCTTTGTCCCAGACTCCCAGTGTTTGTTCGAGTGAATGTTCGCGAATTTTGAAAAAAAAATTTGGAAAACTGAGATGTTTGGATGTTTTAGCGAATTTGAAGAAAACAGTCACAGAAATTTAAAAAGTATTATCGCGAAATTGTATTATGTGTCAAATGTGAAGTAGTTTGATATTTGATGGAGTAGGTGTTGATTTTTAACTATAGAGTTGATGTTGAGGTAATTATAGTCTTTAGGTAGTTGATGTCTGTGTGAGATGAGCGGCAAATGGAGTATTATATGATTATTAGGATTGGATTAGTGGAATAGTAGCTGTTATATAGCTGCACATGGTTTATAGTAGTTACTCCAGATCTTGACATGAGTTATTTGTGGATCAGTTATTTTAAGTATCAAGACTCAACATGTATTACAAGACCAAGTTTAATAATTCTACAATTTCCAACAAGATCAGTTAATTAATCCCAAAATCATAACACACGTCATTATAAAACACAAAACTATATAAAGAATATTTAATACATCATAGTTAAAAAACCAAGAGCTCTAATTATGCTTCAAGATTTTTAAACAGTTTTTTTATTAATAGCAATTCTAACACCTTTAACTTGAGTATAGTTATCTAAAGCATCAGCACCCATTTCTCTACCAATACCTGATTCACCATAACCACCAAATGGAACTTGTTGATGGAAATCATTATAAGTATTAATCCAAACAGTACCAGCTTTAATTCTGTTTGAAACATCAACAGCTTTATTTAAATCTTGAGTATGAATACCAGCAGCTAAACCATAACTAGAATCATTTGCTAATTTAACAGCTTCATCAACAGTGGAGAATTTTGAAACAGTAACAACTGGACCGAAAATTTCTTCTTTAACAATTCTTGAATCTTCTTTAACATCAGCAAAAATAGTTGGTCTGATGAAATAACCTTTTTGATTTAATCTTTCACCACCTGCAATTAAAGTAGCACCTTCAGCTTTACCAATATCAACATATTGTAAAATTTTATCAACTTGCATTTGTGAAGTTTGAGCACCTTGGAAAACACCTTCTTCAAATGGATTACCAATTTTTAATGATTCAGAAGCTTCTTTAAAAGCTTTTAAAACTTCATCATAAACACCATCTTGAACATAAATTCTTGAACCTGCACAACAAATTTCACCTGAATTAAAGAAAATACCAGTAATTAAACTTTGAACAGTTTGTTTAATATCAGCATCATTGAAAACAATATTTGGTGATTTACCACCTAATTCTAAAGTAACTTTTTTCAAATTTGATTCAGCAGCAGCTTTCATAATATGACGACCAGTAGCAGTTGAACCAGTAAATGCAACTTTTTTAATTTTTTGATGAGTAGCAATTCTTTCACCAACAATTTTACCAAAACCTGGAATAATATTAACAACACCAGCTGGGATACCAGCTTCTTGAACTAATTTAGAAACGTATAAAGCAGATAAAGGAGTAGCTTCAGCTGGTTTTAAAACAACAGTATTACCAGTAGCTAAAGCTGGACCAATTTTCCATGACCACATTAATAATGGGAAATTCCATGGAATAATTTGACCACAAACACCAATTGGTTCTCTTTTAGAATAATTGAAATGAGAATCACCAGTTTCAATAATACGACCATAAACTTTATCAGCCCAACCTGCACAAGATCTAATATATTTAGCAACTAAATTAACATCATATTTAGCACAGAATAATGATTTACCATTATCTAAAGATTCAATACCAGCTAAGATTTCAGAATCACGTTCAATTAAATCAGCTAATTTGTATAAAACTCTACCTCTAAATTCTGGATCAGCAGTTGACCAAGTTGAATCAAAAGCTTTTTGAGCAGCTTCAACGGCAATTTCAACATCATCTTCTCTTGCTTCATAAATGTGTAAGATTTCTTCTTCAGTTGATGGATTTATAACTTCAAAAGTTTTATGTTGTCTTGATGGAACGAATTTACCATCAATAAATAAACCAGTTGGTTGATCATAAGTTATACCATTTGGTAAATCAATTTTAACTGATAATGGAATTGTTGAATAATTTCTTGATGCTTTTAAAGATAACACAGAAATGTTTCTTAAAGCAGTTGTAGTTTGTAATCTAAACATTTTTGCTTATATTACTTGATATCAATCAGTTTCATACGTTCAATGGGATATCTGACATGGGAATTGAATTTAATTTATACTCATCATCATTCAAACGATTCAAATCTTTGGGTAAGTAATTTGGGTATATGTTTCTTAAGTCCACAAGTGGGGAAGTCTATTACTAGCATGGTAAGGCTAAAATTACCTAGTACATGTAATTCCAAGCGTATTAAAATCTTCTCAGTTGTTGTCCATTAAGTTTACGTATTTTTGCTTCTTATGTGAAACGGTTTAAAAATTTGTTAACTCCAGTCTCGAATTTTCCGTAATATAAAATCTGGACTTAGGGTATACGGAATCCTAGAAAGAACACGGTTATCAATACTAGAAGGAATTTTAAACAGTACGGCTGAGTCCTGACTCTTTTGCGAAGGTAGAAGTGTAGGACTGCGATGGGTTTTGGTTTATCCGTTGAGAGTAAAGAAGACAGTGTACATAAGTTACCAGTCAAAGCTTGATTATACCATGATCTCTACTGGATAAGGTTTCGAGAAGAGATAGCTCTAATCTCCAGACCTTCAAGAGATGCTAGCCTATTAACCCACACAAAAATCCATTAAAAACTCCAACGCAAAAACTCAAAAACTACGGATTAATAATTCTTGTCTTTAGGGGTATCTAGAAGAGGGGAAATCATGCATATGTTTCAACGGCTTCAATCAAATTGTAATCAGATTCCGAATTTTGGTAGAGGCGAAGAGTTTATGTTTATGTAATTATTTAGGCTCAGTTCTAAACACCAGTGGGGCGGTAGACAGGCGGTAGAGAGCTAGGCAGAGGGACCTTTAGAGGGATCTTTAGAGGGACCGATCATGGAGTTGAGTAGTTGAGTACAAGGTTGTGAATCGTGGTTAATATGCTCTATATGAGACAAAGTGGGTTACAAATGTTCATCTCAATAAACTCAATTGCTCTCAAGTCTCAATCCACATTGGTCTTGTACTATTTGTAATTGGCTCTAATCACTTAAATACATTGAGATCAAGTACTTTTGAAAATTGAATCGGCAATTTTGCGGCCAGCTATATACAGATACTCTACGTTTGACTTATAATAGCTTATAGCTTGTAACTTGTAAGTTATAACTTGAGCCTTTTTTTGATTCCAATTTCCCCCGCTCGAAACCAAGAGTTTTTTTATCTTCTCTAATTTACAAACGTAAACAGCTTTCAATTTACGGTTGCAATCAAATCAGAATAGTTTAAGATGCGTGTAATCTTAACACCGATCTTTCAACGTATCAACTAATAATCGATACCATGTTCTTAATATTTGTACTATAAAGAGGTATTTGTTCTTTAACTTCATGAGGTGAGCTCTCCTCCCAACGATGAGAACCCCAGTGCAAAAAAACGGATTTTCTGTGAAAATTTGTCAGAGTGAATGCTCTTTTCGTTATTCGTTGGGTTTGTGTACTAAAGCCGTACTTTGGTAAATACAAAATTTCTAAACTCCTGGTCTACAAACAAGTTTACAAGATTGATGTAAGTTCTTAAAGCCAGTACTGGAGAATACATCATGGGTTTAAAGAAGAGCGGCTGGAGCCTGATTGTTTATGCTCTAGCCTCTAACACAGAGAGCATATACGTACAACGTTAATTCTATAATTAAAGATCTAACCTTTACAAAAAAATCTATACTAGTAGACATCAATATTATATACACATTCAAACTTGGATAAGCTGGTAACACCATTCTCAATCCATATATCATTAATCATAACACAAAATTCACATGGATGTAAACATTTCTTGTCAAAAAAGATAGACAAACCTTTGAACTTCTTGGACACCTCTTCTAATTTTCCAGGGGTCAATTTCAAATGCTTAATTATGCTGAATATTACCGAGATCTCATAAACGTTTTGAAAATAATTCAGCCATACCAATTCACGTTGAATGTAATACTTCAAGTAGCATATACCCATATACCGTTCATAAATCAGCCGTTCCAAACTCCAGTGCTGAATCCAATGATTCTGTAAAACTAATTATCTTTTCCATCTAAAACGTTCAGCCTTTCACATTTCTAAAAAAGATTGATCAACTGTAATAACGTCTTTTCATTTCTCTATATCTATTCAAGAATACTAAAGCTTCCATTTCTAACTCAATTCAATTAGTATTTATCAATTACCTAGATAATAATCAAATAAACATACCTTTATAAACAAATTCTCCCTTTTCCAAAGCCTTATCAATATCTTGACTTTCAAGATCTTTGTTCTTCATGAATGCTGTATGTAATTTTGTTTTAAAATAATCATAACCTTGACTATATGGTTCAAATTTGTTAGTTATATGTGGCATTGGCAGCACCTTTGTATATTGGACTTACGGATAGTCTTTCCCAATATATAATAGCTTCTTATAAAGAGCTCGTACTCTTGGATCCATTGTGATAAGTTTCGATAAAATTGAATTGAGTTGAATTGTTGAAGTTGTCGACACAAAGTACGGGAAAAGATCAAATGTTATTAACGAAAATAGAGGTCGCGAATTTTAGATTTATTCTTCAAGACCAAATTCAACAACAACATTAATTCAATACTATTCAAATACAAGACTTATTTATACCAGATTGAGATTGACAGAAGAATGGATATGATTGGTATTGCTGCTATTCAATGGAAGTGAATTATGTGGCTTGATCTCGTTGAGTTCTTTATTTGAAGCAACGAGTAACCGCTGAAGAAGAAGAAGAAGTACAATTAACCGCTGATGTTATAGATGCTCAAGATTCACAGAGGTTGTAAAGAGTCTCATTTAATATTGGAATCTACCTTGAATATTAAATGCTTAACAGAATAACAGTCCAATAGTTTTATTATTTATTCGTTGTTTTGGTGATGGATTTGTGGTTGTTATTGTTACTTATCTTTTATATTTTGATTTTGTGATCATATTTACAAAAAAAAATTGAGATTTTGTTTAAACATATAAGAGATTCTTTAGGAATACCACCCTAGACATATGAAATAATCAAGAGAGTTTTATATTACACATCACCTTATTTTTGCTATTTTATCAAACAAACAGAAACACTAATATTTGCTTTATTCCTACAACAAAAACCCTTGATTCTTTATGATCCAAAACTTTACATTATGAGGCTTCCTTCTGAAATTCTTTTTATATTTGCTTATCATGCTGTTCCTGAAATCTTGGAATTTGATCTATTAAGATCTCCACCAAATAGAGATGATGAAGTTATATCAAAGAGTGTTGTTGAAGAGATATTACTGGTTGCAGAAATTCCAGAAGTAGAGTCAATCATTAACGAATGTGGTTTACGTTCAAAACTTAAATACCCACTAGATTATGGTCTTTATAGTGAATTTTTAATTAGAAGACTGCGAGGAAAGCTCCATTATCTCAACAAAACAGTGCCAACAAATTTTCATGAGTTTATGCTATGGTTAAGTTGTGACATAAGATCTGTTGTTTCTATTGATGGAAAACTTGAGTTGAAGTCTCCGATAAGTAGGAAATTGAGCACAATTGAAAAAAGTTATGCTATTTTGATGAAATCTAGATCAATTTTGATTACCATTGCTCCCAGGAAGGGTTTTAACTTGAATCCCAACAAAGAGATAAAGACCTTTTACATAACAGTTCCAAAATCTGCTTTAGTTTATGTCGATCCAGATGATATTTTCAACGAGGAACTCAATCTTGATGTACTAGAAAGTCTTTTATCTAATTTAAAATTATTGAATGCTGATCAATTTGGGCTTTCTTTCTTGAGTTACAATATCGAGGAAAGTCATTCATCAAATTCCAAAGATTACGAGGGCCTGAAATATGAGAATACGTTGGTATGTCGAGAACCCTACAAGGAATCTGATGGAACTTATAAAGGTTTTGATAATCGAGTTGAATTTCATTTGAAATTATTAAGAGAATATCACAAGAACCCAAGTAACGTCAAAGAGTCAAGAAACAAACAAATGTAAAATTAATCGATGTCAAAAAATCAAATTCCAGTGATATGAAGCGAAGAAAAGATCACAACATGCTTTACACTGAAGAATCAAGAGACATAAAGTTGGTCATTGAATTTCGAGATCCATACTATTTAAGCAGAAGATATAAAATTAAAAGTACAGTTAAATTAATCAAAATTACATTATGCTCACTCCCTGCTGATCGAATTGCACTCTTAAATGCTATGGTGCTCTTTAATGATGATTTCCAATATGATTTTACATTGATTGATATATTGAACGTTGAACTTAATGAATGGTTAGGTTTGAATTTACCTGAAGATTATTTTATTGGTAGAATGGATCAAATTAGAAAAACAAATATTGATAATGACATAGACTTTTATATTAAAAAATGGTTAAAACTCAAACACAAAACAATGTATCCTGTATCAAGGCATCGTTTGAGGGAAAAGTTACTTTCAAATGGATTTTACATTAAATGACTAGACCTGAGCAGCGGCTTATGGACTCACCAGATATACGTCAAGATTATGAACCAGTTACTTCATCTGAAAGCTTCAATTTCATCTTCAATAGAATCCAGCAATTAGCAGCTACATGAAATTATATTTATAACCAAAACCCGTTATGGTAATGCCAATTAAGAGTGTTAGTACACAATACATATTAATTAACCATATTATATATGGAAAAAAGAACATTGAAGATATAAGTGAACTACACTAATAATTGTATGAAGTCAATTTCAGTATTATTTCGCCGTCATTGTTTTATATATTTAGGTATAATTAGCAATATTTCCTTGTAGTCTCAAGTTTTATAGCAAATTGTTCGAGTATTATGTTCTATCAGAGAATAATATATAAGATGTAGAAACCTGTAACTGCTGGACATTTAGTTTTAAGTTTTAGTGAAAAACTGTCTACTCTCTTCGAACAAGGGTACAGTGACTTTAAAGTTTCTCTTTTGTCCATATTTTGAAACTAGTTGGGACCATTTTGAAGTTGGATGTGAATAAATTGAACTTAATGCAATTCCATGATTATAATATTTAGAATTTATTCTTTCCACTTTTCTACCAAATGTTGTATCATAAAAATGTTGATTTGGAAGATGAATTAATTCACAAAATGAACAATATGATGAATTAAAACCAAGTTGTAGCCCATTCAAATAATTTTGATAGATATGTTCCGGTGATAACTCAACAGTATCTGGTTTTGATTTATAAGTGTCATAATATCGTGAAGTTGATGACGAAGATGGAGAAAATTGAGATTTCAGTTGTTCAGCAAATTGCTTCCTGTGTTGTAATTTGTTTCTATATGCTTCATTTTCAACAATTTCACCTGATCCTTTAGGTAATTCCAACTTATAAAATAATTCACCAAAATTCCCCATATCAAAACGAATATTTCCTTTTTTGGGATTTGATGGTAATGGAGTTAATGATAAATGAAGAAGTTCATTAACTTTTATTCTTGATTTATCATCAAGAACTGTAATACTCAAGGCTTCTTCAACAAAAGAATAGTTAATAAGATTGAAATAAGAGTTGGCAATTTCATCCTCTGAAGTTGTGTCCATTCTTAAATGTTCAAATTTATAGGCAAGCTTTTGTTGCAAGAAGGCCATTTTTTGATTGTCATCTTTCAGCTCAAATTTGGCACGATCTTCTTCATTTGATTTCTCATTCTCAACTACTTGTAAAATTTTCATCAACTCAAGATTAACTAGCTTATCATCTTTAGTTATTGCAATAGATTGGATAGCTAAAAATAAATCGTGTAAATTATCCATGTATGGTGTTAAAACGTTCAATTCAAATGTTTCCACATGACGTGGTCTAAAGACTTTCCAATTAAACTCATCATAAAATAAAAATCTTAGATATTGGTCAATTTCACAAACAAATTTGGCAATTAAGTTGATAACGATCTTTTCAGGTATCACGGTATCAATTGGTAATTCTGTAGTTGTTTTTAGTTTATAGTCGCTAGTGCAAGTGATGATATGACCTAATTCTAATGTATCGAGATCGTTGATAATTATTAGCCATTTTTCCAAAGATTCAGAGTGTTCTGAAGGAGCAGGATTGAATATCAGACTTGTGATTAGTTGTTGCGCTGGAATGATGATTTTTTTGTAATTTGGTTTGAATGTTGTTAGATCTTGTGTAATATTGACTTGAGTTAATGTGTTGAAAATTTCGTTTCTAAGCTCATTGATATAGCTTCTACCGTTAAAAAAAGTATTATGAATCTTTGAGATATCAATCTTATATTTATAGCTTAACCTTTTCACTATATTCTTGCACTCTGTTTTAATCTTCTTTGTTGATAATTGTATAATGGTGCGAATCAAATGGATTGTTGCCAGCGTGTTATTCACAGGGATCTCATTGGAATCATTGTTGAGATCAGAGTAGCCATCCAAAGTGTCATGATTGTTGGAGTTATGAGAAACCATGGCTTTATCTATTGATTTAAATTCTGGAATGTCATTGGGGGTGAAGATTGAGATTTTGATCAAGTTATTCGCGGGTATAGTTTGAAGGATTTAATCATCTTCAACATTTGATAATCTGATCTCCACGCTTTAAGACTTACGACAGCCAGGAGGGCGCTTAGATCAAGGATTGTCAGGACAGGGAACATTCAATGGTATGATACGGTTCAACTTATCAAATACTTCAGAAATGTTGTCAATTGCTAGCCGCTATGGATAGTACGTAGTAGGTACTTCACGGATCATTTTTTCGGCTCGCTAAATTTTTTGTGCTCTGAACAGGACGTACCTAAAAGTCTCGAAATATTGTTAGAAGACACACCATATTAAAATTTAAAGATATGTCAAATATGTGTGATTAAAGTCGACCCATATAGGGAATTGGGATTATAAGAAGGCCACACAGTGTAGATATATTTTGATACAATCATCGCATACATCTACGCTGAATCTTTGGCATACTGAATTTTAAATGAAAACTTGTTTTTATGTATTAAATGAAAATTAAATTAGAATGTTTTTATTCTCAAAAGCTCACATGTAATTTCAAAACCCATGTAATAGAACTTGAATAATTGTTTAAATATTTATATGATGTAATTAGTTGATTATAACTGTTTAAGCCCTTATTCTTAAGATGAAGTTGACAACAACTGCAACTAATAAGAAGAAACATAACATAGTTGGACCAAATCTATCATCATATGGACCACTACCTCTTTTTCTAATAGCAACAGCTCTCCAGTGATACGTTATTAATGCATAAACCATTGTAGCCATTGCGACTAATGTGAATAAACCAGCACTAACTCTACCAACTTTATCACCAAAGTTTAATAAACCAACACCTAAACCACCTAATATCACTGTGAAATTTAACCATGATAAAAATGTACGTTCATTAGCAAAGAAAACTTTTGGTTCAACTCTTGTTGGAAGGGCAATTCTTTTACCTATTGAAAAAGTTAGTCAATAAAGTTTCTATTAAGTTTAGAATGAATAATACTCACCTGGTGTAGTTTGTAATAAAGGATTTGAAGACATTATGTGATATTTTTATATAGCAAGGAATCTGGGGCAGCTAAATTAAAAGAATGACAATTGGTATGAATTTTTTGCAAACCTTCTATTGAAAAACTTTTGATATACTCTTGGAATTGAATAATATGAATATGTTCACAATAATGAAGAAAGTAACTGCTTTTTATTTGAAAATCAGTAATCGAATTGGTTGCATGGCTGCTGTTTAGAAAATGCGAGTAAAATTAAACCAGTTGCAATTTTGAAAATCCTGTCACACGTGGGTCTAGCTAAAATTATCATTAAGATACCATAAAGGGTATATTCCGAGGTGTCATGTGAAAGTCACGAGTGAGAATTGAAATCCGACCTAATTTTACGATTTTTCGCGAAAATTCCAATTTCAATATACTCTTGTTCATCTGACATATAACCATTTCTGGAGAGCAAGTGTTTGACAATAGAAGTGATTGAAGGGACACTTAAGAATTAACAATGCCAGCTGTGAGTACTAAACCTTTTTTGTTGAAAATAGATTATTGACTAACAATTATCATTATAGCCATTTACAGAAGAAGAATTGGAAACTATAGTTACAAAAGTTATTACTGGTTTTAAAGACTCTTCAATTGATGAAGTTTCATCTTCAATCACAAACCTTATATTAAAAGAATTACAACCAAAGACTGTTGATTATAAAATCATTATCAATGCTTCTATAGTCAACAAAAAAATCAAAGATGAAGTTAAACAAACTGCCGGTTATTTATATACAGATTCTACAGATGGTTATTACACTCTAAAGTTTGATTTAAAAGAAGATTATGATTTAATTTTGAATGTTATTTATGTGAAATGAACTCTACAAATTTAATTCAAACTAATTTATATATGTTTATGTATTTATGATTTCATGATCCCATTAAAAAATTCCTTGTTCTTTGTTGCTTTATTTTTTCAATTTTTTAGATATAATAAATCTATTCATAAATGAAGGTGTCAATTCATATTGATGTTCTTGTAAATATAGATCTTGTTCAGATTTAGCTTTGGCTAAAATAGCTTTCGAATCTGATGAACCTGTATCTTTTCTAGCTTTTAAAATTAAATTCAAGAAATCAATATTTATATCATTGAATTTGGAAACTGTATTTAACCATAATTGAACAACTTGATCATCATCTTGTTCAGAACTTAAATCCATGAAATCCTCAATTATTCTAAATTTATCATCAATTATTGATTGATCAACAAAATTAATAAATAATTTATAAAAAATTTCAAAATCTGCCTTAACAGTATTAACAAATTTATCATGACTATTTTTCAATTTCAAACTATCTTTATTCAGGTTACCCAAATATCTTAATATAGTTTCTTCCACAATCTCTTCAGATAAAATTTCAAATAAATATGAATTTGTTGATTGTTTTAAATCACCAAGATATTCATATAATGTATCAGAAATTTGTTGTGAATAATTTGAATTATACCAATTTTTGGAGAAAATTTCATCTAAAGCAACTTTCAAATCATCAAATATGATAACAATCAATGCATCACATGATTGTTTGGCCAAGTTAGCAAATCCATCAATAACTTGTTCTAATGAATCATGAATCATGGTACTATATTTCTTACTAACCATTCCACCATATTTATTTGATATAGCTTCTGTATAATCAGCACCTCTCATTTGATCATTTGCCAGGGCAATTAAATATTCAATTAAACCAGGTGGTACAGTATCTTCTTCAGTTTCTTCAGTAGTACTTGAATTTTTACCAGATGAAGGTTCTTTATGATTAATAGTTAATAATTTTTGAACTTCAGTTTTAATTAATCCACTCCATCTTGCTTGTCTTGTAATCAGTAATTTACCAAATTCTTCCACAACACCTGCAAGAATTTTACCTTGACCTGATCCTGAAGCAACATCACATTGTTGTGTAAACATTTGAAAAACAATTTTGGTACCTTCCAATGCATAAAGATTTTCAGAATCAACATCTGGTGCTTGTATACGTAATTTGAAAACATCTTGTTCAGTTTTGGATAAATTGGTCATCCATTCGTTCATCTTCAATATAATCAAACTCAAATAATCTGATAACAATTTTTCTTTCTCTTTTTCACCAATAATTGTTTTGTTTTCTTGTTTTGAAAAACCAAATTCTTCAACCATAATATCTTTAAATTTATTATCAAAATCTAAAATTTCTAAAATGATTAAAGTTTCCGGTTCAGATTCAATTAAACGATTTATTAAAATGTTTAACTCTTTATAATATAAGTCATAATATACTTTGAATATATCCCATCTTGAAGGCATTAATTTAGACATATCCAACTTTATACTCATTAAATCATGGAAAACCCAATCTAAATTATCTAAAATCTCAAACATGTTATCCTTTTGTTGATATGTTTCCCAACAATTTTGGAAAATTTCTTGTATACTTTCTTCAATCTTAGTCAGAAAGAATTTTTTATAGTTTCTTTGTTGTATACGACCTTGAATTGTTCCATTAATGATTTGATCGAAAAGTCCTCTATTTGATGATCCCTTGACATTCTTTTGAGTCAGAACTTCTTTTACAGATTCAATCTTTAGATCTTCACGTTCTTCAAAATCAATGATTTTGGCTAATCTTATTACTAAACTATTATTTGTAATTTTCACAGATTCAACTAATCCAACGATAATATTTTCCAAAAGTGTGTCGAATTTTTTTATAACATCATAAATCTTGGTGATGACTTTTTTAACAATGAATTTTGAATCTTCATTTGAATGTTCACCAAGTTCAAGTAATCTTTCTTGAAAATCTCTTAGTTTGTTCAATTTGTAGTGTATTAATAACAAATTTGGAACTTCATAATCTATATCAACATTTTCATAATCTTCAGCATCTATCAATTGATCAATTTCGTCCAAATCTTGGTTAAATGAACTAATTTTCTCCACAATATCAGTACTTTGATCAAAAATCTCATGCACTTTGGTGATTTTGTTGATTAACTCGTATCTTTTTATAGATCCAAAGGAATCACCAGCAATTTTGTTGATTTTAGATATGTCGTCTTTCAATCCACGGACATCTTCTTGACAAACACTTAGCAAATTGATATTCTCTATAGTGGATTCCAACTCAGCGGTAGATTTGGATCTCAATTGGATATCTAGGGAAGATTTTTCCTTTATTAGTTGTTCTTTTAACGATTCGACTTTGTCTAGATCATCTTCTGTTCTGAGCAATTGTGAAATGTTTTGTAGCACAGCGGGAAGCTCTTGAGTTGTGGTGGACATAATGACTTTCAAAATTAGCCATAAATATAAATCAATGGAATATTGATCACGACGGCTCTGAATTTGACGAGCTAATTAGCAGCTTTATTGAGCTTTGGTTTTGACGTTTCTTTGTTTTTGTTTTTGATGATCTGTGGGTTTCCAAATATCGGAATAACTAAAACATTCAGAATTTTTGTATGGGAAAATGGTAAAATGGTAGAAATCTTAGAAATGCACTGCAAATATGTTGAAAAGAGGCCTTTATTCCTAACTATACTTCGAGCATTCAAACTATTCAGAAAAGAGTAACTTTTAAAGGGGTTTTAACCGTTCAATTTGAATAATGAGGCGCTGTCGCAGTAATCTATAGAACGGACGCGTAATTTCCAGAACGAGGGTATAAACTCTACGAGTACTTCAATCCTAATGAATTATCAATCTAGATTATTTATTTTCTAAATACATATATTACATTATTTAAAGGGTCATCAATTCGTTAAATAAGAAGAGACTCAAAATCCCCTTCTTCTTCTATTTGCATTCATACCAATATTCACCACTGGCTTTGCCTTTTTCGTAGTCTTATTCTTAGCTTTAACTTTTTGCTCTTCATAACTTTTAGCATCTTTTTCCAATTCCTCTTCAATCTTTCTCTTCTTCAACCCATTTTCTTTATTTTTATTCTTGTCTCTTACTGCAAAGAATACAGCACCGAACTCAACTAACCATAATGGATCAACAGCAGTAACAGTGGAAATATATTCTTTTGTTGTTAACATCAACTCATGATAAACAACATATTGAGGTAAATCAGCCATACCAAATAACGCAGATGTTGGATGTAGTTGTAATTTCATCCCAGTTCTCAAGTTGACATATTCACCAAAACCATGTACTTTTGCAGCTTGATAGAAATAACCTGAACAAATACATTTTCTAACAATATCCCATTCATAACCAGATGACACAACAGGGATTTTATTTGAATTCATGATTACTTCAATTTGCTCTTTGATATCTTTAGCCTTTTTCAATGATTTATTATGTAAAAAATGCTTTTTACACCAAAAATCTGAAAAATTATTTGCCTTCCACTGTGAATAAACATTCAATAAAGTTAAATGATCAGATTCAGGTACGAAAAATCTTGAACGTGAGATATCTGATTCTTCTTGTCTTTCTTTAGGTCTATAAAATACACTTGGAACTGATAACATTGATACAATTATAACCATTTCCTCTGAACATCCATTTTCAGATGAAATCAATAATAGCTTTGACAATGCAGGTTGTAATGGAAATTTTGACATTCTATGACCTAATTCAGTTAGTTTACCAAAATTATCTAATGCACCAATTGACCAAAGTTCATACAAAGAAGCAGTTATAGTCTCTTTTGGAGGTGGATCCAAAAAAGGAAATTTAATTAAATCATCAATTTTTAATGATTTCAATAATAATATTGTATTTGATAAGTTTGTTCTTTGAATTTCTGGAATTGTTTGTGGGTACATATCTTCTCTTGCTGCCTTCTCAGTGTATAATCTATAACAACTACCAGGCCCAGTACGACCAGCTCTACCAGATCTTTGGTTTGCATTTGCAAGTGAAATTGGTGTTATAGCTAAACTTTCTAACCCAATTCTTGCATTGTAAACTTTTAATTTTGAATAACCAGGATCAATAACAAATGCAATACCATCAACAGTTAAAGATGTTTCTGCAATATTTGTCGCAACAACAACTTTTCTATACCCAGGTTTAGTCTTTTTGAAAATTTTCTTTTGTTGTTCCGCAGGCAATGAAGAATACATTGGTAATATCTCTAATGGTGGTGGATCATCCAATTGTTTTAATTTATCTGCAAGTACTTCACATGTAACATCAACATCTTCTTGACCAGTCATGAAAATTAAGATATCACCAGGACCTGATTGTAAGTGAATAGTTAATGCTTGTTTGACTGCACTTTCAACATAATCTTCGACTGTGAATTTGGAAAACATAACATCAACAGGGAAAGTTCTACCAGGTATAGTGAATTGAGGTGCATTACCGAAGAATTTAGAAAATCTATCAGCATTCATTGTAGCAGATGTGATAATCAATTTCAAATTTCTTCTTCTTTCCAAAAGGTTCTTGAATAACCCCATTAAAACATCCGTACTAAGAGTTCTTTCATGTGCTTCATCCATAATAATACAAGAATACTTATCCAAATCAGAATCAACCAAAGTTTCTCTTAATAAAATACCATCAGTCATATACTTTATAATTGTCTTATCTGTAGTGACATCTTCAAAACGAATGGAATAACCAACTTCATCACCAACCTTAACACCCATTTCTTCAGCAACACGTTGTGCAACACTAACAGCAGCAACACGTCTTGGTTGTGTACATGCAATCATACCTAACCTTCCATAACCATCTTCATTCAAAAATTGCGTCAATTGTGTAGTTTTACCAGAACCTGTTTCACCAATAATGACAACAACTTGATTATCTCTAATCATTTTCAATACATCTTCTCTTGCAGAATAAGCTGGTAATGTTTTCCTTTGTTCTTGTATACTGAGTTTTGGTTCATCTTTTGAATCTGCATCATCTTCATCTTTATCATCAGTATTGTATTTATTATTATTCTTTGTATCATTGTTATCTTCTTTATTTTCAACACCCAAGACTTCACCTATAACTGATCCAACTAAACTTGCAGCATCTTTCGCCTTACTTTGACGTTCTTTTTGTTGTCTTCGCTGTTGAACCAACCCACTTCCTCTTCTAGCCGCAACAGCTAAATCACTTTGTGGGTCTCTAACAGCACTAATAGGATCTTTCTGTATTGTGAAGACATTTGTACCATTCAAAAAGGGTGGGGTTAGATGATGTGTAGATAATTGAACTGTTGGTTCACTTGTATCTTCAAAGTCTAAGTCAACATCACCACGCTGTATCGTACCCGCAGTTTGCAATCTATTATTTTCCCAGATATCATTCTCTTTCTGCCTATGATCTTTCCGTTTCTTGAACAGACTCATTATGAACTTTTCAAGTTTAGTGTCTTTTTATGTCGAGATATTCAAAAACTTTTAATGTTTATAAATTTTGATTACTATAGGAAAAATAAATTATAAAAAAGTGTTATGGGCAGATGGCATATACAGATTTTGCTAAAAAAGTCTACAAACTTTAAAACTAGTAATAACCCCAAATGTAATTTTTATAATTGATTTAATATATACATTGATAATAAATTTCAACTTAAGCCCTCTGGTGGAGCTGTCCAGTTTCCACTAGGCCATTTTAGAGTACCAGCTCTTGTATAATCACCTCTTCTACCACCAGAGTGTGAAAGTGTGGACTTTGCCAATCTTAAAAATAATGTGATATCTCCATTTTCGTCAGTATTGTCTTCTAATGATTTATCAACAAGTTCTTTTAGACTTTTATTATCCCCAATCAAGTTACTCAAGTCAATCATTGTTTCATTTCCAACATATCTTTCAATATCATTAATTAATAAAGAATATCCTAACAATTGATCTTTTGGTGGTATTGATTGTCCATTAGCCAGCAAAGAGCTTGTAGAGTTATGATCAATCCATGAGACAATACCATTTTCAATGTTTTTGCTGAATGCTGGAGGAGCTAAGTTACCACCTGCTTCATCTCTCAATAAACTTCTTTGTGTTTCTAAAATAGAGGCAAAATCCCATTTAGCGACACCCGATAGGAAAAGTCCTAATAATATACCTTGAAACATATAAGCTGTCAAGCCTTTCGTTGCACAACCTGGAATTAACAAAAGTGCTAAAATATAATGATGAATTCTTAATGATAACCCAGGAAGCATTGCAAGTGTAAATACTCCCAAAATGAATGTAATGTAAATTTTGAAATATTTTTGAAATCTACCTGATTTCCAAAGTTTGTAAGCTTGAATGACTGCACAAACTAAAATTGTTGAAACGATCGAGAGAACAGCAATTAATCCACCTGGTTGTTCTTTCAAATCTTGTGGTGTTAATCTATCAACTGGTAATCTATCAAATGTTATACTATTACACAAACCAAGCCAAAATAAAGGATACCATAAGCACACTTTAGCTAAAGGTGATGAAGGTTCTGAAAATGTTCTCTTTGCTGCAGATTTCCACAAAGTATATAAAACAAAGCACATTGGCAGCATTCTTTGGAACCCAACTGAAAATAATTCATGAACGCTTGATGGATCTTCTGGGTCAACAATTAATGGTGGATCCAAAGATAGCAGTAGAGTCCAATAACCGACCAGATTGACTATCCAAAATGTAGCTAATCCATCAGCAAGATAAACTATTGGTAATCCAAGTAATATATTTGCAAACAATATTAATATTCTAGGATCATAACAACCAGAAATACCTTCTGGCAACATTTTGAAAACATAAGATGATGGAAAAAAAGATGGGAAAGGAACAGAAAAATCAGTACCATAATTACCCATAGTAGAGTTGAAATTTAATTGAGATCCAACGAATGAAACTTTCACACAACCACCAAAAAATGGAGATAAAATACCAGCATGAACAGCCGACCCACAGGTAAAGGAGTCAGCTCTATAAGGATATGTCAATGTATCATCCCCGTTTTCAGGCTGCTTATAACCCCCGCCAATAGTATAACCAGTATACTTAACCATACGATCACCGACAGGAGTTGATGAATATGTCCAACCACCACGATCACATAAAGCAGGACATCTAACAATAGCTTCTCTATCTTCGAAAGGTGCACATAATTCACCATTTAATCCACATTTTGCATTCTTACCTTTCCAAAAATATTCTTGTCCATTACACGATAGTGAAATAATTGATTGTCTTTTACCTTTAATAGTTGGTGGACTTGTCAAATTAGGATTCAAGATGGAATAAATCAGGACAAACCAAAGAAAGCAATAACCTATAAGCAGCAACAACCTTGTTTTATGTGAATATCTATGTCTGAAAATCTTTGGGTATTGCTCAAAAGCACTATTGAAACTTGGTGGATCATCACTTGGATATTCAGGTCCATACCATACCTTTTGCCAAAATTTAATAAACTTGTTATCACTGTAAATAGGTCTTGGACTACCACCAAGCCTTATATGTCCACCATTTCCATGATTTGATGAGTTATGTAAATGGTTTCTGTTCTTTGTATTGTTTCCCAAGTCAGTCAGCTCTATGTTATCTAGTTCTTCATCAAATGAGTCTCTGCTGCTCGGTATTTCACCATTATAGCCGTGTTCCAAATCTCTTATAGTCATAATTTACCCAAATAATAGATGATTCTTGAACCTTCAAGGCTGTAAATGTTTGAAGCTGATTGAACTTGAAGCAACAATATCCAACTATTGTCTATTTCGAAACCAGAAGAATCAACGAGATCAAATTTACTCTTCATAAATGGACCCCAGAGCTTTCTCAGGAACAATCAAAAAATTTCACCTAAATAAGAGTTGATCCGCGAAAATATTTATATGCGGAAACAACTATATTATGTATTTTGAAACTACAATTATATTTATATCTGTATGACCATTAAATTTATTTTAAACAAGTAGTATATGAAAACCCCAGAGTTCATCATATTATTGGTATCATTAAATTATGACAAAACGAGGAAGTGAAACAATTAATTAAAAAAAATAAGACAAAATCAAAAAAAGCTAAAATTACAAAACCAAAACCATGAACATTAAAAGTAGTAACCAAAAACATTCCCCCAAAATTATTAAACTCTTTAGAAAGTAAATGCTTAACCAGAGCACATTTCACAAGCACCTGGGTTGTTGATAGAACAAGCAAGAGCTGCTTCACTGAAGATATCACCGTCTTTAGCTTGGCCTTCACCTTCAGTAGCAGCAGTTTCTTCTTTTGGTTCTTCTGCAGCTTCAACTGGAGCAGGTGTTGGAACTGGAGCTTGAGCAGGTTTATTTGTTTCATCTAAAGTTAAAGAAGCAACACTTGTTGCAGCAGTTTCAATTTCTCTTGGTGATGATGAACCATCTCTACTAATATCAGATTCTTCATTGGTGGTTTCTCTTGGTAAATAAGTTGGACGGTTTAATTTTGACAAATCAACAACAGCATGTTGAGCATTAGCAGCGACTGAAGAATCAACAGTAAATTGAATAGCAGCGGAAGCAGCTTGAGTTCTCAAGTAGTACATACCAGTCTTTAAACCTTTCTTCCAACCATAGAAATGCATACTTGTTAATTTACCCATAGTTGGAGCACGGATATGAATGTTTAATGATTGAGATTGATCAATATAAGCAGATCTATCAGCAGCCATATCGATAACAGTTTTTTGTGAAATTTCCCAAACAGTTTTGTATAAATCTTTCAATTCTTTTGGAATGTTTGGTAAGTTTTGAATAGAACCATTATCAGCAATAATATGACTCTTCATAGCATCATCCCAAACACCTAAATCAACTAAATCACGTAATAAGTATGGGTTAACAATTTGGAATTCACCAGCTAAAACACGACGTGAATAAATGTTTGAAGTATATGGTTCGAAACATTCATTGTAACCTAAGATTTGTGAAGTTGAAGCAGTTGGCATTGGAGCAACTAATAAAGAATTTCTAACACCATATTTAACAACATCAGCTTTCAAATCATCCCAATTCCATAAACCAGTTGGTTTTTGATCCCATAAATCAAATTGTAATAAACCTTGAGAAGCTGGAGAACCTTGGAAAGTTTCATAAGCACCTTCTTTTTTAGCTAATTCAACAGAAGCTTCAACAGCAGCATGATAAATGGTTTCAAAAATTTGAATGTTTAATTCTTTAGCTTTTTGTGATTCAAATGGTAAACGTAAAGCCATGAAAGCATCAGCTAAACCTTGGACACCTAAAGCAATTGGTCTATTTCTCATGTTGGATCTTCTTGCTTCTTCAACTGGATAGAAGTTACGATCAATAATTCTGTTTAAATTCTTGGTAACAACTTTAGCAATTTTATGTAATTGTTCAAAGTTATAGAATTGAGTTTTGCGGTCTGCTGAAACTTCAATGAAGGCTGGTAAGGCAATTGAAGCTAAGTTACAAACAGCAACTTCATCTGGTGATGAGTATTCAACAATTTCAGTACATAAGTTTGATGATTTGATGATACCCAAGTTCTTTTGATTAGTTTTCTTGTTACAAGCATCTTTGTAAAGCATGTATGGAGTACCAGTTTCAGTTTGAGCTTCCAAGATAGCATACCATAATTTTTGAGCTTTAACAGTCTTTCTACCACGACCTTCTTTTTCATAACGTTCATATAATTCTTCAAATTCATCACCATAAGTTTCATCTAAACCTGGAGCTTCATTTGGAGAGAATAATGTCCATTCACCATTGCTTTCAACTCTTTTCATGAATAAATCTGAGATCCATAAAGCAGGGAATAAATCACGAGCTCTGATTTCTTCTTTACCATGATTCTTTCTGATATCGATGAAATCAAAAATATCCGCGTGCCATGGTTCTAAGTATAAAGCAAAAGCACCTGGTCTTTTGTTACCACCTTGATCAACATAACGAGCAGTGTTGTTGAAGACTCTAACCATTGGAATGATACCATTTGAAGTACCATTAGTACCAGCAATGTAAGAACCAGTAGATCTAATGTTATGAATATGTAAACCAATACCACCAGCAGTCTTAGAAATTAAGGCACATTGTTTTAAAGTTTCATAAATACCATCAATAGAATCATCTTGCATAGCAACTAAGAAACATGAAGACATTTGAGGATGTGGAGTACCAGCGTTAAATAAAGTTGGAGAAGCATGTGTGAAATATCTTTCAGACATCAAGTTATAAGTTTCAACAACACTTTCAATATCTCTACCATGGATACCAATAGCAACTCTCATGATTAAATGTTGAGGTCTTTCAGCGACTTTACCATCAACTCTTAAAAGATATGATCTTTCTAAAGTTTTGAAACCAAAATAGTTATAGTTGAAATCTCTATTGTAAACAATAGCTGAATTGAATTCATCTTTGAATTCTTGAACAATATCATAAGTATCTTTAGATAACATAGGACTATGTTTACCAGTTCTTGGATTGATATAATTATATAATTCATCAACAACAGCACTGAATTGTTTTGTAGTTTGTTTATGTAAGTTTGAAATGGCAATACGAGCAGCTAAAGTGGCATAATCTGGATGAATGGTGGTCATGTAAGCACAAGTTTCAGCAGCTAAGTTATCTAACTCAATAGTGGTGACACCTTCATAAACACCTGAAATGATACGTTGAGTGATCTTAACAGCGTCAATATGAGCAGGATCTAAACCATAACATAATCTTGAGATACGAGCAGTAATTTTATCAAATTTAACCGGTTCACGGCGACCATCTCTTTTGAAGACATACATCTTTTGTACTTGTGTGTTGAGTTGTAGTTGTTGATGGATGAAGGAAAAGGGAATAAAGTTGTAGGTTCCAAACTAAATCAAAACTGGGACACGGTTTGTTTATATATAAAATTTCGTGTTTTGGTGTTTTTGAAAAAATTTCATCACGGCCAATAAATTACGCGTCTTTAGGGCAAAAAAAGAAAACAAAACGCGTTATTTTTGGCGTTTTCACGTGTATGTTTCGTGTTTTGATTTGTCAACTGACACGAAATCGGCAAAGAGTAAACACGAAAAGTGGTGAATAAACTCTGTTGCCATTGCGATTTTACACAAGCTGATTAATTGAGTTGTTTATCTGTAAAAGATGAAACACTGGGTTATTGATAGAGTTTTGAGAATCTTGAGAGTAGTATTGACAAGGAATGATATTGTGATCAATAGTATAATTAACTAGCTTACTATAGTACACTCAAATTCTAATTTATTCATATACATACCTCATTCCCTTGGAAAATCGATCCTATAATTACACCAAAATTAAATACCACAGACCATACATAGTTCATAGGCTATAGCTGTACATACCGTATTCCTGATTACTAACAATGGGTGTTATAATTAACGATTCACGCTTTTACACTTTTACACACCAGGATTTTCCAGGAGTAGTTCATGAAACGATAATTACTATTAAGCTTTAACTCACCATAACATGGATTGTGCCAAATCCCACGCTTTAATTATTCATGTCTCTCATTTGTGACCTTTAATTCTCTTCTTGTCTTGACACTAATTTACGGGTGCCATATACATCAATTAATAGTTACCACAAGGGGAAAGACACAAAAAATACTGAACCAATGAATCAGTGAATCAAAAGTATATTGAGATGAATATCAAGAAGGATCTAACAAACTGTTTCTAAACAAATGTATTAATCGTTAGTCTTTTGCTCTTTATCCATACTTAACAAATCTCTTAACTACCCGCGAATGTGATTTAAGAATCTTTACCAAAAACCGAAAATCAACTTATCTATGATGAGATTGTGATATTAAGATATTCAAAACAACAAAACAATCCCCTTTTCCGATTTATTCAGTATCAAGATGACATCCGTTGAAGAACAATACAGCATTTTAGACAAGGCAGAAGCTTATATCCGCTCCAAAATCCAAGGTCCATTATCCAAACCAAAAACTTTAATCATTGCAGGTTCAGGATTGAGTGGTATCTCAGATTTATTATCAGAACAATTTGAAGTCCCATATACTGATATCCCAGGTTTTAAAGCATCCACAGTCTCAGGTCATGCTGGGAAACTAATTTTTGGTTATATAGGTGACAATAAAGTCCCAGTTGTTTGTATGGCTGGTAGATTACATTTTTATGAAGGTTATACATTTGAAGAAACAACTTTTCCAATAAGGTTAGCCAAACAATTAGACGTTGAAATGGTTGTTGTTACAAATGCCGCTGGTGGTATCAATGCAAATTTCAAAGCTGGTGATTTGATGATTATTTATGATCATATAAATTTCCCTGGGTTATCAGGTTGGCATCCACTTAGAGGTCCAAACTTAGAGAAATTTGGTCCAAGATTTCAACCATTATCTGACGCATATGATTTAGAATTAAGACAACTATTCTTTCAACAAAAGGAAAAATTAGGTATTCAAAGATCAATTCATGAAGGTACATATTTTTATGCTGCTGGTCCAACTTACGAAAGTAGATCAGAATCAAGATTAATTAGAACTTTAGGCGGTGATGCTGTTGGGATGAGTACAGTTCCTGAAGTTATCGTGGCAAGACATTGTGGTCTCAGAGTCCTTGCATTGAGTTTAATTACTAATGAATGTGTTGTTGATCCACCTGCAAGTGCTTTTGATAAAAATCCAAAAGCTTTAGATGAAGGAATGGCAACTCATGAAGAAGTTTTAGAATATGCTAATCAAGCTTCAAAAGATGTTCAAAAAATCATTGAAGCAACTGTTAATGAGTTTTGAAATATAAAGCTCAAATTTATCTAGTATATCCTACATTTAATACAATCATATCTCGCATTTAAAATATTGTACATTTTCCTTTTGTTTGGTTTTTATATTTGACTATAATCTAATAATGATCGTTTTATTTATTCATCAACTTGACCAGCAGATTCCCATTTACCTTCAAGACTTTCTCTCCATAATGTAACTTTATTATCACCACCAGAAATTGCCAATATATTACCAGATAATGACCAGCTTGCTCTCCAAACGACATCTGGGAATTTTTCATCTTGTAATAATTGTTTTTTCCATGGACCACCTGAAATATCTTGAGACCAAATGATTACAGTACGATCTTGTGAGGCAGAAGCAATATATGAACGCACTAAAACAGATGGTGACCAAGCAACATCTCTAACCCAGTCACTATGTCCTTCTAATGTATGTTCAATTTCATATGTATTAGCTTCTGGCTTGAATTTCCAAATTTTAACTAAATTGTCTGAACCACCTGAAACAAATCTACGTTCAATTTGTTTATCTTCACTTGAAGAAACTGGTGGGGCCCATGTAGCAGAGTTAACACCAACTGCATGTGCACGATCAATAACAATTGAAGAAGTGGTACCACCTTCTTTGAATTCAACAATAGAAATTTTACCATCTGAAGAAGTGACTAATAGTTGAGCACCATATTCATGAGGAGCCCATGAAACACTATTTACTGAAGCTTGATGTACTGCATGTTCAGAAATAATAGTCCATCTACCATTGTCTTCTTTCCAAATTAAAACTTTACCATCATATGAGGCACTTGCTAATATAACACCAAATTTTGGATGTGCCCAAGATACTTGCCAAACTGGACCATCATGTCCTCTTAGAGTTTCAATTAATTTATGTTCTTCACCATCAACTTCAAATATTTTGATTGTTTTATCTGATGATGCAGTTGCTAAACGTTTTCCATAATAGTCCAAGACAGCATCATGGATTAAATCATCATGTGCATTACCAATCGTTACCTATTTGTAGTATGTTAGTATCACTTCAATTATTTGCTTCTGAACGGCGTACAACTGTGTACCTTCTAATAATAACATACCATTGTAAAATTTTATATTATTTCAAATTCAATACTTTTTTCCTGTGGATACAACCTAGTATAAGTCCAATTATTCCCTTGTAAAGATCAATTGTTCTGACCACTTGAATTGTGTCTAGTTTGGAACGAAATAAAGTGTACCTTGTTTTGTTGATCTCAGTTTTAAGCACCACGTCGATTTCTGAAATCTTGATTCTTCACCAAAAATCAACAACTTTCGCGGAAAATTCCCTAACTTCGGTTGGGGCAGAAACATTATATTCTCTATTTTACTACAAGTTAATCAGGATTATCAAAGTCATAATGCATCATTCATTGAAATTATATGGCTATTACACGAAAATTGAATTCAAAATTTGGAGCATTTGGCGGGACTTCGCCATTTGCGCGACGTTGTCTTAATTGACGTTGTTGATAAAAATGTAATGCTAAAAATACAGCAAATACAATGACAAAGAACAATAACACTGCGAAATCATCCCCTTCCAGCAATTCTTCATCAGTTTCTCCCACAGGAACATCTGTTTGAACATTCTTATTGTTATTAGAGTTTCCATTTGTTTGAAGATCTGATAATTCTTTTTCATAATCTGGTTCTTCATCATTATTATTGTTTGATCTAATCTTATTATATAATTCTTTCCAATCTGACCAAGTTCTTGATTTGGAATCAGTATTTATACTCTTTATTTTACCACCAGTGATTTTATTCAAAAAACTTCTAAATCGTAATTTTAATAAAGACAATTGAACCGGTAAATAAGCTTTTGGATGTCCAACTAATGCATAATCATAAAATCTTTTAGCTAAGTGGAAATCTTGTTCAACTCCATATCCATTTTCATACATCCATCCCAAGTTCCAGCTTGCATGACTTGATAATCTATTTGTAGCCGCTTCATAACAAGCAGCAGCTTTTTGATATGCACCTTCAGAAAAATAAATATCACCTAATAATACAGTAGAATCAACATTATATTGATTTGATGATCCCGTTAAGTATGCTAATGCTAATTCTTTGCGTTCTTTTGGAATAACTGGGGAATCTTCTGTTAACGATGGTGGTTGGTATAAGATATACGCAGCAGATGCTTGAGCAGATTCAAAACCTTGTTCAGCAGCCATTGCATATCCAATCAATGAATTTTCATATCTTCCTTCTACAATTTCCATAAATGCCCATTCAAGATCTGAAATAGCATTCTCCACTGATTCAATAAAAACTTTATAACTCATCACACTTTCATCACACGAATCAGATCCGTCATTCTCCAGATCTTTACCATAGTAATAAATAGCTTGTAAATCACCTGAGAAAGCAGCAGCTTTAATATATTTAGTACCTTCTTTCTTACCATTCAAGTTCAATAATCTTCCATAATTAAACATAGCATTTGGAACTTTTGTGGAGTTTGCAGAAATCTCATAATGATGAAGAGCCTTCGACATGTTTTGAAGATGCGGTGGCCCATATTCATAAAGTAATCCCAATGCATTTTGTGTTAATGAATTTTTAAAAATTTCTAGCGATTGCTCTAAATACTTCTTTGATTCATCAAAATCTTGTTCAACCCCTTCCCCTCTCAAATACATTAAACCAATTTGATATATACATCTTGACAGATAAACTGATTCCATATGACTTAATGACCCCAATTCTTTCATACCTTGATCCATAACATATTTAGATAGTCTCATTGCGCGAGTATGATTTTTAGGAACCAAATAACTTCCTTCATAATAGTACAAAATTTTATAAAATCTAGTAGCATAAAATGATTCTTGTGCAGTTTGAGATCCAACATCTAAAAGATCGTCATATCTTGATGCTTTTCTTGTTAATGAACTTTGAGTTTCACCAACTCCTTTACCATATATCCCACCTTGAAAATCTGAAATTCTTATGGCAAATCTATCAATTATAGGACCACCAATAGGACCTTGTTCGACATAATCTATTAGCTTATTTGCAACATATCCGTAATAGAATAACGATTTGGCACAATCCATTGGTACAGAAATCCCCTTCAAATGTCTGTAACCTAGAACCATACCAGCTCTAAGATCTCCTAAATCGAATGCAAATTTATAATACATATTAGCCTTAGCTTGATTTTGTTCCACTTCACCAAAAAGCCCCGTTGAGTAAATGAACCCTAGGATAAAATAAGCATTAGCATTTGGTGCAATGGAAACACCCTTTTCATAATATTTCAAAGCTAAACTTCCATTTTTTGGGTAACTATGATTTCCATATAGATTTAGATCTGCTAAGATATAACTTGCGTTTGCATTCCCCAAATCTGAACTTTTCTCAAGAGCATCTTTAACTTGAACTAGCTCTGGTGATAATTTTTCCATTTGTACTCTATACTTGGCTTGTTGATACTTATAGCTGTAATCCATGGGCAGTTCTATCACCACTTGATTCTCATCATTATAATGTCTGTTGTCTATCTGGTGGGGTATTTGCTCTAAAATGGCTTTTGATTGATTTAAAAGTTGTTCAGACAGTGAAAAATCATCTGCAAGGACATAGGGCACAAGCGAAGATGCTTTGAACAATATATTGTTAGTATTTTAGATCATGAATGTTATATTATCTTCTAGCACTCACCATACACGAATAGCTTGAATAACTTCATAGTTAATAGATAATTCTCGGTCCAAAAACAAGCCGGAAAACAGTGTAGATATCTTCAAATTGATTTGATATCCCTTAAATACAAAGCAACAAGTTAAATAATAGAGCGCTTGATGAAATTGCTCATGTCTTGTTTGTATCTTTTGAACTTACGTAGCATAAACAATCAGCTAATCGAAGTTCACAGAATTCGCGGTGTATGTGGCGCTTGACAAAAAATGCTTTTACTAATTGAATAATATTAGTACAACTAATTCTTCTATAAATATATATATATGCAGATTATATGGGAATTATTTCTATAAAATAAATAACAGAGCATCGTAATTTCAATACTCTCCTTTAACATCAAAGTTGTAACCACGAGCAACACCATCTCTACCTTCTTCCACAAGTGCACCTTCTTGATCAATTTCCTCATTATTATAGTCACTACCAAGACCAGTCCATTCTCTATTTTGTAAATGTATAGCTGATGTGGATATTGTACCTTTGATACTAACCGCTTGTGAGAATTTCTTGACTAATTGATTCTCGTTATTTGATTTATCAACTGAATCAATCTCTAAATGTTGAATTTGTCTCAATGGTCTTGAATTACTAACATATTTACCTGTGACTGGATTAAATTCTGGAGCCTCATCTTCGCCTTCTAATCTTTCATCCACTGATGTATTTGCCTCTGTTTCTTCAGTTTCATCAGCATCTTCATCTTCATTCATAACTTTATCAAATTCTGTGACCCATTTACCAGTCCATTGTAATTCTGGACTTAAAGCCATTTCTAATTCATATGGTGTAACAATTGGTTTATAAAATTCGTTCGTATTATCAATAATTATACCACCTTGACCACAACCTAATATACACCAAACGTCGATAGACTCGAAATTTGCTAATTTCGCAACGTTTGGTTTACCAACAACAAACATATAGTACTTTTTATCAGCATCTTTTATCTTTGTAGAAACTTTCTTGATAACATCTGTTGTATTTCTTAATGATAAAGTATTAACTAAAATACCTATAGTCCCTGCTGTTCTAGCGACGTGCATATAACGATATCTTTTCATTAATGATGGGAATGGTCCTTGATCTGTCTTATTATTACTTGTGTTAAATAACGTAACAGAGCTGAACTTAGTACTCAAATATAATAGATGTGGTGGTTGTGGGATGTTGATATGGAATAAATTGTAATCTTGAAGTTGATCTTCATCAATTGATTCATTTGATTCGGATATTAGTTTCCTGTTAGAGAATCGTATTATACCTTCTTGTTTAGTGGATTTGAAACCTATTATCTTAGCATTTGAAGCTCTTTCTGGGGATAAATCCGTATATGCAATGTTTTTGTATGTTTCTTTCAACCTATTGTATAATTCAGGTAAATGTCTTGTATATGAAGTATCTGCCATTAAGACAATTTTGGAGTCATTTTCTGGATAAGTTTCTTTGAATTTATTAACGACAACATCCAGATCTAGGTATGGTTTACCGAAAACATAAACTGCTGGTAATTTTTGAATGGCATTCATACAAGCATCTCCAAAATGAACAACGATATCACTTAGAACATGTTCAGCAGCAACCTCGTCAATACAACATGGACTATAAGCGGTATCAGCTAAAATCCAAACTTGTTGGGTATTATCAGTTTTGTTACCTTTTGACAATGGATCCTTACATTCACATCCTGAACAGGAATGTTTACAATCATCCTTCTTTTCACTATGCTCGTGACTTTCTTCAACTTTAACACTCTTTTCAACTTGTTTTGGTTCAAATGCTCTATTCAATTCTGAAAGCCCTTCTTGTAGTAGTTGAACCACTATAGCAGCATCAGCCACTAATTCATCAGGAAACTGTAATGTAATCTTTTTAAATTTGACATTCCCTTCTTCATCCCTCTGACCTAAATGCTTTATCAGTTCATTAATAGAGTAATAATCAGTCAATAAATCTCTAATATTTGCATCTTGATTTGGTCCTAAATATGCTCTTTCTTTGGCAACATCTTGATATTTTTCATACGAGAAGGTTGAGTCATCTTGGTAAGTGGACAGCACTGGTGCCACTATATCGGTCATACTTGAACACAATCGTTCCTTATTCCTCTAAAACAATAAATACAAACTTTGTGTCTGATTAGTAAATTTTCATTATTTTGTTTAAACTCATCTGATTTTTTTTTTCTTTACTATTTTGCTGACTAAGATTTTTTACTTTTTTTTTTCGCGGGTACTTTTTGACTTATCAAAATATTTCAAAATGTCATCACAATTGAGATCTTGAGTTCTATTTTCAAAGGGTTATTTGCTTCGACTATTGTTGAAAATGTCTATCGATCTAGGTGTTACTGGTGATTTCCATGTCCATTTGCGTGATGGTAAAATGATGGAGCTAATTGCTCCAACTGTTCGTGAAGGTGGTGTCTCCATTGCTTACATTATGCCTAATCTTGTTCCTCCAATCACTACAATTGATAGAGTTGTGCAATACAAAAATGAATTACAAGCTTTAGCTCCAAAAACCACATTTTTGATGACTTTATACCTTTCAAAAGAGTTAACCCCGGAATTAATTCATGAAGCAGCTAAATTGAAAGCTATTGCTGGTGTCAAATGTTATCCTGCAGGTGTCACAACCAACTCATCAGCCGGAGTTGATCCAAATGATTTTAGTGATTTCTATCCGATTTTCAAAGCTTTAGAAGAAGAAAATTTAGTATTGAATTTACATGGTGAAAAACCTTCGACTGATAAAGATGGTGAAGAAATCCATGTTTTAAATGCAGAACCAGAATTTTTACCTGCTTTGAAAAAATTACATTCTGATTTCCCAAATTTAAAAATTGTTTTGGAACATTGTACAACAAAAGCTGCTATAGATACCATTAATGAAATTAATCAAGATAATAAAGGCCCAATCAAAGTCGCTGCTTCCATCACAGCCCATCATTTATCATTAATTGTGGATAACTGGGCTGGTAATCCAATAAATTTCTGTAAACCAGTTGCTAAATTACCACAAGATCGTAAAGCTTTAGTAGCTGCTGCTACTTCAGGTAATCCATGGTTTTTCTTTGGTTCAGATTCAGCACCACATCCATTACACGCCAAACAAGTACACGTTGGTGTTTGTGCAGGTGTCTATACCCAAGCATTAGCTATTCCTTATATTGCTCAAGTTTTTGATAAACAAGGCAAATTAGATAAATTAAAAGGGTTCGTTAGTGATTTTGGTAAACAATTTTATGAAATTAAAGAGGAAGATTTGGTTTCCAAAGATCATACTATCTTGGTTAGAAAAGAACAACAAGTCCCAGATGTTGTTTCTCAAGGTGATTTGAAAGTTGCACCATTTAAAGCTGGTGAAAAATTAGACTTTTCTATTGAATGGAAGTCTATCAATTGATTTTAGTCTACCATGATATCACTAATAACTTTTTGTAGATATATAACAATAGAAATAATGACTTTTAAAGTTTTTATATACCTATGTAAACAAAAAAAATAATATATATAAAATCAAACTGACACACATAACGACATTAAATTAATCTTAAATACCAACTAAACACTACCTAAAATAACCATAAATTTCAACAATTTATCTTGTCCTTCAGCCAAAGTTCCATCTTCATTGAATGCACACATACTATTGCTTTTCCAACCCCAACTTTGCGATTTATTAAAAAGATCAGGAGTTGAAATAAAACAAGTTAATGAAGTTTTAACTTTTCTTGAAGGTGTAAAAATAACATAATAAACAGATGTTCTGACTCTGTTATCTTCATAGCTCAAAAAGGAACCTTCATTATCATCTTCATCTAATTCATCTTCAATATCAGGGGCAGCATTCAATTCCGATTTACTGAATGACGAAGAATTACCACTAAATGAAGAATCAATATCACCATCTCTCAATGAAATATTATTCACATCATCCGCTAACTGTGAAAAACTTTGATCACTATCCAAATTATATGATGAATTTTTGAACACATCTCTATTCAATAATGCTGATTTTGATGGTGCTGAACTTGATGCTCGGTGAATATAAACACCCATTTGATACCCTTTTTTATGCCTTATTTTTTGTATGTAAAGATTCCAATATGATCCAGCATACCACAAGGTTTTAGCATAGACCCTTTTTTCAGCTTCAAGTTCTGAAACTTGGCTGAAAGCGATTGAAAATCTAAATGGTGGAATATGAGTCACTTTGTATAGCGAGTCACTGGTATTGTCTGTTGTTTTCCCACTTCGTAGGTCATACTGTGTATTTTGGTGATGTTTCCCAATAGAAGTTTCCAATTGTTGAGGTGTTCCATAAAGCGTTTCATCTTTGGTGGGTACGAACCATGTGTTTTCTCCATCTGGTGGATTCTCAGACGTCCCAACAAGACCTAGTTCAATGTCTCTACCTGCTGTAGCCACTTTCTTATGAAGTGAAATACTTAACCACAATGCATTTCTCAAAACTGATGGATCTATCAATGGTTTACCTGAGTTATCAGTGAAAGCCTCAAGTTTGTGGAGTTGTTCAGCACTCATATGACAATAATGGACTTTTGTGTTTAATGAATGAAACAAAGAGTCAAGGTCTTCATCTTCATCTTCACTTACCACAGACGCAGTACTTTCCCTTTCTAACGTTTGTCTCCTTTCAATCAATTTCATGATGAATATAGCTCTTTCCCATTCGGATGGCACAAAGAAAGCGTCATGTCCCACGACATAAGCTATAATGGAATTTGGAATATCATCCCATTTCTCTAGTCCATTTTGCCATCCATCAGCACATAATAAACCTTTAGCACTATCTATAATTCTTTCACTGGCTTTGCCATAATTATTATTGACAGCAAACGTTGTGAATCTTCCAATATTATTGAAATCTAATGCATTGACAATACAATCTGTAGCAGAACAAACGACTTCTGGAATGTCTAAGTATTGACCCACTGCAATCATACTCAGTGTATGTTGAATCTCAGTTTTAGGATTAACTGCACCGTATAATCTGGCAATTGCAAGTTCAAAAGATTCTTGTGTGATATTCTCATCATCGTCAAATATTAATTCATGTGATGTATGTGATGGATCATTCCAGGGTCCACTGAATAATGAGTTGAAGTAACCACTTCTATCTAGTATCAATTTGTGCAAGTTATATTCTTGATTGAAAGCTTTGATAGTGATATCGGAGCATGCACCTTCGAAAAAACCTCGTTTTAATATAAAATCACCAAGATTCTTTTTTTCACAGCACCCATAAGGACATGTTTCTGAATCATCAACGGGTGGTTTTTCATTGTCCCAGGATGTACCGCTTTCTTTCAATGGCGACTCAACATTCCGGCTTTGCTCCATGATGTTATCTAATGATGCTCGAGGCAAAGATCTGTTGTTTAAATTAATTTCATGAGAGCTAACCGCTCTTCGAGGGCTTCCTCTTGAAGAATTCATGGGTGTTCTATGATCTGTCACTTAACGCTTTAATTTACTTGTGTTTTGAAAAGTGAAATTCTAAAAGTTGGAATGAAACCTACTTCTTGATTTAATTGAGTGAAGATCCCGAGATTTTGAAAGTTTAATTTTGTATGAGGAAATCTTATTGACTATAATTTCTGATAATAATGATGAACAATAGTAACGAACTCAATTGTTTAGTTATACGAGCTTATATATCAATCCAAAAATTCAAAACAGACACAAAATACATTATGGCAATCGCGTATTATGTAAACAGAGATTTCCAAAATAGAATCGCGGATTCCTAATAAAATGTAGAGCGCATTCGCGGTGATTTTATAGTGCAATAAACTTCTACAATACCTTTAAAATAACATAAATGAATAATAATTAAGTATTAACAGGTGGAATATGACATATATGTCTAATATAACAAAAATTTTAACATAAAACAAATAAAACAAATAACAAATATGGGAATCATAATATAAAAACAATGAAATATAATTAATGAATGAATTCATGTAGTATCCTATTTGGCACTATTGTCTTTTAATAGGTCCAAATCATCTTCAAGGTTGATACCATCCATAGACCTTTGAATTAAATAACGTAATGAGTTATACCAGATATTATGGCGTTGTCTTGTTGGACATGTGATCTTGATGGAACGACTTTGAGAGTGAACAATAATGCTCTTATGGTGTAAACCAGCAGGTAATGGATTGTTATCTTCAATACTTTCAACACCAATGATAGCAGCTGCACGTGTTTTATGAGTTGAAGGGTTACCCAAAACAGGATTTGTCGATGACCAGTACAATGTTAATGTATATGGATGAATCCAAAAGTATCTCTCATGTCTGCTTTCTGAAATAGAACTTAGCGGTCCTAAACGACGGTAGTATTTGAATAGGTATTCCCCAATAACAGTTTGAGTCAGTGCTGGTATAATTGATGGTTCAGATAACGAAGCATTAGTGATCAATGAAATTCCTCCATCGATTGACACATCACGCTGGTGAATAGTGGAACCTGATCTATTGATCGAATGTGCCCTAGAGCTTGAATGGGAATTCGATCTTGGTTGATTTTCATATTCTTGGTAAGCAGCAGAAGCAGCAGCTTCGGCCAGATTTCTGCGAGAATTGGATGTGGCCAACGATGTCAAAGTGCTCTTTCTAGATAACAAGTTATGTGAATCTTTATGAGCTTCAGGTTCACCATATGTAATATGGAATCCTCTCTTTTTAGCTTGAGCTTGTAATTCATCATTAGAAATCTTATCAACATTCAAAGATTCTGATTTAGTCAGTTTGTTATAATAGGTCACTGGCAGAACAACAACATTATTGACATCTGGAATTCTTGAAATATTAGTTGCAATGAATGAATTTTCTGGAATTGCTAACAGGCCGTGAGTTCTAGCGCCAGCCTCGACATCTTCTTTGGACAATAGTGGTGGTTCAGGTTTAGGCTTTTCAAGATTTTCTTTACTTTTGATACCTGCCTTATTTCTCAATACTTCAAGCTCTTCCTTGGAAACAGCAACCAAATCGTATTCTGTAGCTCTTGAAACAACATCTGATTTCGAAAGTAATGGAGTGGCATTCGCATCTGAAGCTGCCTTCAATTGTTTGAAATCAGCCACAGAAAGAGTTACTAAATCAAAATCTGGACTCTTCTCAACAATATCTTCTTTTGAAACTTTTTGGGTTGCTTTGTCTTTTATAGCTTGTAACTCCACTTCTGGGATAAAGACAAATCCATGCTCAGATGCATAATTTTCTAAATCTGACTCCTCAGGCGTCTTCTTAGAAGCAGATACCAAAGAATTATATTCTTCCAAGCTAATGACCTTAAGACCAAATTTATCAGCATCTGAAACCACAGATTCTTTAGTTGATTCTTTAGTGGTTGCACGAGTGGCAAGTTCATCTGAGGACAAAACAGATAATCCTAAAGCTGAAGCACCAGCAACGATAGCCGCTTGTGATAACCCATTACCTTTGGTGGTTTTCTCAGTAAGTGATTGGTATACATCTTTATCTAAAGCGACTAATTCAAAATCAGCAGCTTTATCAATAAAATCAGTTTTACTTGTGATCGAAGTTTCAACTAACTTATCAAATCTTTCTCTGGTTAAAAGAATTAGACCCAGAGAGTTGGCATATTCTTGAACATTATCCTGTGTTATCAGATCGGTTGGATTAACACTTGATTTAGCTTTCTCTTCTAAATCTTGAACTTCGGCCTTAGTGAATGTTAACAAACCTAATCCTTTTGAAGCTTCACGAATGTGTGATTCATCTGGACGTTGTAATTTTTCCAATACATGTAGTTTATCATTATCAATAATATTCAATCCCAGTTTATCCGCGTGTAGTTTCAAGTCATCTTCTGTAAGCTCTCTATTTTGCAAGAGGTCAAATTCATCTTGTTCAATGACAACTAATCCCAAATCACCAGCAGCTCTTGAAATGGCATCTCTATTAGAAGGAATAAAACTTCCATCAACAATCGTATCATTTTCTTGATCTTCATCATCTTGGTCACCTTCATCATTTTCACCTTCGTGTGTTAAGTCAGGCACTGCTTCATCGGCAAATGATTGATTGATTGGAACCAGAGCAAGACCCAAGAGGTTAGCTTGATCTCTAAGCTCGTCTTCAGAAATAGATCTCGCATGCAAATCACGAATTGTTGAAGCATTTGATGGAATACGTTCCAAGGCATCTGTGAATTCACTTTCGTTGATTGTTGAGGTGAATGTGGAAATAGATTCATTTGATTGTAATGTCAGTGGATGAACTGATCTTGAATTAGCCTCATCACCATGTGAAGTGATATTCAAGTTCAAGCGTTGTGCAATGGCTTGTAAATCATCATATGTGATACTATCTCTATTTGAGCGCTTCTTCAACAAGCTCTTATATTCATCTGTAGGCAACACTGAAAGGTTGAATTCCTTAGCACCTTTGTAAATATCGGATTTAGTCAAAACATAATCCTTTTGATGCTCCAATAATTGTTTATATTCATCAGCAGCAACCGGAACAAATCCAAGACCTCTAGCAGATTCAAATACTTTAGCTCTTTGGCGATCCTTCTCGGTACTTTGTGTTATCTTTTCAAAGTAGTCCTTGTTTTGGGCAACCTTACTGATTGGGGTTGTTGGTGTTCTACTGGCTTCTTCTTCTTCATCGATCTTCTTCATCTGCTCAAATTCCTCAAGTGGTACAAGAACATGGCCAATAGATTTCGCCTTTTGTTCCAAGTCACTCTTGGAAACTTTATTGATGGCATCATTCAAACCTTGATATTCCTTTTGGGTAATCAAAATCAATCCATGTGTAGCAGCATGCGCTTCAAGGAAGGCCTTATCAGGTTGTTCAACTTGAGCTAATAATGTGTTATAATCTGAACGCGGAATGACAGTGAGATCTCTTGATTCAGCATGTAACTTCAAGTCATCCTCTTCAGGGTTAGCGAGTCTATGATAAGTATCATGAGGTATAGATTTTAGACCAAATTTATCAGCATGAGAAATCACATCTTCTTTGGTAATATCCTTGGTGATTTTGTCATATTCGGTAGTATCAACAACGACAAATCCAAGATCTTTGGCACGGGAAGTGATTTCATTAACTGTTAGACAATCAACTTGCTTCAATTTTGACAAGTCATCCTTAGATATATTAGCCAAATTATGCTCTTCTAAGTAACTATTAATGAACTCATTCAGTTCCTTTTGTTCAATGACCAAATATCCCAATGATGTAGCACGAGGTGTTATTTCGCTGATTTCCACAGAGTTTATATTTCTCATCTCTGATAAATCTTTTTCAGAAATATGCGCTAGCTTGTGTTGTTCTAAGTAGTGGAAGACAAAATCAGCAAGTTTCTTCTCTTCTACCATCAAAAACCCCAATGCTGTAGCACGAGGTGCAATTTTTTCTATAGGAAGTTTCTCAATATCACTGAGCTTGGCGAATTCCTCTTTGTTCAAAGAAACCAAATCATTCTCTGTCAAATATTTATCAGTAAACTCCGACAATTTGCTTTGTTCAACAAGCATATATCCCAATTCAGTAGCACGAGGTGCAATTGTATCAATCGGAAGTTTCTCAAGTTCACTGAGTTTAGCAAATTCTTCCTGATTCAAAGAAACCAAATCATTTTCACTCAAGTAGTTATGTACAACATCTGATAATTTATCTTTCTTTACAACAAGATATCTCAATTCTGTAGCACGGGGTTCTATCAAAGTGATTGAAGCTGAATTTATATCACTTAATTTCTCTAGCTTCTCTTTTTCAATCAATACTAATCCTGATTTTTCAGCATTGGTTGAAATGAAATCACGGCTAGGATTTTCACTAACATTTCTTAACTTCTTATGATCTTCTGAGGTTAATAATGTAAAGCCTAATGATCCAGCTTTTTCAATCAAGTGATCAACAGGTGGTGACTGTGAAAGACCGAGTAATTTTTTATGCTCATCAACAGGGAGGACTTGTAATCCTAAATCTCTACTCTTGGAGGTCAAATGTTCCAAATCTGGAGAATGGGCTAATTCCTGTAGTTTTTCATAATCACTATTAGGAACAACTTTCATATTATACTCTGTTGCTTTTTGAGTAATATGATCTAACGGTGGCATATTGGCTAATGATTTGAGGCCATCATATTCATCTGACAATAACACAACAAATCCAAGATCGTGTGCTTTTTCAGTAACATGACCAACACTAGGTGATTCTGCATTATGTTTCAAGTCATCAAAAACATCCTTTTCTATAGCAATTAAACCATGTTCATGCGCTTTCTTGATAATTGAATCTTTATTAGGATTAACCAATAACTCAAATTCATCTGTTGGAATGATTTTCAAACCCTCACGGTGAGCATGTACTGATAGTATATCTTTTGATGGATGTAATAAAGCATTATGATCATCAGATTCTAAAGTGACTAGTCCATGTTTAGCAGCATGTGCAACAATAGAGTCTTTGCTTGGATTTTCTAAAGACGCATGGTCTTCTTTGGTGAGAACGACACTATTGGATTCTTTAGCTAAATCGTCAATAGTTCTAGCAGATTTTACTGATAGATGTTCGAATTCATCTTTTGGAATCAATTGAAGTTTGTTAGCAGCTGATAACTCTCTTAGTTTGTCAATACTTGGTGAGTTTAATTCATCAAATGCTTTATTCGTGATAGCAACAAGACCGGCAGCCGAAGCAAATTTGACAATAGTATCATTTGATGGACTTTTGAGAGCATCATGGACTTCTGGTGTTAATAACACTTTATTGTGCTCAACAGCAAGGTCATCAATTGTCTTATTTGCATTTTTAGATAAAGTTTCTAGCTCTTGTGTAGGTATCAAACTCAATCCAAGTTCTGAGGCTTTATTAGATAGTTTGTCTTTTGATGGATTCAACAATTGATCATATTCCTTTTGTTCTAATAGCACCATATCTCTTTCGTCTGCCTTTTCTTTTAAGGTTTCTTTGGTTGGATCGATTAGACGTTTGTAATCATCAACAGTGACAGTAGTAAATCCTGATTCTGAGGCCAACTCTTGCACTGATTTGGAAGCTTTTTCCTTCAATAAGTGATATTCTTCTTTAGCAACAGCAACTAAGCCAAAGATGGCAAGGTTTGAAGTTAAAAATTCTTTTGAGGGAGTACTTTTATGTTCACGAAGTTCTCTAGCTTCTTCATCAGGAAGAATGACATGTGAATGATTTTGAACTTTTTTATGTAAAAAGTCTAATGATGGAGACTCAAGTGAAGATAATAAAGCTTCATGCTCATCTTTTGTTGAAGTAACGAGACCAGAGCGTTCGGCATAATCTCTAACAGTACTAATAGATGGATTCAATAAAGCTTCATGAGCTTTTTGATCCAGAACGACTTTATTATCCTCCTTTGCTAGATCATCTATAGTTTTCTCAAATTTTACCTTTAATTCATGATGTTCTACTGATGGTACCAACACGGCTCCATTATTTTTGGCTTTCTCTGTCAAATACTCTAAGGAAGGTGATTTGTATGACTTTTCAAGATCTTCATAATCAGATTTCGATATAACCAAATGATCATGAGCTAATGCCTTTGAAGTCAAGTGATCCAATGATGGAGTCTCGTTGTTGAAAACTAATGCACGGTGTGTATCTTTAGGAACAGCAAGTAAGCCATGTCTAGCAGCATGTGTGGAAATGGTATCAGTTGAAGGGCTGAGCAACAATTCGTGATCTTCTTTTGGAATAACAACCTTATTTTCTTTAGCTGCAAGGTCATCCAGTGATGTGTTAGCTTTGGTAACAAGGATGTCATAATCTTCTTGCTTCAAAACGACAGACCCATCTGATGTAAGTTTTTCAGTTAATAAACTCTTATCAGCAAAATCCTTCTTCAATTTAGCAGCTTCTTCTTTCAACCCATTATAGTCTACCAATGGAACTGCAATCAAACCTAGATTTGTAGCTTTTTGACGGATGAAGTCTTTCGATGGCGAGTCATTGATTTTTACCAATGTGTCATAATCATCAGAATCAACAACACTATATCCTAATCCCTTAGCTTTTGATGTTATAAAGTCTAAACTTGGTGATTTTGATAAGCTAACCAAACTATCATAATCTGATTTTTGAACAGTAACGTATCCAAGATTCTTAGCCTTCTTAGTCAAGATATTAATTGGAGGATTTACCAAAGCGCCATGATCCTCTTCCGATAAAACAACCTTCTTTTGCTCTGTTGCAAGATCATTTATAGTTTTATTGGCACGATATGTGATATCTCTTAACTCATCATCTTTAACTAATGCATACCCAACAGCAGAACCTTTAGAAGACAGGTACTCAACAGAAGGTGAATTAATGGAGTTCAACAATTCTTGATGTTCCTTATTAGTCAATGCAATATGGTCTGATTCTCTTGCTAAATCATGAACAGATCTTTCTGATTTATTGACGAGCTCTTTGTGTTTATCACCGTGTAAAGCAACATATCCAGCAGCAGCAGAGAATCCTAGAAGCTCTTCAATTGATGGTTTAGTTGATTTTCTAGTAAGCTCTTTGTGATCATCTCTAGATACAACAATTTGATCATTTTCAGAAGCTAACTCGTCAATTGATTTGTTAAATTTGGAAACTAATGATTGGTGTTCATCCAGTGGTATCAAAACATGGTTATTACTTTCGGCGAAGTTTTTCAATTCATCAACCGTAGGATCTTGAACTTTTCTAAGAAGTTCTGTATGTTCATCTTTACCCAATAACACCAAGTTTTGTTCTTTAGCTAAAATCTCAACAGTCTTATTTGCCTTCTCATTCAAGTCTTTTAGGTTATCCTCAGATAAAGCAACATGCTTACGAGTTTTCAAGTGATTATGTAGAGCATCAAGAGAAGGATTGGATATTTCTTCTTGTAGTGCTTTATATTCATTATTTGGAACAAGTGTAACACCTTTAGCATCTGCATGTTCTTCAATCGTGGTATTTGCTCTTTTATTCAAATCATCTAATTCTTTAACTGGTACAAGCTTATGTTTGTGGATTTCAGCTTTTGAAGATAGATGATCCAATGTTGGTTCATTAGCTAATAATTTCAGTTTATCATGATCATCTTGTTTCAAAACGATAAAATCTTCTTCTTTTGCCAAATCATGAACGGATTTACCAGCCTTCTCTAATAAACTAACATGAGCAAGCTTTGGAAGAACAGATAACCCTTGTTTACTTGACTTATCAGATAAATATTCATGAGTTGGATTTTCCACTTGAGATTTCATAATTGATAATTCACCAGTGGCACGTTCTAGTTCATCTTGAAGGTTAGCATTATTTTTAACCAGTTCTTTGTGTTCAGCTTCTAGAGAATCAACTTTTTCTTTTAATTCAGTGATCAACTTATTGGCAATTTCAGATTTCTTTTCAGATTTTGAAGATTCTGAAGCAAGTTTGACTTTCAATGATTCAATTGAATTGTTTAATTCATTCAAATGTCTTTCATGTTCAACAGCTTGTAAAACCTTGAAACCTTTACCAGAAGCTTTTTCATTGATATATTCGGTTGATGGATCATCAATAGATCTTTGTAAGCCTTTAGATTTCTCTGATAATGATGATATTTCGGCAGTCTTTGTACTGACTTGTTTTTCTAAATCACCAATACTGGTCTCCAATTTAGCGACTTCTGATTTCAAGCTGGTAACGGTTGAGTCATAGTCAGAGATCTGCTTATCATGTTCATCAATGTTCAATAATTTGAAACCTCTTGAAGTGGCTTTCTGAGCAATATAATCATGATCTGGTTCATCATATGATGATTGCAACGATGCTAGTGTAGTTGAAAGTTCTTTGGATTTAGATGATACAGATGTATGTTCATCTTTTGCAGCTTTGAGATCAGTTTCAAGTTGTTTAATAGTTGAAGAAAGGGTATTTGTGTTATCTAAATTGGCTTCTAATTTGGCTTCTAGCTCTTTGATCTTTAACTCTGATTGTTCAATGGTTGTTGAAAGATCTTTCTTTTCGGATTCAAAGACTTGTATTTTGGTGCTCAAATCTTCAGTCTTTAGTTCTGCACGTTCAATTACCGAAGAAAGTTCTTTCTTTTCGGATTCCAGCCCTTGGATTTTGTTGTTCAGGTCTTTAACCTTCAAGTCAGCTTCTCCAATAGTTGTTAAAAGAACTTTCTTTTCAGTTTCAGATTTTTGGATGGAAGATTCTAATTCTTTGATCTTAATTTCAGATTTCTCAACGGTCTCAGAAAGAGAGCTCTTATCTGATTCTAATTGTTGAATCTTGGCTTCGAACCCTTCAATGGAAGATTTCAATTCTTTGGTAGTTAATTCAAGAGTTTCTTTATCTTTGGTTGTGACACCAATAGTAGATCTCAATTGTTGAACGATAGATTCAGATTCCTTAACAGATGAAGACAAAGTATCTCTTTCTTTAACTGCATTTTTAGATTCGCGTTCTAGTTCTTCAATTCTTGACTGTAACTCTTTATTATTTGATTGATATTCTTCTAACTTGGATTCTAAAGACTTGATATTATCTTTCAAATTACCACGTTCTTTCGAAACAGAAGCGATTTGTTGTTCTAATTCATCTATTTTTGCTGATGATTTTGATTCTTGATTTCTCAATTGTTCTCTGGCGTTGGTAAACTTAACTTCAAGATCTGATACCTCCTTTTCTTTAGATGAAAGTTTTGATTCGAATGTTTTAATTTTTAATAACAAACTTGAATGATCATCCTCAGGAAGTAATCTCAAGTTTTTAGATTGTGCTTTTTCTAACAAGAAATCATGACTTGGATCTTCATGAATTGATTTGTAATGAGATAAATTATCAGTCAATGTCTTAAATTCAACAACCGGTAAAGTATGTAATCCTAATGTTGATGCATTATTTGTGATGAAATCTCTGCTTGGATTCTTAACTTTCTCACGTAATGAAGTTCTTTCTTTTTCAATATTTGCAGTTTCAATGGCTGCTTCCTCCAATTTCTTCTTGAAATCAGCAACATCTTTAGCATATTGTTCTTTGGAATATCTTAAATCAGAAACTTGACCAACCAGGTCAGTGATTTGTTTAGCACCTGAAGCCAATGCTTCTTCTTTAAGAGCTAGTTCCTTCTTGCTCAAAATAATCAATCCTTTAGATTCAGCAAATTTATGTAAATCAGCTTCTCTTGATATTTCTTTAGCGACAGGATCATCATTTGGTAATGAAACAAAACCAAATTTCTTTGCAGGTGTAACAATAGCATCAGTGGTTAAATCTTGACCTATAAGTTTTGAATATTGATCACCAGGTAAAATTACAAGACCATTTTCTTCTGCATATCTTTCAACATCTTCTTCAGAGAGCACTTTCAATTCTGATGATAATGGTGCAACATCTTTTAATTCATCTTCATCAAAATCAGAATCAGTATCTTCGATAAGGTCTTGTGTATATGAAATTGGTCTTGAACGTTTAGCAGTTGGAGATGCACCAATTGATCTAGACGTATCACCTTCAAAGTTTTCCCAATCATCATCAAAATCAGATGCATCCATTGAATCTTCGTAGATGTTCTTTGAGCTTCTGTTTGATGAAGGTTTTAGAACATGGAAAGATCTATTACCAGGTTCATTCAAACTTCTAATGGATTTTTTAGGTAATGGATTTTGTGATTTCTTGGAAGCAACTGGTGAATTTTGTTTACTTGATAATTCATTTGATCTTAATTTCAATATTTGAGCTCTTAATTTAGCAATTGTATGATGTGCTTGAGTTAATGATCCTCTTAAAGTTTCTGATTCCAGAGCAGTATTATTAACGGGTATAGTTTTGACTGGTGAAACTGGTGGTTCTTTAAATTCTTCATCTGATGATTCATCATCCATTGGTCTAAGATCTGGGATCTTTGTTAAGACAGGTTCAGCTGGTTTCTTTTCAGATTCCTCTAATTTCTTTCTTAGCTCATCAATTTCATCATTCAACTTATAATTTTCATCATTTAATTCATCAATGTGTGATTTAAGATCTTGAATTTGATTTGTATTCGTAAGTTGATTTGAAGAGAAATCACGCTCTAATGTAGCTTTATTCATATTGGATTCATCTAATTCAGATCTAATATCATGAGACAGTTCTAATTGTTTATTCAATTCAGATTGTGCTTTATTGAAATTATCAGTAACTAATTTGAAATCTTGTGAAACTTGTTGTAATTTTGCCTCAAGTTCCCAGTTGGTATCTTTATATTTTTCTTCATTTTGTAAAGCTTCGTTTAATCTAGCTAATAGTGAGCCATTAATATTTCTCATTTTTTCAATTTCATGTTCAACACTTTTCAATTTTTGTGATTTATGTTGATTTTCAGCTTGTAATCTTCTACATTCTAATAGTAAGTTATCACTTAAACCAACAACAAAATCTAAATCTTTACCTCCACTTTTTGTTTGAGATGATAAAGATCTTGAAGAATTATCAAACACTGGTAATGAAATTCTTTTATCTTTTTTACCTAAGAAATTGGATAAACCTTTCTTAGAAGGTTCCTCCGCAACTCTTCTTGGGTCATTAATATCATGATGATCAGTTTGTTGTTCTGATTGCTCATTTCTAGCAGTAGGCCTTTTTGGAGAATTTAACGTAGATTGTGATAGCCGTTTCTGTAGATCAGATAGCTGAGACTTCAAGTTTTGATCTGAAGACGACATACTTCAAAACTTCACTGGGTTGATTTTGTTAGTAAATCTTGTGTCTTTATTATGGAATGTAATAAATCTTAAAAGGGAAGAATGTGACTATATATCATTCAATCTTGGAAATAGTCCTATACCTCTATTTCAAAAATAACACATACCTCAAATTTCGTCAGCCTCTGTATGAATTTGTATGATTAATTAATTAAAATTGGATAATTGTTCTTTGTTTTGATGGGTCAAAAAGTATGGTGATTTATTTTCAATTTTTTTGTTTATGTTTTTTTGGCGTATGCGGTTCGGGCAGATCACAACATAACGTAATTACAAAACATAAAAAGATCTATTGTTTTAAAGGAAAATTAAAACAGTTTTGATTGTTTCATTCTCGATTTGATTCGATTTTTTGTATAAAATATACGAGTATCATCCGTCAGCCGGAATCGATCTACGATTTTCTGTAGAATTTACATTTATAGTTATGATCATACGCAGTAAAATAAGATCTAATAAGATCTGAGAAACGTCTACAATTCAGGGTTCGGTCCATAACTTCAAGATGATATATTTACTATTTATCTTCCTTTTTTGATTTTTTTCTCAAGGCATTCAAGAAACTAACAATGCCTTCACCTTCATACTCATATTCCAATGATTTTGAAACAATAAACCCACCACCATTATTCAATGCATTACCAAGATTTGATGCACTTCTTTTGAAAAAACCACTAAATAATACAGTTTTTAGATTTTCTTTATTATGTTCAAATGATTCAGGTAAATGTGTGTATAATTGTTTTAAAGTATCTTCATCTGCATTATCTATCAAAGATGTTAAAGCTTCAGGTGTTAAGACGTCATTCAAATCATAAATTGGCCTGACTTTCCAGTTAGTTTTTGTATTATTACAAGAGAAAAATCATGATAGATCAAATATCGCAAATTTCTATTCATATCTCATTATGTACTTACTGTGTGTTTTCTTGTTTTGTAGTTGTTTCAGTAGTGGTAGTAGCAGCAGTTGTTGATGATGCATCTGGAAGTTCAACATCACCTTTTTCTTCAGGTTGCTCTTCTTCTTCTTCTTCTGGTTGAAATATCTTTTCAATTTTTCTCAAGATATCTTGATCTTTTTTACTTAATGCACTTGGTTCATCTTCATCATCATTGATTTCTTGTAACCAAAATAAATGTCTAGCACTTGATGATAAGAATTGTAAAGCGAAAACTCTACCAGTATTGGCTTCTTCGACTTGTTTCCAAGTAACATCACCGGGCACCACTAGCAATTCTTCCTTTTCAACATTTGGAACGTTATCTTTTGGAGCCCATTCAAATGAATAAAATGATTCGTCTTCATCAGAAGGTTTTATAGTGATTTGACCTTGAATTGGTTCTGGTGTGGCTAATTTTTTGTCTGCATCATATTTAACTCTACCGGCTCTGAACTTAATTGTGGACATCTTGATTCAATTGTTTGTTTTGTTGATACAATTGGTTTAATTGAGCTTTATTTGTCAGTATCAAACTCTCAAATCTTGCCACTCCAAAATCAAAATACCTGTGCGCTCAAAATCTGAATCAAAACCTCGCGCTTTTTACCCGGTTTTGTTAAAACTAAGCGCGCGCGTGGTAAGAACTTTACAAATTACTAGTAAGAGACATCGTTTGACACCTTTCAAAATTCATCAATTTTCTGATCAGAAGGAATTGATAGCTTTAAAAGCTCAATGATGAGTGCTCAATTTCCACCAAGTGATGTTACCGAGATAGTGGAAGAAATTGCATCCATACTTATCAAGAGAGGTGAAACTATATCTGTTTCAGAAGCCGCTTGTGGTGGATTATTATCAGCTTATTTAGTTTCAGTTCCAGGTGCTTCACAATGGTTCCATGGTGGTACTTTGGTCTATAGTTTAAAATCAAGATTAAAACTTTCTGGGTGGTCAGAAGAAGATATTTTAAATTATACAGGTCCTTCAGAAAAAGTTGTATTAAGGTTAGCAAGAACTTTAAGAATGGATCTTGGTTCAACTTATGTTTTATCAGAAACTGGTATTGCAGGTCCTGTTATTCAAGCACAAGATGAAACTGGGAAATCAGTCTATACAAATGAAGATATAGGTACTGTGTTTTTGGGTGTTGCAAGTCCAAATGGTGAAAGTTCCACAGTTAAAAGAACGTTGTCAAATGATAGATCTAAAAATATGCAAGAGTTTGCAAAATTTGGTTTAGAATTCATTTTAGATGAATTGAAGAAAGCTGAAGGGAAAGATGGTGAAAAAGATGATAATGGAAAAGATGATAATGAAAAAGATGATTCGAAAACCAATGGTGACTCTCATAAAGACAAGAAACAAAAAGTATAAGAACCTAAGTCTGTGATATCGTATTAAATTCATTAACTGAAAAACATATAGAGAAGGTCACCTTTATCCAAAGCAGTTCTATTTAACCGGTTAAGCTGGTCAAAATGTTGATGTCACCAGACAAAGTTAAACAGCACTACATTCTACTAATAGCATACCAAGGCAGTTGAACAATACAAGCTGTATACGGCAACTGAGATTGGTTCACTCATGTATATATATCCCGTCGTACATAGGAAGTTGTAATTATCAAAACTTGTTCAAAAGTTAGCCCCATAGGTACTTCAATTTTACCACGTAGTGCTTATAAATTACCACTTTGTTTGAGATTCCGTTTACGAAAAAAATTTCCTCAACAGTTTTAAATTCCTTGCATAATTAAGGCCGATCTAAGTAATCACGAATCTGGTTCTGGACTCATTTTCAGGAGAATGAAGACCACTTGGAGGAAAAACTCCAGAAGAATGTGAGTAAAATATTGTGTGTTTCTAATGATTAAGCTCCCCCAGTATATGTAAAGTATCTCTATACCTGTGACAGTTTAAATCTCGCTAAAAAATAACACATTCAACGGTTATCAACCAACCATTTCCCTTCCATTCTCGCCTTACTTTATGTGCAGTACTAAAACCAAAACCACGGGCGATCTTCAAAAACTGAAAATTTACATCAAAGAAACAAATTCAACGTTAAAACAAGGATTGTGATACCCAAGTGATTTCTTTCAATTCTATATATTCTTTCTTCGATTCAAATCTCATAGTTGTCAATAACCATTCACTAGTGGGAAATTTTTTACAATCTTTTGAACATTCTTAGATTTTTTATATAACTGTTGATTGGGATCTTTTTTTTTTGTCTCAACATTCCCTTTTAACTCTTTAGATCTGAAAAAAAAGTCAAGATATAGATCAAAGATCAAGATCAAATTATACCATGTCTGAAATGAATGGTAACTCTGATCATAAAGATGAGATTCAATGGTCTCCTCTACCCATGCTGGCTCATGGGAAAGTTATCAAACCATTCTTACCATTAGACAAATTTCCAAGTTTAAAATTATCAGCTTTTTATAAGAATTTGTACCCTGGAGATGAAGTGTTCTTATTTGAAACCAATAATACATCAAATTGGGCTAGAGGTTATCTTATTGTCCAACCACTACCTTCAGATTTCATTGAAAAATCAAGTGATTTGGATAAATTACCAGAGCAGAGAGTTAGTGTTGTTATTGTTCCATTGACACATATTCATATAATGGATAGATTGGCTATGACTTCAAATTTTGCTGCTCCATCACCAAATGATTTTGAATATGGACAAAGTTCAATCCCAAGTATTCATGACTTACAATTATCCAATACAAAAGCAAGAAATGGTGATTTACAAGATGAAAGTGCAAATATAAAATTGAAACCGCCTTTACCCTTGGTTAGATTAGATTCTGGTGATCTTTTGGATGAACTGGTCCCATCATTATCTTTATTAGCTTCACATATTTATTCGTTCTATTCTGTTGGTGAATACGCTTTATTTAAGAAACTTTATGAATCATTTGACGAACTAAATAATTTAAGAATCAAATTAACTTATAATTTATTAACAAGAGCTGAAAAGGCACAAGCTAAACAACAAGTTTCATTATTATTATCAAATATCTCCAAATTTTTATCATCAAAAGGTGCAAGCAAGTTTCATCAAAACTCAAGTGCCCAATTAAAACATGATTCTTCAGGTTATCAATCTGTCACAGCAAGAGATGTCAATTCTGGAGAACTTTATGATTACTGGAGTACTGATTTGGCAAAACAACCAATTCCAAAAATCATTGCTGCAAATCAATTAGCCGCTACATTATCACCAAATTTCCCAGTAACAAATAACTTGGAAGAAGAATTAAAACCAAAGAAAATCACCAAATTTAATAAAGTTACACCTTCACAAATATTGGTCGATTTCAAAGATGTTAGTGGTACTTCAACATTGAACCCTAAAGGGTTTTCTGGTATGACAGCATATTTATATTTGAGAACTTCTAAAAGAAGATTAACTGAAGCCTTTGCCATTCATATAAATTCATCTTCAGCTTTCTCTTTAGATAAAATCTCTGCCGCTCTATTTAGAAATATCCCAGGTACTGAAGTTGATACAAGTAGAATTTATTTGGTTGCCATAATTACTGAAGAAATTGATACCACAAAATATGGCGAAGTTAGTGAAAGTACTATAAAAATGGTTAGAAAAGGTATAGCTGCTGGTGTTGCTGATATCTCAAGAATCTTTTCAAGACATACTGGTGCTTTAAAAACTGGTGAATCACATCAATTCACTATCAAATTATTTGGTTCATATGTCAATAAAACTGATAATACTACTTTAGATCCAAAAAATATGAATTTTGGTTGGGGTGAATTAATTGATAGAGTCATTTCAGGTTCTAAAAAAGGTGTTGCAGTTAATCCAAGAGCTGAAAAATTAGTTGTTTCTATTAAAGAATTTAAAGGTGATTTACAAACGGTTGCATCAGATTTTGACTCAAACATCAAAACTCCAATTTATCAAATTAGAACAAATTTCTTTGATCCGTTGGTTAAAGCACATGATAGAATTTATTTATCAATGGGTAAAGTTAATTTAACATTTAACTCAACTCCATTCCCAGGTGATTTGATATCTATTAGATTGGTCAATACAAATTCAAATTCAAAAGTTGTTATTTCTAAAGCTACAAATGATATTCCAACTAATAGTTGGGATTTTACATCTGTTCATTCAAATGAAGTAGTTGGGGAATCAATAAAAATTAGTGGATTAGAAAATGCAGGTGAAAATGAATCATTGAAATTACATTTATATGTTAATTTTGAATTCAAAGCTGAAGCTGACTTGTTAGTCACTAATAAAGGTCTTGTTCATGAACAGAATAAGAGTCAACTAATCTTATTTAAAAATGGCCCCCAAACTATTGCATCTGTTGAAGTTGACACTCGTTATGTTGGTAAAGCTTTTAATGTTGAAAGTGCATTCCAGCATATATTGGCTTGGAAAAGGTTATATTCATTACCTGAACATGAAGATAGGTTAATTGATACTTTAAAACTATTGAATCAAACTTCTTTAGATCAATCAATCAAATATTTCAAAGAGTTATTGGTCAATTTATTACAAATATTCAGTGCTTCTACAAAATCAAATCTGACCAAATTGAAAACTGCTTCATTTTATGCATTTATTCATTTATTAGATGTTGTTATTGCAAGACAAGAACAATACACTTATTTATATCATGAATTTGTTGAAGAACATTCAAATACTGATAGTATTTTACCAAAAGTTGGTGCTGATTTGATATTTATGACTGCTTCCTATTTTGGTAAAGCAAGTACTGAATGGAATTATGTTGGTAGAACATTATGTCGTATTTCACCATTATTATTGAAAATTTCAATCTTAGCATTAGATCCGAATGATGTCAAAGATTTCCAAATTGCATGGAGAGCATTAGCTCAAGTTCTAGATGAATTTTTGTTGCTAAGAATTGAATCCATGATCCCTGATCAATTATTAGTCTTGGAATATACTGATCTATTATTAGAGAAACTGAGAGGTTTATTCCCAGAGAGTGAAGTTGCACAATTTGGTATCAATATGATCAATGCAGTTGGTACAAGAGGTTTAGGCGCAGCTACTGATGAAAACATTAAATTGAAAGCTAAAGAAACAAAGATTTTCATCACAAAACTTTTGTTAATTCGTCGTTTGTTGAATAGTTGGATTTTTGAAAGTGCTGAATTTCAATCCACAACTGAAAGGTTCTATATTTGTGCAATTAATTGGGCTATTGAAGCTTATGATGATGGTACTACAGATCTTGATGTTTTGAGATTAGCAAACTCGTGTCTTGTTTCGGTTTGTCATATTGCTTGGGGTGTCATTGTAAATAAGGATGAAAAGAATTATATTTTCCCAAGAAGTGTTTCAAGATTATTATTAGCAATTGCAGAATTATTCCATAAAGTTCATCAATTTGCAAGAACTAACAATTTATTTGAACCTAAAAGAACGTATACCCAATTATTTCCAAACTGTTACCCATTTGCTGAATTAATCATGGATTCTGTTCTTAACGATGTGACTGTTGTGGAAATTTTGGTTGAATTAGGTGTTATTTATGCATTCATTACCAAAATTTCAAAAAATATTGCTTCTAATTCCCAAGGTTTTGTTTCTATTTTGGAAGCATCACAAAATGATACAATGTTTAATTCATCCAAACACTTCATTAGCTCATTCAGTAAAGAAGATTTGTTGCTAATCATTCAGACTAATAGATTATTGATTCAATCTAAATTTTTCCCTTCAGAAAAATGGATTTCTCTTCATGCATTATTAATTGAAAGTACAACAAGCTCTTCAGAATTAATCAAATTTATTTTGATTAGAGATCATATCCCATCAGCAACAAATCCAGATACATTTGATAGATCATTATGGAGTAAATATTTGAAATCATTATTGGCCATGTCTTCATCAATGCCAGCATCTATTTGTCATTTGGCTGAAGTTCCAAGAAAAGCTGCTTGGAAAATCACAGGTGATATCCGTGGTAGATGTGCTTCCATAATTAATCAATCATGGGATTGTCTAGGTTGGGACTCTTTGAAGAGAGATTATGTTCGTTTCCATGTGAAGAAGAACTCTGGTTATCATGTTGAATTTATCCAAGAAGATTATGGTATTTTGGAAGAATTGATGGTTTTCTGTTTACAAAGAAATGCACAATGTCAAATTGTTGGTGTCAAAATTTTATGGACCATCATTATTGCTGAACTATTGGTTCAAGAAACAAGTGATGAACCTGTTCACAATAAATTAGCAGCTGTTGAAAAAGGTTGTATGATTGGGTTGGATAAATTCTTCAAATCTGAAAGGTATATTCCTGGTTTATATGAACAAAGAAATTTTATCAAGAGATTAAAAATGGTTATTAGGTTAGATCCTGAAGATGAATCGTTTACAGATGTTTATTCATTCATTCAAAATTTAAGTGAGTTCTTAGATATTCAAAATGATTTAACATCTGTTCCAAAAGGTGATGAATTTGATGATGAAAGAACTTTCCATGATTTAGATATCTTACGTCATTTGATGCGTGTTAATAATGCAAAGAAATTCCATGCTTCATTAGATGATCTTTATGAAAGAAATATTTCAAAAAGCAACTTTACTCAAGCTGCTTTGTGTCTAGAGTTATTAGCTTCAACTTATGACTGGGATGTTGAAGAAGAACTGCCAATTTCTATTAAACCAAGATTGCCAGCACAAACTGCATTTGAAAGAAAAGAATTTTTATATAAAATGATTGCTTCAAATTTGATCAAAGGTTCTAAATTAGAAAAAGCTGTTCTAATTTATAAAGAACTTGCTGAAGTATATGATAAGATTAATTTCAATTTGAAAGGTTTATCCTTTGTTCATAATAGATTATCAGACTTGTATTTGGATTTAACTACTGCTGATAGATCAACTCCAACTTATTTCAAAGTTTCCTTCATCGGTTACGGGTTCCCAAAAACTGTTAGAGGTAGAAGCTTTATCTATGAGGGTTTGACTTTTGAGCATATCAATTCTATTCATAATAGATTATTAAGATTACATACAGGTGCTAAGATTATTTCAAATGATGATGAAGCAAATTATTTAATTCAAAATACACCAAATGGTAAATTTTTACATATTGTTACTGTGAAACCACAAGTTGATTTCCAAAGTAATCATGGTAATTTATCAAGTGCTGCTAGATTGTATATGGAGAACAAAGATTTGAAATACTTTACAACTTCTAAAAGATTACAAAAATCAACGTCTGTCTTGGATTTATGGGTTGAAGAAACAACATATGAAACTTTCAATACATTCCCAACATTAATGAACAGAAGTGAAATTGTTGCAGTTGAAAACACTAAATTATCACCAATCCATAATGCATTGAGAACATTAAGTGCTAAAACACAAGATCTTGTTAATGCAGAAATTAGTGCACAAAAATCATTGAGAGATCGTGAAAATAAATCAACAAGTTTCAATGAATTATCAAGAAACTTATCAGGTACCGTTGATGCTCCAGTCAATGGTGGTATTGCACAATATAGAGAATTTTTCAATGTTGAGGTTGATCCTGAAGATGAGGAGCTAGAGAATGACTTGAGTGTTTTGAAGAGTGCTTTTGATAACTTAGCAATCTGTATTTCACGTTGTTTAGTTGTTCATGGTAAATTAGTTCCAGAATCTTTGAAAGAATCACATGTTGTTTTAATTGATTTATTTGAGAAAAACTTTAAAGGTGAGATTAAAAGAACTCACATTGATGTTGCTGAATTAAGACGTTCAATTCCGAAGGCATCAGCTTCACCATATTCAGCAGGTAGTTCAACAAACTCAAGTGTTAGTACATTTAAGGTGAATCAAACACCACAACAACCACAAACACATGCTGCATCACAAAGAATTCCATCAACTATCTCAGTCAATACTTCCACTGGTTCAACTTTAACTAGAGTTGCATCTGGTTCATCTGAAAAATCAAGTTCAAGAATGTCCCAAGTTACAACTGGGAGTGGGGGTAGAAAAAGATCAATCTTGAACTGGAGACAATCTCGTCAAGAGGCGCCATGATAAATAGACATTTGGACAATTACTTCTATTCAGAAACACTCAACTTTCACTTGTATATTAGATTTAAAAGTTTATAATATTTGTTTTCATAAATAAAGTTTTATTTTTCCACATACTTGATATTAATGTAGTAAATTTTGGTTATGATGACAAATATACATTTTTATTTCCGGATCCGGAAGTCTAGCTTCCCAACTTTCCATGAAAGTGGTGAAGAAAAAAAATCGGAAGCCAATACTTACAAAGGAGATTAGATTTCAAATACACTTGAACAATTACAAATTTTTGATTCAAGTTTAAATTCATCGTTTGTTTCAACTCATATAAATTAAAATGTTCAGATTAGCCGCTCAATCAGCCATCCGTGCTTCAGTCAGATCAACCGTTGCTAGATCAGCTACTCCATCAGTTGCCGCTTATTACAAAGCAGGAGCTACTTCATTCTTCCAACCTCGTTTTTATTCCACAAAATTAACCCAAGATGATGTTTTGCGTCGTATTCAAGAAGCTACTAGTCATTTAGTTGAAGCCAAAACTGAATTAAAACCAGAACAAAATTTGACTACTGATTTAGGTTTAGATTCATTAGATGCTGCTGAATATTTAATTGCAGTTGAAGAAGAATTTGATATCGAAATGGATGAAGATACTGCTAACCAATTGAAAACCGTTGGACAAGTCGTTGAGTACTTGGTCAACAACCCAGATGCTAACTAAGTTTCACAAATCGTTAATTTATGGGAAATTATAAACCACCATTTTGATGACTTGAATGAACACAAATATTCTTTTTTTAACAGCAGCCCGCAGAATACATAATGTTTGAATCCTTTGTATATAATAATCAATTATGATATTGTTCTGTCTCGTGAATGTAGAAGTATGAGGATCAATTCAATTTCAAAACGCTTCGAGCTTGATATATTAACTGATAGATTACAAGTTCTACTTGCAGCACTCGATGTAGGTAGAAACTTTTTGGAAAGATATGACACTAGTCACATAAATTCAGTATAATTCTATATATTCCATGCCTAAAAAGATCGTCTTTGACTTTTCATTTTGAACTTGAAGTACTAGTTTATATTGTTGAAGATAATACGTAAGTAGCACCGTGCCTCGTAACCTTTCCCGAAATAGTCATTCTGTCATAATTCCCAAAACATCACCAAATTTGCCGCTATTAATAAGTTAATGAATCTTATGTAGAACCATTGGGAAGATTACTCTTAGGTTATTAATTGCCAAAATGACACACGATAAACCACTAGATAATACTGAAGACATTGTCAGCCACAGTGAACACGAAGATACCGATGTTGAAGAAGAAATTGAACAGCCGACATCTGGTATCCAGGGTCAAATCATACCAGATGATCATCCAGATCAAATTGACGCTGATGCTGATTTAACTAATGATTATCCTGATGATTCAGAATATGTGGACTTGATTCATTTGAAGATCAGATCTATGGAGGATTTAAATCTTGGTAGATTTAAAAATTTGAAAGGTTTGGTGTTGAGACAAAATTTATTGGATTCTATAAGTGATGTTAAGAATATAAATCAAGATATTGAGGAATTAGATTTTTATGATAATAGAATCAAACATATTTCAAGTCATTTGAATGGATTGATTAAGCTAAAGAATTTGGATTTGAGTTTCAATAAGATTAGAAATATTAAAAACATTGAAAATTTAACTGAATTAGAAAATCTATATTTTGTTCAAAATAAAATTAGTGAAATTGTTAATTTAGATAATTTTACTAAATTGAAAAACTTGGAATTAGGTGGTAATAGAATTTCTAAGATTGAAAATTTAGATAAACTTGAAAACCTTGAAGAACTATGGCTTGGTAAGAATAAAATTCCAAGATTTGAAAATCTAAATCCATTACGCAATTTAAAAATCTTATCAATTCAATCAAATAGAATAACCAAATTAGAAGGCTTAGAAAACTTGGTAAATTTAGAAGAGCTATATGTTTCACATAATGGTATTGAAAAAATTGAAGGTTTAGAAAACAACAAAAAATTAACTACATTAGATATAACATCAAATCGTATAACAGATTTAGAAAACCTATCACATCTTACAGAATTAACAGATCTTTGGGCATCATCAAATAAAATATCATCATTTGATCAAGTTGAAAAAGAACTAAAAGATTTGAAACAATTAGATACAGTTTATTTTGAAGGAAATCCACTACAGTTACAAAACCCAACAAGCTATAGAAGAAAATTAATCATGTTTTTACCACAAGTTCAAAAAATTGATGCAACTTATGTTCGTTGATCTTTGCTATAATTTTCTAAGAAAATTAATGAATAAATAAACATGTGTATTTTATCATAATGTTACAGCAAGTTCCTTGACTTTATGCGTGTAAATCCTATTATTAGTCTTCTATACCAGGTCTAAATGCCGCACCAGCCATTCTTCCATAGTTTTGTTCATATAAATAATCTTTAGCAACAGGAACACTTCTATTATAAATATTTCTTGTATCTAATAATTCAGGTCCTAAATCTTCAATTTTAGTCACTCCTAATAATCTCATATTCATTTCTAACTCATCCTTTAATAATTGAATTGCTCTTTGAACACCTTTATCACCATAAGAACTATTAGCATAAAGGAAAGGTCTACCTAGCCCAACACCTTTTGCACCAAGACATAAGGCTTTAAGTACATCTGTACCTCTTCTTACACCACCATCTATATAAATTTCAATTTTCTTATCAAGACCTTTAGCGCGCAATTCGGGCATAACTTCAGCGAGAACCTCTACTGGAGCTCTTGTATAATCTAATTGACGACCACCATGATTTGATAAGACAACACCTTGTAAACCATGTTCAATAGCTAAGAAAACATCTTCTTTTCTTTGGACACCTTTAATGACAATTGGCATTTTAGTTATTGATTGAATGAAGCCAATATCTTTCCATGATAATGAAGGATCAATAAATGAACTTATAGCACGAGCGGCACCTTGTGATCTATCAACTTCATCATCATCAGATTGAACACTTGAATCAGCTTCAAATTTCATCTTCATATCCTTTTCACGACGACCTAAAGAAGGTGCATCAACTGTTATGAATAAACCTTTCATACCACGTTCTTCAGCATGTCTTACTGCTTTTTCTGTAATTGATCTATCAGCATTAACATATAATTGATACCATTGATTCTGTCCTTCAACTCTTGCATCTGCGATTTCATCAAATGAACAAGAAGCTAAAGTTGAAATCATTTGATGGATTCCCTCACGACCTGCACCCCTTGCAATATCAACTTCACCTTCTGGGTTACCTAATTTAGCTAACGCTGTAGCTGAAATATAGAATGGAGCTGTTGTCTTATCACCAAAAAATTCTGTTGTAAGATCAATATTTTTAACATCAACAAGAATTTTTGGATTGAAAAATATACGATGATATGCATTATGATTTTCTCTTAATGTAACTTCATCATCTGCTGCTGAACAATAATAAGCTAATGCTGGTGGTGGTAAGATTTGTCTTGCTATAGTTTCAAAATCATGTAAATTGATCATTTGTGATAATGGAGGTTTTCTTTCAATTCTTTCTAATCTATCAATTTCTTCTTCACTTAATTCTTCAACTTCTTCTTCAAATTCACCAATTAATGGACCTAAATGTTTTTCAGGTGGGATAAATTTATCAATTGAATCTGGAGGATGAATTGGTACAAAAATCTTTGTTGCATCTTTACCTGCATATCTTAAGATAACTTTTTGACCACCTGGATGGGATGTTAAGAAATCAGTTAGATCATAGACTTGACCTTTTATAACAACCCAACAATCATCTTTTTTGTTATGTTGTGAAACGATTTCTGGGGTTAATTCAATATCTGACCATTTAGGGACATCTGCACTTAAATAATTTTGTGATTGATTGTATGAATAGATTGATGCAATTGCAGTTATTGAAATACCTAATGCTATTAATGAGTTTTGGGAATATGTTTTGCTTTTAGTTGTTTTCTTCAATGTTGATAAAAGTCTTTTGTTTGAACCCGCAAACAATCTTAATGAACTATGGGACAAGCCTTTGGAACTTAATCTTGAAGATCCAAGTATAGACTTGATAAGCTGAGGTCTGAGCATCTGAATATCGATATGAGCTTTTGAATTTGAACCTAATTGACCCTTTCTTCAACCTTTGAATTTAATGAGATCTGTGGGTATATTTATGAAGAAATTGTCAAACTCAACTCGAGCTATCACTCATAACAAACTAGCCTATGAAAATCCTGGAAAGTATAATTACCATACAAAATGTCAGGCAGAGAAATCCGAGACGCGAATATTTTGTGGAGTAACAATAGAGAACAGCCCCCACCAGCCAAAACAGACACACAATCAGCAGCGGTGGGGGGCCTGATCTAAATCTAAAACTGAGTTATATAACCGAAAAAGACGCTTAATCAAGTCTGCTTTTTATCATTTAACAAAATTAGGCTCTACGTACAAGATCAAGGTCAACAACTCGTCATACCAAGGCCAGATAACTCTGTGTATACACTCATTAGAATCCCATCCATCAAGGCTACCCACGGATTCCTATAATAACATTTCAAGTCGCTAGCAATTTGCTAATCAAGTTCTTGAAAGACGTGGATGGAAAGATACTCCGGTGGTCCATTGGTACTGAAAGATCTAGCGCAACTTGCAAGACTGATCAGATTATGGATGTCAAACCGAGTAACTTAACACCGATTTAAAAGATGTGGGATTCAAATTTCATACTGATCCAATCACTCATCAGATACAAACACCATCTTTCATCTGAGTTTTAAAAGCTTATACTCGATTGAAGCTAAAACTCAAAAGCCAAATCTTGTTTACTTATGGGCGGAAATTCGCGGATTAATTGCTTAGTCATCTCTACGTCTACGCTTATATAATTTGCGCGAATTTTTCAATACCATACTAAAATTTTTTCTATAGTAGGTATTATTGTTTTGGAAATGAGATAATACTTGATCTTTTGATTTTTTATCAAGAATAGACTACCATAATATGATATGAGTGGGCCATGGATTAGAGGTACACGATGTGGTGTGGACAACTGTAGGTCTAAATACTATAGGTCTGTTGATGGTAGAAGAATTTGTCAATATGGTCATGTTAATGAAGGTCATATTGATTATAATGATGAAGATGATGATAATTTTGTTGTTACTAGAAGATTAAACATCCCACAAAGTCAACCTGGTATGTCCCAAGGGTCACAAATCACACCAGGATTAGAAAGAGATGAATCTAAAAGAAGATTATTTGGTAGAGCTGCTCGTGAATTATATTTTAAATGTTTTCAAACTATATTAAAGTTACAAATTAAATCATTAATTAATGAACATGGTGTACCTGAAGTTTTCGAAAAAGTTGCTAAAAATGTCTATTTACAATATTTGAATGCATTTTTCAATACAGATGAAGCGTTTGAATCATTGGGTTATGAAACAGCAGACTCTCATGTTACATCGGATGAAGAGTCTCAGAATCCAAAATTATTTACTAAGAAATTACCAAGTCATATTGATACTCTAGCTATATGTTACCTTGCTGCTCGCTATTTACAATTACCGCTTTATTTAAATGATTTAGTTCAATGGGCTACGTCAAGAAGAATACCATATATGAGAGCAAGTCATGATTTACCCAAGAATTTAAGTAGTCGTTTACCAAATATCATGCTGACGCTTCTTGATCCTGGTAAACCTCCAGTGAAAGGTGATATCTGCAACTCGGTGACCACAATCATGTCATCTATTGATATGGATCTGAAATTCAATTATAAACCATTATTGTTTAGATCAATTAAAGAATTGATCTTATCACCAGAAATTTATTTTGCAGTTTTAAAATTTATTGAATTGAATGATATTAATTTCAATTTTGAAAAATCATCAAGATCAGGATCACATAAACTAAGGAATACTGATTTTAGAAACAAATCACAAGTGATTTCATTTCCAGAAATCAAATTAATTCCAATCTTAATATGTGTAACAAAATTATACTTCAGCTCAGCTCATGATCGTGAATATAGATTACAATATGATTGGAAAACATGGTGTGAAACAGTTAACGATCGGAAAGTGAATGGTACTTGGTCCGGTGACTCAAATGATTTATTAAGTTCCTTATTTGTATCTAAGGATTCAATATCAGATGTTATTGATTGGAATGATAAACAAACTAAAGAATATTTGGATTGGTTTACTGAAAGAATTTTGGATCATCCTGATAATTCTGAAATTCCATTACATAAAAAGAGATTATATGATATTTTCCCTCTCCCAGAAGAAGAGATTGGAGTCGACAATGGGAATGGTGATGATCATGGTGATGATATGGATATGGACTTTGAAAACAATGAGGGTGAAGAGTTGGATACATATGAAGAAGCGTATCAAAGAATGATAACGGCTCCTATTGATTTCCCCATGCCGCTGAAGGATGAAGAAGCAACTATCATTGAGAATGTTCTTGTTGAAAATTTGTCAATGATGTTTGGTGTTACTGAACACCAATTAAGAAGCGCTTTGAGAAAATTCGAATCCCAGTATTTCAAGAAAATGATGTGATGTTTTTTTGATGATGTCTTTTCGTGATGTTTTACATCTGTTTACTTTTTTTTTTTGGCTTTGTGGATTTTTTGAAGATTCGGCGGCTAATCAAAAAAACATTTTTTGAAGCGTTACTGAGAAGTTGCAAACTTCCAAAAGTTCATTAACAGGAATCTCAAACGACAAATTTCAGAATGGGTTCAAAGAAGAAAGAGATCAGTCGTAAAAAGAAGTCAAGATCAAGGCGTTCAAATCAAACTACTTCACATTGGAAATCATTTTTCACTGCTGCTTTAAAGATTCTTTTGTTCCCAATCTATGTCACATATATCTTTTGGAGAACTTTGTTGATTGATAAACCACGGGAAGCTGCCTATGCTGTCAAAGAGACCTTCACCACGTTGTATGAAAAATCTAAGAATGGGTATAGAAAAGCTAAGAAGATCAAGCATAGAGGAAGGTTACAAGATCAAGTTTTGTTATTGGATGATTTAAGTGAAAGTGATGAAGAAGATGAAGTTATTAGAAATAGATGTAAGAAGAATGGGATAATTAAGAGAAAAACTGCATTTGTTAGAAGAACCGTTTTCACTGTTGGTCATTTCACTAAAGAAGGTTTCAGATGGATTTGGAGACTATTTATTAAAACTTTACATGTCAAAAGAACAACTCAAAAAAATTTAAAATGGTCTATAAGGACTTCATATGGTCTTTGGTCAGAAACTGGTAAACTTGTTGAAAAAATAAAGAATTTCCCTGGTGATTTAGTGATAACAGTAAAGAATTTTGTTCGTGAGGCTATAGAAGGTGATAATGAAGACCAATCACCTGAACAAGATGAGGATCCTAATAACTTTACATTGGAAGATCAATCTGATTTACCAGAACCAATTTCTTTAAGAACTTCTCAGGAATTAACATCACCTCAACATTGGCCAGATAGTCATGGTTTTCCTACGAAGGCTCCATATTCAAGAAGACCAATATCAAGAGGACGTCCTCAAACTCGCCAAAGTTTTTCCCAGAGAATAGAAGGTACAATTCCAGCAAGAAAGTTTTTCGCACCGCCAACAAATGAAGAATTGATTGATGATTATTTCAATACATACGATGCTATTCAACCACAAGATCCATATCGTCGTTTGGTTTATTCAAGGACAAGAAGACATCAATTAATTTCAGAAACTGATGCAGAATCCATGGATGTTAATCCAAGAAGTGCTAAAAATCAAGAATATGATGAAGATGAAGATGATCAGCAAGATGCTGGTGCTTATGATGAGATATACGAACCTAAACATAATGATGATGACTACTAGATATACTATAGATACACTTTTTAAAAAAATTACTGTTTGTTTTGTTTGTTAAATCTTCGCCTTTATGTAGATTTCATGATACGTCTTCATATAGTATTGACTCAATCTCTTCGTGTTTTGATGATTGAACGAGGTTCTGCTTTAATAACGCCTAACAAATGGCTGTAGGAAATAAATATACACCAAACAAATTCCCTTAAAATGAAAACTCTGTATTGAAGACGTTTCGTTTAGTTTAAAAAATTGGATCTGTGTCTGTCATTTTCACGGTTCAGTAGTTTCGTGTAAGTGATGATACTATAGAAAAAATTGTGACGCGATTGCTGAAATCAAAACAAAGCTCATCACAAATTCAATACCAATATAAGGCCTAGAAGTCAATACATCAGAACTTCCAAAAATGGATCTTCCCAATGATATCAAACATTTATATATAACATGGCTTGAAGAAGATGTTTTAGCTTATTCTCTGAGGAACCAAAAATCTGCACTATTATACACCAGAGCTTTGGAAAAACTACGAAATTACAACAACCCAGTTCTAACACCAAGAGAACTAATTCGGGTCCCATTCATAGGTGAAAAGATTGTTGGTCAGATGGAGAAAAGACTTGCAAAATACTGTGATGAAAATGGATATCAATTACCTGTGGGGATTAATGATACCCAAAGACAAGCAATAAAATTTAAAAGATCTAATCAAGATACAACAAATGATGATGATAATGTATCTGTTGAACCTTGTGGTCCGAGTTCTAAGAAGAGGAAGCCTGCAAAGCCTGCAAAGAAAAAGAAATATGTTCCTGTGAAAAGATCTGGTGGTTATGCGATTCTTCTTGTTTTATTGGAAAGAGATCCAGATTGTAATGGGCTTACTAAGAATGAGATTATTCAAAACGCTTCACCATATTGTGATAAAAGTTTCACATCAAACCCAGGGACAAATCAATTTTATTCTGCTTGGAACAGTGTGAAAACTTTGCTAAATAATGATCTGGTTAAAGTCGAGGGTAGACCTGCTCATTATTATTTAACTGATGAAGGTAAAGAACTTGCAAAGAATTTGAAAAGTGGTGATGATGTTGAATTTGGTGGTGCTCAGCAAAGCAGTAGTAGCAGAAGTAATACAGCTCCAAATGGAAGGTCAAGTGCACCAAATAATTTAGCAAGTGATCCACCAGATAATACTTTTGTTCAAGATGTTATACCAAGTGTGATACCGGCTCGTAATAGAACTTACCATGAATGGAATGGTGTTCGCTATCATTTCTGGGAACCAGGTTCATATTCTGTGAGGTTTGTTGTGGATAATAGAGAAATCAGATCAGTTAATGAACGTGATTTTTTTGATACGAAATTACAAACACTTGGTGTGAAAGCGGAATCGAGACCCTTAACCGTTGGTGATGGGATATGGATTGCAAGAAATAGAAATACAAATGAAGAAGTTGTCTTAGACTATATTATTGAACGTAAAAGACTAGATGATTTGGCTTCAAGTATCAAAGATGGTCGTTATAATGAACAAAAAGTTCGTTTGAAAAGGTCTGCTGTTCAAAATGTCTTCTATCTGATTGAGGAAGTTACAAGCTCTGATGTTCAACAAATGGCTGACGCTATCCAAACTGCTATGAGTATGGCTATGACTACTAGTAATTTCCACGTTAAAAGAACCAAAGATGCTGATGATACCATACAATTTATAGCAAAAACTACAAAGCAAGTTAGATCATTTTATCAAAACAAGAAGCTACTAGTATTGGAGCCAAGAAATTTAGAGTATCAACAAGATTACAAAAGAGTCTTGGACGAATTTAGAGAAAAATTCAATACTAGTAATGTTCTTTGCTCCCATATGTATTATACATTTGATACAATGTTATCAAAATCAAAACTTATGACAACAAGAGAATTATTTGTAAGGATGTTAATGACAATAAGAGGTGTTTCATTGGAGAAAGCTATTGCTATACAGAGAGATTTTAAAACCCCTAGACATTTATTCGAGAACTTTGATGCTAAGGATCCTGAATTGGCTAAGAAATATGGTAAAAGAATACAAGAACTCATAGGTGACCTCTACAAAAAATGAACGATATCTGATATTTAATGATGATCTATATAATGAATGAATGTGGAAATGCAATAAAATCAAACGCAAAATCAAAGAAAAAAAACTCATAATGTAATGAAAGTCATGCAAGTATACGCCTCTATGTTTTTGTATATTTATGCCCATAAAAGCACTTTGAGATAGTCCCAGCTTCTCAATTTTGGTGCAGGTGGCTCTGGATTTTCTTCAACATCTTTAAATAGTGGAGCTAAGTCAACTTCATGTGGTCTCAAATATCTTGTTTTCTTAAATATTTTCCAGAATAAGAACAATCCAAATGAAAATGGTAAAATGAAATAGGCTGCAAAGAAGTTATCAATTTGAAAGTGGCCAGGTATGAAATTTTTGAACCCACCAGTTATCAATACAATGATAGCAGCAATACCTGAGATCCAAGCAGCTTGTGGTCCATATTTAAATTTATGTGGCAGTCTATCTCTTGAGATCCCCTGTACTTTCATTGCTCTTGTCATATGTATATGATTAGCTGACATTAAAATCCAACCAAGTAAATAATTTGCAGATGATAGAGTTTGGAACCAATTGAAAACATTTGCAGAATTTTTAGAAACATTCATATATGCTAATGGGGTAAATGCTGCAAAAAAAATGGTACCGACCCAAGGTAACCCATTTCTATTAGTCTTGAGGAATATTCTTGGTGCTTGACGCTTAACAGCTAATGCAAACATAGTTCTTGCACCATGAACAATAGATAAATTTGCATCACTAAATGCAGATGTTAATATACCAGCATTGATAATGTGTGGAACAACTTTAATTTTGGCGTTATTAACTGCAATTACAAATGGGGAAGATTGAGCATTACCTGTTGAATTAGTCAATTTTGGATCATCTGAAGCAACTATGAGTGTTAGACAAAGCACTGTGATTAACATAATGATCATTGACCTGTAGAAAATCCTCTTACAAGCACTAAAGACAGTTCTTCTTGGATTTTCAGTTTCAGCAGCTAAAGCAGGAACAGATTGAACACCACCATATGAATAAACAGCACCTGTCAAGACTTTCCAGAAACCAATAAATTTACCTAGGTTACCTTTTGCAATATACTCGTTGAAAGGACCAGGTTTATGCCAGAATTTGAAACCTATCACCTCGTGGGTTGGTCCACCACCTGAAGTTATAACAATTGAGATGATTATAAGGCCAGCAAGTAACATGATCTTTATTATTGCAAAACCAAATTCTATTTCAGCATAAAATCTAATATTATAAGAGTTTGTAGCTAAAATCAAAGCAATTATTATAGTTATCCAAGCAGCCTCGGATATGTCAGTCCAATATGAGATTAAAACAGCACTTGAAGATATCTGACCTGGTAACATACAACTCCAAACACTAATCCATCCAAAGGCAAAACTCCAAGCTGGATCTATAAACTGTTCCAAGTGGCGAACAGTAGCTGAAGAGACGGGCATCAATGAAGCGACTTCAGCTAGAGCCATTTGATTCATCCCGACTATAATAGCCACTATGGCATAGGCTAATAACATACCAGCAGGTCCAGTTGTAGCTAGGACCCCACCAGAGGAAAGAAAGATACCAGTACCAAAGACATCAATCAATGCCAGCATCTGTATATGGCGCTGCTTCAACGTACATTGTAATCTATCACGATCTTGACCAAATACTGAGGATTCATTACTATCAACATCATCCGTTAGTTTTGTGGTTTGTTTTACGTCTCTTTTACCTTGTTCAAGCCTTGAAGCATCGTTGAAAAGGGGAGAGTTCGATGAAGTTGAATTTATAGAATCTTGAACATTCCATTCTTGATCAGAGTCTTCTCTGTAATTCTCAACATTCCGGCTCATTTTCAATGCCTGGAGATAATATCATGTGTAGGAAAACACAAAGATTAATACCTATCATTATAACAGGATTCCCAGAGGCTTATATTTATACCACTAAATTGGATTTCTATTAGAGGCCTAAATCTTTGGAAAGGATGTAATTCGGAGTATATTTTACAATTTACTAGGGCATAGGCAGCAGTACCAGTTTTGGTGTAAATCTACGGGGATCAAACCCATTACCGCGTTTGTTAATAACTTCGTGAAACCGAAACCTGCTTGAGCATGAATTGTACTCTTCAACCAGTCGCCTTGAATAAATAAAGATGCTTAAAAGATATGGGATATTGGTCAATGGTCATTGAATATGCTATGTGACGTTTCGTTGTGGCCTTCAGGGGCTCTAGAGTCTAGTGCAAACCTTCTCACTAAAAGTAGATGTTTTAGCTACGATTAATATGAACTAGTAGTGTCGTACTATCAAATCACGAATAGTGAGTATTGGTGAGGATTAATTAGTAAGAATAGTACCTGCCTTCAATAATCGTATTGTCATTGGATGCATTGACTATTTGGTGCTTACTTTTGCCAGTCTCTGATTGGTGTTCAGGAATATACTTCGTCAAATTTCCACTAACGTATGCAGTAGGTTGCGTTTAGATTATCAGAGATTTTCGAGATTGAAACGTTTCCCTGTGTACCAGTTTTCATATATCAATTTGCCAGTTGAAACTTGATTCACTAAAGGTTCAAATCTCAAAGTTCGTGTATTTACGTTGTAATTTACCTCGGGCTACGCAAATGTTCTTAAAATGTGTATATGTGTATATATGAAAATTCTGCTGCTGATTACTTACTCCAGTTGATTTCCTATCAAACAATACTACCTACATTATCAGCTTGATCTTCGATATATTAACAGTTCCCTCAACTACTGATATGTCCCAAATCATGTTCAGTTTTACCTTCAAGGGCTTGATCTTCAATATAATCTCTCTTTCTTCTTTGATAACGATCAAACCATAAAACCACAAATCCTGTAAAGAAACTAACGATACAAATACCCAATGATATCCTAGTACCTTCTTCGAATTTTGGAGCATAATCAGTATTGAAAGCTTTTATCGAGAACCCTGTTAAAGGTCCAATATTAACCAGATTCAAAGCACCTAAAACAGCAGCTCTTAATTGATTATCTTCTCTTGTCATTTCATTTGCCCAAGAACAACACAATGTCGAGATTAAACCACTTATACCAGCTGTTATATAGGCATAAAACTGGGCAGCACGAGGAACATCCCATTTAACTAGAATTGACAAAGCAATGATCCAAATAGTATGTGCAACTGTCATTACTTCCCAAAATCTTCCAATCACGTCAACAAGAAGCCCACCAACAACACACGCGACAACATTGAATGCTGAAGTTGAAGTTGGTAAATTATTTCTTTGATAAAGATTGTAACCTTGAGCTTTCAAAACAATAGCCCAATATCCTGCTGCTTGATCTGGTAAATGACCAACGGTATAATAGAAGGTGAAAACGTAAAATTGCCAGGATGTAAGCATCTTTTTCACAACTTTAAGATTAAATTTGCTAGCAATTTCAACTTTTTTAATGACTCTAACACGTTCAGCACAAAAATCTAAGTCTTTTTGAGATAAAAATTTGTTTGGCTTAGCTTGGGTAGGTGAATCAGGAATAACCAAGTATCCCAAGATGGCAATTGGAATTGTGATGATGAAGTCAATGACGAAAATCCATCTCCAACCTGGAAGTCCAGCTTTTCCATCTAATGTTCTATAAACTCCCGACTGGATATAACCACCAAACATTGTACCCAGAGCTGTTCAAATTGGTTAGTGATATCAAAATTTTGACAGGTCATAGGTGTACTTACCTCCTGATGCAATGAAAAGAGCAGTTCTAGCACTCAATTCTTCTTTGGTAAACCAGGTTCTGCAAAACTGTTAGTATATGGTAGATGACAATCAAAAATCATAAACGTACCCCAAAATATAGTGTAAAATTGGAAAGCATCCACCCTACGGTACAATTGAGTTAGTAAAGAAAGGATTCACTATCAAAGTTCAAAGATTATAACTCACTTCAAGACCACCCTGTATCAATCTAACAACCATCAAAGTCTTGTAACTTTTGCATGTAATCACCAGTAAACACATGAGCCCCCATAGAATTTCAAGAATTGGTAATAAGATATGTGGTTTTACCTTGGTAACAAGAACAGTTAGTGGTAATCCCATCACGGAATAAACAATGTAAAAAGACATGGTCAACCAGTTATACATGGATCCGTGTAAATTCAAATCTTCTTTCATACCAGAGACATATGCATTAGATATATTAGATTGATCAAGATATCTGATGAAAAAACTAAGACAAACATAAGTCAAGATGATACAATCAAGTTTGAACACTAATTTCTTTTCATATTTTGAACGACCTGGTGGATTCCAGAAAAATGGCTTTCTTTTCTCTTTAGGAGCTCGAGGACTCTTGGTGGACCAAAAAAGTTCCCATCTTTTCTTAAAAGGGATGCTATACTCATCAACATCTGTTTTCAAAATGGAATTTTTTTCACCAATACTTGATTGTTCCTCGATGTTGACATCTAAGCTTTTTGAATCAGCTTCTTTGGCTTCTTTATGCGCCTCGTTATCTTTGGACATTTTGGCAAGATTGGGGGATCTTTCAAGTTTCTAGGCTTTCATAATCGAATATATTGACCAAAAGTTCCAATGAGATTCATAAGACTTTATATAAGTCTGATCGTCTGCTGATTTGGATTTAAACAATGGCTACTGGAGGTTGTTTGACAAGAATCACCAAATTCTGACTTTCCAATCGATAAATGTGTTGCATGTGGTTAATAATGCCACAGCTAAACATCGTAAGTGAAAGTAAGGACAATCAACCCGATTCCCAGTTTATACATCCACAATAATGTGACCGTTGACGGTTTTCTGCGACTTCTGTAGCTTAAAAGTTGAAAGTTGAAACGTATTTGAGTACTACTATGACCGCGAATCAACAACTCCACAAAGCACGTAATCCACAGTGTGTTTAGAAGCTGGATCATATAAATGTGAGCCGATGAAAGATGTGAGAACTTAGAAGGCCAAAGGGACCGGTTAAAACTGCACTCTATTGATCGGCTCGTATATATACTATATGTTCATGATACATATCATATATATGAGCTTTAAATGGTATTGGTATCAATATTGGTACTGAATTCTGATAACGTCATGAACTTTTTGTTCGTTTGCATGATAATTATTAAGTTTATTCTTATCACTTGACATCTACAAATAAAACTATTAGGTTAAAAAACAACGGTTAATTAAATTAATTAATGAATTTCTTGCAAGAAATATGGGAGCTTATGTAGTCTAAAGATAAAACTCATGACCAGAGAAGCGTTATCCACCTCCATCCAGTTAATTTTGGGGCAGGTTCTTCTGGATTTTCTTCGGCATCTTTGAACAGCGCTTCTAATTGAACTTCATGTGGTCTATAATATCTTGTACCTTTAGCAAATTTCCATCCAAAATAAAGACATAAAGATAATGGAATAACAAAGTAAGAACTAAAAAAACTTGAAATTTGGAAATTACCATGAATGAAATTTGCAAATCCACCAGTTAGAAGCAAGATGAATGAAAAAATACCAGAAATCCAAGCAGCAGGTGTTGCAAACCTCAAAGTATGTGGCAATCTTTCATTTGGTATACCTTGTGCCTTCATAGCTCTTTTGAGATGGATATGATTAGCAGATATTAATATCCAGCCCAGTAATAAATTTGAAGAACCTAAAGCTTGAAACCAACTAAAAACATCAGCTGCTTTTTTTGACACATTCATATATGCCAAAGGTAACAATGCAAATGCAAACAGATTTCCAACCCAAGGATTTCCATGCTTGTTTGTTTTCAAAAACACTTTTGGTGCTTGATGTTTAACAGCCAAAGCAAATAGCGCTCTTGAGGTGTTGACTATGCAAGCATTAGCTGCACTAAAAGCAGAGGTAAGAACAGCAGCATTGACAATATGTGGCAAAACTTTGATTTTTGCATTATTCATTGCAATCACAAATGGGGAAGAGCTAGCATTACCTGATGAGTTGGCAATTTTAGGGTCATCAGAAGAGACAATCAAAGTTAAACAAAATACTATAATCAACATCAATATACTAACTCTGTAGAAAATTCTTTTACAAGCTGTAAATACAGTTCTTCTTGGATTTTTAACTTCAGCAGCTAAATTTGGTACAGCTTGAACACTACCATAGGAATAAACAACAACTGTGAAAGTTTTCCAGAACCCTGCAAATTTCCCCAAGCTACCTGTAGTGATGTATTCTTTGAAAATGTTTGATTTTTTCCAAAATCTGAATCCTATTGTCTCATGACTTGGTGCGCCTCCCGCTGTAATAACAATAGAAACAATAATCAACCCTATTAATAAGCAAATCTTTATCATTGCAAACACAAATTCGACTTCACCATAAAATCTAACATTATATGAATTAATTGCAATAATGATAGCAATCACAATGGTTATCCAAACTGCTTGGTTTATATCAGACCAATATGAAATAATTAAAGCAGCAGCACTAACTTCACCAGGGACAACCATTGTATAGACATAAATCCAACCATAAGCGAACCCCCAAGCAGGATCAACAAATTGTTCTAAGTGACGAATAGTAGCAGCTGTTACTGGCATTAAAGCAGCAACTTCAGCTAGAGCCATTTGATTTAACCCAACAATCAGAGCTATACCAGCAAATGCAATTAATGTCCCCAAAGGACCTGTTGTAGCTAAGACCCCTCCACTTGATAAGAAAATACCTGTACCAAAGACCAAAACCAAGGCCAACATTTGAAGATGACGTTGTTTTAAAGCTGGTTTCAACTTGTTACGATCCGCACCAAAGATGGAGGATCCATCTGATTCACTTCCTATACTATATTGGTGATCTATACCTGCATCTTTCTCTGGATCATCTCCATTATGGTTCAACTGACTGTTTATTGAATGTGTGTCAACACCATGGTCGATTTTTGATACTTCTGAGCTAACATTATCCTTGTTTATACTCATTGTTAACAGAATAGGTGTGACCAGTGTTACATTTTTTGTCTTTGTAGATATTGGTGGATCAGTGAATCTTTATATGGTATTCCATGATATTTGAGTTTCGTAAGGCATTACGAGCAATAGCGGAAACCAAAATTTTGTTATTGCCTCTTGATACGTCGTGATTCCATTGCAGCTTTAATATTTACTGTGGAGTATTTCATACATTAAGAATTCAATCAACGTCCACACATCTTTTATCATCAAGCCCTGATATAACTGGCATCTAATAAAAATGACTTCCAGAATCAACAATAAATATTCTCTTTCCTATAATTATCTTACTCATCTTACCCAATTTGCATGTTTACTGTTAAAGCTCAGTACATTTAAAGTTTGATTAAATCATGATAATGGCGTTTCTGGTGAAAGACAAGCTGTGGATACATATAATAATTGTGGCGTTCAAGCTCTAAAAAAATGTACCTGATAAATAATAAATACAACATATCCAGTATCTCACAGCTCAAGAAATCATAAGCGGTTCTTTATTTTAGTATGCTCTGCTTTTCTTAACATTGTAAAGTTTGGCAAATATGGTCTCTTTTGGTACTATTCTATTGTTTTGTTTTATAGCTAGCTGAATATCATAATTTTTTATCCAACTTTCGGCCCACTTTGAAAATTCTCAGATCTCGCCCGATCGGTTTTAAGCGGAAAGGCACTTAAATAACGTCTACTAGTTGCGAACGAAAACAATACGATTTTTTGTATAAAGAATTCACAATGATCTCATTAGTTCAACTTTTTGGGAACCAGAGCTTAGTTAAACTAAATATTGAGCTGAGTTTAATATCATAGATTAGTTTCTCTCCATTATAAAGTTCTCATGGCCGTTCAATCAATAAGCCAAAAACACCTATCTCTTCAAATGCCTCATTTTTGTATTACTTTTTGAAACAATGTTCTCATGACAAATTTATAACAGGAACTAGAAGTTTCCTGAAATTCCTTCCTCTCGATCCTGATTCATTTCTCCATGGATATTAACCATTGATTGAGACCTCTAATGGTATTTGAAATATTTGGTATATGTGCAGGTGCTTCATGAAGTGGTCAAAATTAATATCCATCAAATTTTTTCAGCAAAAATGTGACTTCCAAACATGTTGGTCAAGCTAACTATGTCGTCTATTATCTTCAAATACTCATGAAGAAGAAGAATTGATGGTTAGAAGATCAAATCAATAATATACCAATTGTGTGATCGGGTGTTGAAGGTTTTATCTGAAGTTGTCTCTTAATGTCTACAAAAGTATCGAATCTTATTCTATTAAAATTTTCATGATCACTGAACACTAATTGGGGAAAAACCCATCATCATTGAGACACTAGTAGAGAATTAACCAGGCTCTCAAATGGGAAAATAGGGATCTAATAAAATAAGAATTAATCAAAGAAATGTAAAAAGTAAATGAAAAAAGGAAATGTGAAAAGTAAATGAAAAAAATGTATGGCAAGGATAAAGTGAAAAGGTTTATGAGAATGTGTTATAATTAATGAAAAGGAATGTTTTTTTTCACGTATAATTATGATACGTGAAAGGGTTTTTGATAATTTTTTTTGAGTTTTGTTAATTAATTTAATTTTTTTGAGAATTGTTTCGATTTCTTTTTTGAAAATGACAATTAGTTGTAAGTCGATTGATCATTTTCATGTTTCTTCAAACACAATTGTTGAATTTTTTGAATTATTTTTTGATTTTTTTTTTTTTGCTTTCTGGGTTTTTATATTAATTTTTTTGTTTTCACTTTTCTAATTAAACTCAATCTTTGTTTTATATTTCAAATTATACCTGCTAGCTTATGGAGTCGTCCTCTTGACAATCCCATGACACTACCAATCTAATAACAAGATTAGTTCATTTAAGAGAAACACCAATGCTGGTATGGTGGTAATATCCAGGTTGTTCACTAAATTTTGTAATCTTTTCATTTCAACATAAATAAAGATCTCAATGGCGAGCTGTTCATTGATGTAGTTCAGCAGACTTTCCAGATTGGTAATGCAAGTTTTATATTTAAGCACAACAGTTTCGTTTTGGATTGTAACATACTCTCTTAGAGCTTGAACGACACTCAAATCTAATTCTTCATCTTCTGTATCAAGATTTATGTCAATGACATACGTCTTCAAAATTTCTTCATCATCCTTTGTTACTATCACCAGCATGTTCTTTATCTCATTTGTAGTAGTTGAACAGTTTCCCCTGTGAATAATCTCAAAATCTGTAGCGTCAATGCTTTTCAAGCAATTTGTGGATCTAAACGTTCGCATATCTTCAAGAGGACGACGAGACGAAATGTAAATGTAAACTCTCTTATGAAATCTAATGGTAATATTGATTCAGCAGCAGCACTTTTGCTTTACCTGTTTGGTTATATTAACCATTATTCATGACCAGCAACAAAATCCCCAAATACTTATGTACTTAAATTGCATGTACAAATTTTGAATGAATTTTTGACCACAAAAACGATAAAGTTCAGCGTCATTTTAATCTTTGTTTAAAGATCAAATCTCCTTAGTTCATAACGTGACATATCCCAGTACCATAATCATCAACACCAAATTAGAGAACAGATGAATACAGCGTTTTAGCTTCCCTTAATTTTGAATAACAAATAACATTTAACAGCTTGAAGTTTGACCCTTTTTTTCCATTGTAGAAGATGTAGCACAAGCACCGTGCTTTTTATCTCTAGTACACCATTGGATACATCACCATCTAAAATATCACCGTGTTTCATGTCTATCAAAAACGCCCTTTTATCTTTTCTTGTAGTTGAATCTCATAAAACAAAAGTGTTGATGTTTTCAATACAAAAGAAATCCTTTAAACTTTGTACCCGCGAAAAAAAATATGTTTGATATTACACCCGAACCTGAAAATGATTATGGAATATAGCCTTTTAAAGCCATGAAAGAAAGGCGTGAGTTTAATATAATGATCAAGTTATACTAGCTAAGTATGATATATACGCTAATAATTGGATATACTACAGCTTTATTTATTCAACTTGAAAATATTTACATCATATGTGCGACCAAAACCAAGATAAATGAAACAATCACATGAACAGTATAATTCAAATACAATATCAAATAATAAAACACATAGAGCAGAAAATTAATATATACAAATCATGACCATAATAATGTTAAGATTCTCCAACCTTTAACTTTTGGAGCAGGTTCTTCAGGATTTTCTTCAACATCTTGGAATAAAGCATCTAATTCAACTTCATGAGGTCTATAATATCTGGTTTTTTTGAAAAACTTCCAAAAGAAATAAAGACCCCAAGATAATGGAATGATAAAATATGACGAGAAAAAATTTGCAATTGCAAATCTTCCTTTAACAAAATTTGTAAAACCACCAGTTAATAATAAAATCAATGATGCAATACCTGAAACCCATGCAGCATGAGGACCAAATCTAAATTTATGTGGTAATCTATCTCTTGAAATCCCCTGGGCTTTCATGGCTCTTGATAAATGGATATGATTAGCTGATATGAAGATCCAACCAACTAATAAATTAGCTGATGTTAGAGATTGAAACCAACTGAAAACATTAGCGGCACCTTTAGAAACATTCATATAAGCTAATGGCATAAAAATTGCAACGAATATAGATCCAACCCATGGTAAACCTCTCTTGTTTGTTTTGAGGAAGATTCTTGGAGCTTGATGTTTAACTGCCAAAGCGAATAAAGTTCTTGAACCTTGAACAATTGATAAATTAGCAGCACTAAATGCTGAAGTTAATACTGCGGCATTGATAATATGTGGAAGAACTTTAATGTTTGCATTTTTGATGGCAACGACAAAAGGTGAATGTTGAGCATTACCACTTGAACTTGCAATTTGTTTATCATTTGATGAAACAATCAAAGTTAAACACAACACTGTAATCATCATTAATATAGTAACTCTATAGAAAATTCTTTTACATGCTGTAAATATAGTTCTTCTTGGGTTTTAACTTCTGCAGCTAATGAAGGAACAGATTGAACACCACCAAATGAATAAACTGTACCTGATAAAGTTTTCCAAAAACCTGCAAATTTACCTAAATTACCCACAGTGATATATTCTTTGAAAGGGCCTGGATCTCTCCAGAATCTAAATCCAATAGTTTCATGATTTGGGCCACCACCAGAAGTTATAACAATTGAAACAATGATTAACCCAATTATTAATAAAATCTTAATCATAGCAAATACGAATTCAACTTCACCATAAAATCTAACATTATAAGAATTTGTTGCAATAATTATAACAATAATTATTGAAATCCATGCAGCTTGAGAAATATCAGTCCAATATGAAACAATAACAGCAGCAGCACTAATTTCACCAGGCATAATAGCACCCCAAACAGATATCCAACCATATGCAAACCCCCAAGCAGGGTCAATAAATTGTTCTAAATGACGAACAGTAGCTGAAGAAACAGGCATTAAAGTTGCAACTTCAGCAAGAGCAACTTGATTCAACCCCACGATAGTGGCAACTAATCCAAAAGCAATAAGCATACCAGCTGGTCCTGTAGTAGCTAAGACACCACCAGATGAAAGGAAAATACCTGTACCGAAAACACCAACTAAAGCCAACATTTGAATATGACGTTGATGAAGTGAAGTTTTTAAACGATTACGATCTTCACCAAAAACAGAAGAGGAATCTGATTCACTACCATCTTTAACTTCTTCTTTGATGTTCTGTTTCCCCCTTTCTAGTTCATTAATATTATTTGATAGATCATATACTTCAACATTATCATTACCATCTTGTGATGAAGAAGATTCACTTTTAAACTTTGTCAGCCAAGACATGATGAATCAACAATAAGATTTAAATCTAATGAATATAAGTAAGCTTAATTATCTTTTGAAAAAATCTGGATATCTTTAAGCTTATATGGAAATTTCTTATCACTTCTCAATCACGGGTATTTAAAAACTGTGGATGAGGAATACCATAACTTCTCATAATCCACGGAATAGACCATAAATTGTAAGCTTTATTGGTATATAATCATATATCTTGCTATCTGCTATTTAGGATGTTGTATCTCTGAATATGCCGTGTATTAAGCCACTGACAGGCTACAGCCATGAAATCATACACAGTAAAGTGACATCTGTCTGGCACTAAATCAAATAACTTCGAAGCAACAAACCAATCATAATTGAAGTTAACGCTTGAGTCCTCAGCCTTTGTCACTTAACGAGAAGAATAAACTGTGATGAAATGCGATAGTGGCGTCTGACACCACATTGACACTACTGTCAACTCTCAACTTTCAAGCCATACTCCATACTTCAAAATTCAGCTTCGGATATTCCAACTATGGCGTCTGAACAACCAAAATCACCGCACAATCTTTCAAGTAACTGTACCATACAAAACACCAGCGCTTTCATCTTGGATAAGTCGGCATTAGAGCGGTTCTTGGCTCTTGAGTTTTGGATCTTTGTGATGAAATAAACGGTTCCTTTATGAGTCAAACTCCATTATTTGATTTCTTGGTTTCGTTGAAGTTTTATTTTCTTATTGTTTGAAGTTTCCATGAAAATTTACACAATTTTTGAAGTTTCGCACACAATTTTTAGATTCAATTATATAAACTTCTGATTTTAAACCGTCTGTTCCATATCATTTGGGAAATTTAAAGCGTAAGTGGTTGTTTTGTGGAAGTATATATACCATGTAGAAATCCACTTAAGGACAGTCAATTATTAATGCCTAGGTACTACTTTTTTTTAAAACTACTTAAGATTCATTAATTTTGATATTCGATGATCAACCAGTCGATTGGAGTCTATATCTCTATATCTGACGATCAAATATTTGATCTATAATTTGCCTACGCTACATCAGATTACTTTGATCTAGATATATGGGCTATACGGAAACTTTTTACATCCGTTATAACTAATTATATCAATGTCTTTTTCTATTACACACTCAGCCTTCTGAAATAAACTATGGCTCAAACGCTCAAAGTTCAAACCATGAGAATTTAAAGAATATTTGAAGTCCATTAATTAACGAGGATACCATTTGAGTTGAATAATTACAAGTTATAACATATACATATCCATTATTATTTTTAAATTGATCTACTATTATGTTCTCATCTCGTTGTGATCTTGGTTCATAAAGAAACTTCAAGCGTTACTCTTTTCCATTTTGACTATACATTTCATGACACTCAAAAAACTACATCATATTGTTCTCTGTCTAAAATCATCTCATTCTTCCAGTATATTTGATTCATTGGAGAGATATCATACCCACTCAAATGTATATAATTCTCATTTTATAATAAGGAAAACAGAAAACAACTCCTTGAGATAAATGAGTGATTTATCTTAGAAACTATATAAATAGTATCCCAAAGTTTCAAATTCCATATTTTTGATTCATGATTTTACTTTTTCTTTACTCAAAAAACATATACTTATACAAATAATTATATTTTTACAATAACACATACACAATGTCCTACGATTTATTCGATGACCTTAATTTTGAATGGGATTTGGATTTGGAAGAAGCTTTTAACCAAATTCCCAACCAAACACACACGTCATATTTACAATATTTACAACAACCAACAAGTTTAGCAAGCTATAACAGCAGTTATGATCTTTCAAGATTTTTAATTAACATTATTTGTTTTATCATTATTAAGATTGGTTATGAATTATCAGCTATCATTCAACGTTCATCAACTTATGATCTTATTGTGAATGGTTTATTTCTTATTGGGATACTAGGTATATATTCTATTCGTATTGATGATGATGATAACAAATCAACAAGTAACATTGGTGAATCAACTACTGAAGAAGATTTAAATACTGAAAGTGAAGAAGAACAAGATGCTGCAAGTGATGAAGCTGAAAATGATGAAGAGTAATTCAATGTTTCAAATAACCGCTCATAATTAATTAACTCAAAAAATCTTTATTAGTTTAATTCATCTGTGGTCTAAAGCTTTAATTAATGACACTTAAATTATTCTTTAATTAATATGTAGACAATAACTCTCATTAGCTGATTCACTTATTCTGTATTACATCGAGTATATTAAATCGTTCAAGGACTTGAAGGGTGATCAAATTGTTGATCAAATCCTTATCTATATAATCTATTTTGGTAAGGGCAGTATATCTAAATTTTTAAATTATTCTCTTGATAATTAAAAAACTTTATATGAAATGATAGTGAATTTATAGTATATATATATTATTTAATCATGCTTTATCTATTAAATTAATCCAATTTAAAGCTAAAATTATAACTTTTTTTACTTAATTAAAATCTAAAAAAAATTAAATATAACCTCATAAATTTTAATGTTACTTTAAAATTAACAAAAAAAAATCTCAAAAAATTTCGATTTTCCAAAACGCTTATTTTGACACTAAAAGCATTACTAGTATAAACCTAGAGTTAAAATGAATCGTATAGATACTTAAAAGTTTTAAAAATACTAGAATAACCCTTAATAAATTGCATACTAAGTTAAAAGCCCAAATAAATTAGGCAAGATTCGAACTTCCATCTCATAGAAAAAAAAGATTAGCTCAGCTAACACTCTACTAACCAGACCAAATTCCACGAATACCAAAAATATCATGTTTATTTTTCCGCCACACCCAGATTACATAATCAGTTTTAACGCTGGGCGTAACAAATTTCAATTTGAGTGTAAATTTCCCAAAATAAAGGAGGCAACTTTCAGTTCCGATCAACACAAGTTGAATAGTATACGTATTGAAATTGAAATTTGATTTTGATTGAATTCAATTGATATTTATCATCATTGGTTTAGAAGGAAAACAAAAGGTTGAATTGAGTTGAATTGAAGTTTTTTAAAGATGAGTTTTAAAGGTTTTACCAAGGCCATTAATAGGGTATGTTTATACTTAAATTTGCATTGATTATCATTGAATAAAATGAATATAATCAATTGATTAAATGTTTATTGAAGACTACTAACAGTATGTTTAAAGGCCCCACAAAATTTTAGACAAAGGTTTAATATGGGTACAACAACATCAGATGCAGTTTATGAAGATGCAGAAAGAAGATTTAAAGAAATTGAAATTGAAACAAAAAAATTAAGTGATGAATCAAAAAAATATTTCAATGCAGTTAATGGTATGTTAACTCATCAAATTGGATTTTCCAAGGCAATGGAAGAAATTTTTAAACCAATTAGTGGGAAATTATCTGATCCAAATTCAACAATTCCAGAAGATAATCCAGATGGGATTGAAGCTTCAGAACAATATAGAGAAGTTGTTGGAGAATTACAAAGTACATTAAAACCTGATTTAGAATTAATTGATTCCAAAATTGTTAAACCTGCTCAAGAATTATTAAAAATTATTCAAATGATTAGAAAAATGTCTACAAAGAGAGCTCATAAACAATTAGATTTAGATAGACATTTAAATAATTATAATAAAATTGAAGCTAAAAAGGAAAAAACTCCAAAAGATGAAGAAAAATTATATAAAGCTGAAGCAGATGTTCAAATTGCACAAGAAGAATATGATTATTATAATAATATGTTGAAAGAAGAATTACCAATTTTATTTCAATTAGAAGCACAATTTGTTCAACCATTATTTGTTTCATTTTATTTTATGCAATTAAATATTTTTTATACATTATATAATAAATTTGAAGATATGAAGATTCCATATTTTGATTTAAATTCAGATATTGAAGAATCTTTTAATTTAAAAAGAGGTGATATTGAAGAACAAGTTTCATCAATTGGTATAACACATTTTAAAGTTGGTCATGCAAGAGCTAAATTAGAATTAACCAAAAGACGTTATGGTAAAGCTGAAGAAGCTGGTGTAGTTGGACCAAATGGTACACCAATTTCATCACCAACAGGTTCAAATGCAGGATTACCAGCTTATACACCACCAACATCAGGTACACCAGGTTATACAGCACAAGGTTATCCAGATGAAAAGGCACAATATGCCTCACAATCAGCTTATGGAACACCAACAGGTCAATATGCAAGTCCATATGGTCAACAACAACAACCACAACAAGCATATTCAGCACCACCAGCACAAACATTAGCATCACCACCACCTAGTGGGATATCACCTCCAGTACCACAAGGTGAAACATGTACAGCGTTATATGATTATGCAGCACAAGCTGAAGGAGATTTAAGTTTTAGTGCAGGTAGTGTTATAACTATAGTTCAAAGAACTCAAGATAGTAATGGATGGTGGACTGGTTCAGTTAATGGACAAACTGGTGTTTTCCCAGGTAATTATGTTCAATTGAATTGAGTGGCTTGTTGCTTTTTGCTTGGTTAATTGTGTTCATTCTTTTGTATGATAGTTTATATAGTAATTAATAATAATGTTTGATAAGAGATACAATAGTATACGAGATTTACATGATTAACGTAGTTTGAAACATGGAGTGTATTCAAAGAGGACACATTCAAAGAGACAACACTATACAATATTATACACTATACACTATACAATACAATACAATATTACTAGAACACTATACCAAAACAATCAAAATCCATTCCAAATTGGTATTATTCAATTTCCAATTTCCTCCAGAAAGAATTTATGGATACCTATTCAATTACTATATTTGATGAAAATCATTACCTATTTAGGCCAAAACATATATGCATATATGCAATGAAAAAATCTATATTTAGTGCAGAAATCATAAGAAGATAGAGAAACTAGTAGAAAACATAGACAATAAAGAGTTGATAGAATGTGATATGGAATAATATAGAGTATATTAATGAAAAGACCAGAGATCATTTATACTAGTTATTATTTCTCTATTAAATTCCAATTGTCTATAGTAATCCAGCAATTTGTATACACTTGAATTGAATTCGCGGCTATAAATAACATTGGCCATTTGCAAGTCTAGACTCTGAGAATCAACTTAAGAAGAAAACAAAATTGAAATAAACAGGAAAAAAGTAGTAAAATAAACTAAAATATTCAATTTCAATTTAAATCCATTTCATTTTATTTCAATTGAATAATCAAATTATAAAAATCACTAGTTTATCAACAATTTCCATAATTCCCTTCATTTTTCATTGTTTTCCATTTCATATTGATGGCAAAAAAACAAAATTTAAAAAAAATCAAAACATCAACAAAAAACATCAATCAACAACTCAAACAACACAACAACAACACAGCGGTTCAATTCAAATCAATTCAGTCAGAGCATATTCAATCAAAGCTAATATTCATACAATACAAAGTCACAACACTCTTCAAAATTGGTTCAAAGTTCATCAATTGATTATTCCATACTTGATTAAGACGCGAAACTTCAACTAATATGTCTTCATCTAATGAAACTTCTCCAACAAGGGGAATTTCATCTTGGTGGAAACAAACATTCAAGAAAAATCAATCAAATGATAGTTTAAACTCACCTCCTTCTCAAAATATTGATGATGTTTTGAATCATCAACATAGAAATTCAATTGATCAATCATCAACTCCATTAACAAGACCAACTTTAAGTTTTAAATCAAAATCTTCAAATAATGTACGTCCAACTCATAATTCTTCATCATATCAATCAAATTCTCAAAATGAAGATTTTATAAGACAACAACGTGATTTTTTCATGGCTAGTCAAAATCAAAAATTTGGGTTTGGTAATGAAATTTTTGGTGTACCATTAGAAGAATCAATCAAGATTGCTGAATCTTTAATCTCTGTACCAAGTGATGATCCAAATGATTTTATTCATTATGGTAGAATCCCACTCTTGGTTGGTAAATGTGGTTCTTATCTTAAAAATAAAGGTTTACAAACAGAGGGGATATTTAGAGTTGCTGGTGCTTCAAGAAGAGTTAAAGAATTACAATATATTTTCAGTACACCTCCTGAATATGGTAGAAAATTAAATTGGGAAGGTTATACTGTTCATGATGCTGCTTCATTGATTAGAAGATTTTTAAATAATTTACCTGAACCTTTAGTACCACTTGCACTTTATGATGAATTTAGAGAACCTGTTAAATCAAGACCAAGAATCCTGAAACATATCAAGACAAGAAATGATTCAATTGAAAAAAGATTAAAAATTAAACAACAAAAACAAAATGGTGAAATTTTATCAATTGATGATAAAAGTGATTCTGAATTAACTTCAGAAGAATTAACTTTAAAAAAGCAAAAAGCTGCAAAAAGACAAAAAAAAATTGCAAAAGATCTTAGAAGCGCTTTAAAGCAATATCGTATCTTAATTGATAAATTACCTCAAGCTCAAAAACAATTATTATTTTATCTTTTAGATGTATTATCAATGTTTGCAGATAATTCACAATTTAATTTAATGCCTGCAAGAAATTTAGCTGCAATTTTCCAACCTTCAATTTTATCACACCCAAATCATGATTTAACTCCAGAAGAATATGCATTATCACAAGCTGTTGTGGAATTATTAATTGAATATTCTAAAAGATTATTACCAGATGTTCGTAAATATGAAAAAAATTCTGCAAATACAACAGGTACAAATGAATCTAATGAATTATCTTATTCAAATAGTGTTAAAAATTCTTCAACAAATTTATTATCAATTAATAGAAATCAATCAATTAATCATAAAAATAATAGACCTCATTCAAGATCTTTATCAAGTGCAGGTGGTGTACCTGATGGTATTAATCCAAAAGCTTATAATAATAATAATTCATCTAATCAACATAATCCTCATAGTGTTATAACTTCATCTGGTTTAACTAAAAATAGAACAAGATCAGGTTCAAATTTAATTGAAAATTTATCAAATCAAAATCATTCAGATGATGATTCTTCAGATGATGATGATATTTATCATCCTGCAAATTCTGATTATCCATCATCCCCCAAACAACAACAACAACAAACAATTTTATCAACATCACCAAAAATCCAAATTGATCAAGCACCTGATTTAGACCAAAATCCATCATTACAATCTACAACAATTTCATCACCAGAAACAAATACCATAGACCACGTAGTTGAAGGTGGTGGATCAACATCAACAAGATCAAGATCAATATCAGTACCAAAACATAAACCAATCCCAATACCCATTGTTAAAACTCCAACAAATTCATCAAATTCAAATTCTTTTAAAAGCAAGACATCACCTACATCACCTTCATTTCATGTTTCACATTTTTCAAGACCAAGACCATTATCAATGTTCACGGGGAATAGTAATTCATCTATAGAAGATTTTGGTAATGAAAGAGAAAGTAGATGGGGGAAAGATGATTTATTAGGGGTTAAGAAAGATCCTTGGTATAAAAGATTAAGAAGTAGTTCAAGATCAAGAAGTGAAAAAGAATGATGTTTTTGTTGTTTTATTCTGTGTTTTCTATCTTTTATGTTTGGTTTTTTTGGTTTTTGTTAGTTTAGGTTTTATCTTTTTTTACTCTTCTTTTAGGACAATCATTAATCAATTTTTTTTAGAAACTCTTTTTTTTTGCTAGGTGTTTTATAGTATTGAAAGACTATAGAGATGTGTTTTTTCAATTCCAATTGTTTTGAGTGTTTTTTTTTTTGTACGTTTGTTATATATTCTAATTAAATTTTCACATTCATTAATATAATATACATATGTAGCTAAAATTGATTGGCCTATTTGATATTTTAAATTTTTTGTTTTTTATCAAGATGTTCATCACTAGATTTTGAATCAATTTTTCTCTTCTCCACAGGTTCAACAGGTTCAATGATTAAAACATCATCATTATTATCATCAAGTAATTCAAAATCATCATCTTCATCTTCATCCTCTTTATTTTCATCTTTTTGTTCTTCAACTTTTGGTTTATTTGGAATTTCTAAATCTGGTAAATTAATTTCACCATCTTGGTTTAATTCAACATAAAAATCAATAGTTTTCTTAACATCAGTTTCATCAGAAATACTTAAATGTTCACCATATTTAATACCTAATTCCAATAATTTTCTTTCTTTATTATCATCAAAATCTGGATCATATAATAATTTTGATCCAAGACTTATTGAAATTTCTTCATCTTCATATCCATATTTATCAACTAATGCGGTAATCAAATCTTGGAAAGTTTTTTCATTATCTATATTAATAATACCACGAGGTATTGAACATGATGCACAATTTGGATTTGGGTCAGTTAACCATGAAGGTGAAACAAATTTTGAATTCCCTTGTGATGTATAAACAGATTTTGATTCTTCAATTTGTGTCCCGATGTCATTATTAAATAATTTAATTGATAATAATGCTGAAAATCCAGCAATTATAGCATTTGTTGTTGCAATTGCTGGTATTATATTACCTGCAATGGATTTAATATCAAATTTTGATTTTAATGGGATACCAAATATAAAAGATCTTAAATTTGCAGCTGAGGCAACAAATTCTAATGTATCTTCATCATCTTTATCAAATTCAATTTCCTTTTCACCTGATTTAACTCTTTGTTGTAAATTTTTAGTTGATTGGATGAAAACTTTTAAATTTTGTTCAATTGTCCATTGATTTTGTCCCGTTCCTAAATCTCCAGCTTTTGATAAATCAATTTGTGAAACATTTAATGGGATTGGTGGAGTTCTTGATTTCCAAAGACTTGTAATTAATAATAATTTTTCAATATCTTTTTGGAAAATTTTTTCAATAACTTTATTAGTAAAATTTTCATTAAGGATAGATTTTTTCAAATCATTTAATTCATTATTTTCATTAATTAAATTTTTAATTTCGTCTTTATTATCTGTACCTAAATTTTGATTTTCAGAATTTTCATCAATTGAAGAAATTTCATCTTCTGCAAATAATGAATTAAATAAAAAAGATTTTGCCCAATGAATACAATGAATTGGTTGTGATGGAGTTGATCTAATTGTACAAACTGGGAAAGTTTTTGGAGTTTCACGATGAACACAATCATAACATTCAGTTTTATTTGGGAATGTAGGTTGAGCTTGACCCTGAGTACCAGTGGTACCACTTTCCATAATTCTCTTATTTAAAAATAAACCAATTTTATTAATATAAGATCTTGCAGCAATATTATCTAAAGCATTGAAAATGATATCAAATTGTTTAAACCAAGATAATGGGAATAAATCAGTATCATAAATTGAACTTTGATATGGGATTAATTTAGTTTTTTGGAAATTAAAACTTTCCACTGCATTAACAGCAGTTGAAGCTTTTGGTTTCTTGATATCTTTTTGACGGAAAAGAAATTGACGATTTAAATTACTTAGATCAATTGTATCCAAATCAACAACATGAACTTCACCATATCCTAATAAGATCAAATCTTTTAATAATTCACAACCAATACCTCCAGCACCAACAAGTAAAACTTTTGACTATATGAATGTTAGTATACAGACACATACAACAACCCAATTAAAACCATACTTTTTGGATCTGTTCAAATCTGTCTTCACCAAGAACAGCTTGTAATCCTGATTTCCTAGTAGTCATATTCTTGTATATCTCTACCTTGTATTGTAATACCAATATTCACTAAAACGCGTATAAATCTATATTATTATAGTCCGAATTTGAAATAAAAGTCGCGAAAATATTCAATTCGCGAAAATGAATCAAATTCGCGGAAAGTGGTTACATCATCAATTACATAATCACAAATTCAAATTATCTAAGCAATGACATAATCAATTTTTGTATTTTCATATTTTTGTCTCGGTCCCGAAAGTGCTTTTAAAATCAAATCTGAGCTTCGAAGAAATCAAAAACTATTAAACTCTTCTTTTAAACACACCTTTATTCTACCAACCAACCCACACACATTGTTCCAATCAAAGGATCATAACATATCACAATGCTTTCCACAAGATTCATCTTAAGAAACTCAGCTGCTTCAGCTTTTGCAAGAAGAGCTTATTCAACTCAAGTTGCCAAATTTAATGGTCAAAAAAATGCAAATGGTAATTATGTTGTTTCATTTATTGAAGGTGATGGTATTGGTATTGAAATTTCTAAATCTGTTAAAGATATCTATGCTGCTGCTAAAATCCCAATTGAATGGGAATCTTGTGATGTTACTCCATTATTAATTAATGGTCAAACTACAATTCCAAAAGATGCTGTTGAATCAATTAATAAAAATTTAGTTGCATTAAAAGGTCCATTAGCTACACCAGTTGGTAAAGGTCATAAATCTTTAAATTTAACTTTAAGAAAAACTTTTAGTTTATTTGCTAATGTTAGACCTGCTAAATCAATTGTTGGTTATCCAACTCCTTATGAAAATGTTGATACTGTTTTAATTAGAGAAAATACTGAAGGTGAATATTCAGGTATTGAACATACTGTTGTTCCAGGTGTTGTTCAATCAATCAAATTAATCACTAAAGAAGCTTCAGACCGTGTTGTTAAATACGCGTTTGAATATGCAAGATCAATTAATAAACCTCGTGTTTTAGTTGTTCATAAGGCAACAATTATGAAATTATCTGATGGGTTATTTGTTGAAAGTGCAAAAGAAATTGCTAAACAATTCCCAGATGTTGAATTAGATTTTGAAATCATTGATAATACTTCATTAAAATTAGTTACTGATCCATCAAAATATTCAAATGTTGTTATGGTTATGCCAAATTTATATGGTGATATTATGTCAGATTTAGCATCAGGTTTAATTGGTGGATTAGGTTTAACTCCATCAGGTAACATGGGTGATAAAGTTTCAATTTTCGAAGCTGTTCATGGTTCAGCTCCAGATATTGCAGGTCAAAACAAAGCTAACCCAACTGCTTTATTATTAAGTTCTGTTATGATGTTACAACATATGGGTTTAGAATCTCATGGTGAAAGATTACATAAAGCTGTTTTGAAAACTATTGCTTCTGGTAAAGAAAATAGAACTGGTGATTTGAAAGGTACTGCAACTACTTCTCATTTCACTGAACAAGTTATTAAGAATTTAGAATAATTTTATAACTAGTCTTTCTATATCTACTATTATATATATATACCAATATTTAAGTTAATGAATAAAAAAAAACACAAAATGAACAACATAAACGTGGAATGGCATAGTCCATTTCCAATATAATATTCAATTCAAAACCTTGTAGATATCAATTGTTTTTGAGATCAAATCGATCAAATCTTGATATCAGAGTCAATTTTATGTGTCCCGTAGTCAAGATTTGATAAATAAGTATAATACCGAAAAAAAATTAAACTTAACTAAGTAAACCTTGAAATACATACAAAAATATACCAAAATACCATAGAATAAACCACACAATATGACACAAAAAATCACAGTATTAATATCAGGATCAGGTTCAAATTTACAAGCTATAATAGATGCTATAGAATCCAAAAACCTAGATGCAGAAATTCAACAAGTTATATCATCAAGTTCAGATGCTTATGGTTTAAAAAGAGCTGAAAAATTTGGAATTGAAACAAAAATTCATTCATTAAAATCATATTATCAAGATAAACCAAAAGGTGATAGACCACAATTACGTAAACAATTCAATAAAGATTTAGCAAATTTAATTATATATGGGTCCAAAGATGAAAATGATCCATTCCCAGGTTATAAAAAACCAGATTTAATTGTTTGTGCAGGATGGATGTTAATCTTATCACCTGAATTTTTATTACCTTTAGAAGATGAAGAAATAGATATCATTAATTTACATCCAGCATTACCAGGTGCCTTCGAGGGGACACATGCAATTGATCGTGCTTGGAAAGCTGCTCAAGATGGTGAAATTACTAAAGGTGGTGTTATGATTCATTATGTTATTCAAGAAGTTGATATGGGGAAACCTTTTGTTATTAAAGAAATTGAAATTCCAAAGGGAATTTCTTTAGAAGATTATGAAGAAAAAGTTCATAAAGTTGAACATATTGCTATTGTTGAAGGAACAATTAAAGCTTTGAAAGCTATAAAAGATAGAAAATGATCCTTGATGGATTTAAATAGTGCAATACATAATTTTTAACATTCCAAATTTAATTCATTTCTATATTATACAAATATTTTAAGCATCAACTTCCATTTCATCACCACCTCCAACAACTAATTTTTCAGAAACATCTACTAAATCATATATAGATTCTTTTAATATAGCAGTAGTACCTCTTGGGAATTTATAACTTCTTTCCTTTTGAGCTCTAACATTTGGAGTTAAGTAATTTCTTAATAATTGAGCATCTTTACCAACTTCCATAACACAAACATCAACATTTGAACCTGAACCTAAATCATTCCAAATACCAGCTTCAATTGCATCAGCAGCTAATTTTATAGCTTCATCTTTTGTAACATCTATATGCCATTTACTTTCCAATACAGCCATTGCAGCTAAAGAACCTGAACCTAAAGATTGATAATAACCAACATCTGTAGAACCATGAGCTTGAACTGAAAATAAATGAGCACCAGTTGGATCTACACCAGCAACAATTAAATAAGCACCAATATGACCTTGATATTTGAAAAGATGTTGTTTTAATTGAGTTAATGATGTAACAACTCTTGGTTCACGACCTGTACTTAGGGAATGTAATTCTAAATTACTTGCAATTAATTGAGTAACCATTTCAGTATCAGCAGCTGTACCAGCACCTGCACACCAAATCTTTGGAGCTAAACGATGTAATTTCTCACAATTCTTATCAGCAACGATATCACCAGCAGTGGCTCTTGTATCAGCAGCGATCTGTCTTTGTTAGTAAACCTCATTCATATAAATAGGTATATATCAATACTCACCACAACGCCACCGTCAAACTTGACACCGACAATGGTTGTACCTGTGGAAGTAGCAGTAGGAGCCCCATACCCCTTAGCCGAAAGGAATTGGTTTCTTTGATAGTTGTCGAAACTTAGACCGGCCATTTTTTGTTTCAATTGAGTGTTGTAAATTGTTCTTGATTGTGATTTTGAATTGGTTGATTTTTTGGTTTTTATTGATTTGAATTTGATTTTGATTTTCATAGGAATACTTTGGAATCGCGGTAAATGCGAGAGGAAACATTTGGGATATTGGAAATGTGAATTTATATAGTGGAAAAGGGGACCTAAATGGGAAGAAATCATAGAGTAATGAAGTGCATATGATAGAGCTAAATGTTAGCTATCTTATGGTGCAATTCCCATTGAAATATCATGGGTTTTTATGGATTTATGACCAATTAAGCCATCATCAACGACTGTCAATTCACGTCGGGCACTGAGAAGATCAAAAAGACAACAAATTCAAAAAGCGAAGAAGATCAAGACGAGAAGATCAAAGACAAAGACAGAGGTCAAGAGGATCAAGAGGATCAAGGTCATGGACTCCCACTCATATACTGCACCGTCACGGGTAAAGGCACTGCTGGTCCCATTGGGGAACGTCTCTGAAGTGGCATTCAAGAATTACGTGGAGAAAATCAAATCCTCATATGAAGTTAGACTTGTTGATGTTACACCAACTGAAAATTCATTATTTAATCCACAAGGATTCCCACAAGGGAGAGTTATTTATGATTTCCAATTATCTTTGAATGATCAAGAATCTATTTTCCTAAATGATTTTGAACCTTTTAGGAAAACTTTTGTTGTTATTGGTATAACTGATTCTTCAAATATTTCTCATAATGATTTAGAATTATTATCAAAACATTATAAGTCTTCAATAACTCATTCCATAATTGTATTTGGTGATGGAGACCATAATGACATGGAACACAAACAAATATTTCATCAATCAAATAAGATCAATATTGAAACTATACTTTGTGATATAACTGGATTATTTCTTAATGATTTAGCTTCATACCTTTCTTCATTTCAACATATTACACTTAGATCACCAGGAACAATTGGTAGTAATGATCGTATAAAAGCCATAGAACCTTCCAAAAGGAAAAGAATAAGTTCCGGCTCTTCATTATCAATATCAATGTCTGATTCAAATAATCCAAAATTATCACTAAGTTCATCAGCTGAACGTCGTCAATCAAAAGTTAGAGGTAGACAATTGAAAATTTTAGGAAATTTATATTTATTAGCTGGGAAATATAATAATGCATTAAAAGAATTGAATGATGCTGTTCCATTATTACGTATAAGTAATGATTATCTTTGGTTAGGTTCAACTTTAGAATCTATTGGTGTCTGTCTTGTTATGTTAACATTTTTAGGTGTTCCATATCAAATGCCATCATCATTAAATCAAATATTGCATACTTCAATGACTATTCCAACACCTTCTGCAACTCCAATTTCAACACCAAGAAATTCAATGGTTTTCAATGGCGGTAGCAGTAGTACCGGTACAGCTACCACTACAACAACAACAACCACAGGGAATCAAAGTTCTGTAAATTCAACAGATATTTCACGTTATACAACACCAGAATTAATAAATTTAATTTCTATAAAAGTTATTCATTATTATGAAATTTCACAAAATGATCATGAAGATTATGTACCACAATTAGTTTTCTGTGAATCAATCCTAAGATTTGTTAAATTTATGTGTGTTGTAAATATAGGTGGTGGGTTTAATCAAACAACTATTGATCATATAGTTCGTGGTAAAAATATAAGACCAAAATATTCAAATGTAATATTTGATAAGATGGAAATTGTGAAAATTGCAAATAAAATTTTAACTTTCCAATTGAAAACAATGGATATTCTTTCACAAGCTAAAATTTATACTTCATTAGCTTCAGTATTTGGTGATTTAAATTTATTAAGGAAAAGATCATTTATAATAAGAACTTTATTCATAAGTTTAATTCCAGAACTATCAAATAATGATCAATATAATAATAATAATGGGAAGAAAACTCATAATTTATCAGAATTATTAGATACTATATTATCCATATATGGAATTGGAAGATCACCAGAATCTTTAATATTGGATTCTTATTCATCAAGATGGGTTCAATTACATAAATCAATTTTACAATTATGTATAATCATATGTTCCAAAATTCAAGATTATAAAAAAATTGTTCAATTTAAATCATTATTAATTACAAGATATTCAGATTCATTAACAGATAATGAACAATCCAAAATTTTAAATGAAATTCAAAACATATGTAAAGAACAAGATTATATTCAATTTAATTATTTTGATCCTTTGATACTTCGAGGTTTAGAAGTTTTAAAACCAATAAATCCACCAAAAAAGCAATCCAATACAATAGTTAGTGATCAAACCACAAAAGCTGATCCATTTTTATATAATCCTTATGCTAAACCATTAGTAACGGATGAAACTTATTTTGTTCAGGATGAATTTATGGAATTTCAAATATCTGTACAAAATCCATTTGCATTCCCATTACAAATCAATGATGTTCAAATTGAATCATTTGAAATTTTGAAAAATTTCTTCATTATTCAACCAAAATCTCTTAGTGTGTTGAATGTATTAGTTAAACCAATTAAATCTGGTGTTTTGAAAATTTCAGAAATTGGTTTAAAAATTTTTGATTGTCAATTACAATTTTTTAAAATTTCAAGTAATTTAAAACCAGAATTTTTCAATAAATTAAAGAAAACTTCCAAAGATTTAAATGTCTCAATTTTAGAAAATTATGATGAAAATATTTTACAAAATAAAATTGAAGATAAAGTTATAACTCAAGAATTGACATTAAATGTTATTAATTCTCAACCAAATATTCAATTGATTAATGAGCCTGAACATATAATGCTTTTAGAAGGTGGTTCACAAACTATCAATTTGAAAATAAAGAATAATTCACCTATTTTGGCAAATCATTTAGAATTTTCAGTTTGGGATTCAACAATTGAACCTCTGAAAAATGTTTTAAATAATAAAGGATTACCATCAAATGAAGTTTATGAAATTGAATATTTCTTGTTTAAGAACCCATTAACCATTAAAACCGAAATTAAGGAATTACAACCATTTGAAGAGAAAACATTAGAAGTTGAATTGAATGGTAAAAGAGGTATGAATCAAGTTAATTTAATCTTGGATTACGGTCATAAATTACAAAATCAAGCATTTACAAGAAGAATGGAAATTCCAATTAAAATTATGGTTAATCCAAGTACTGATTTAGCTGGATGTGATATATTACCATTAGTTCAAAATGTTGATTCTAAAAGTGGTAAAGTTTGGTCATATATTAATGAAAAAACATCACAAACAGACAAAAATGGAAAAAATTTAATCATTTCAGATTTTGCTTTATTTTTAATTGATTTAAGAAATGTTTGGAATAAAACTTTAAATTTAGATATTAAATATGATGATTTTGAAATCAATGAATCTATTGTCCCTATGGAAACCAAGAGAATTTTAATCCCAATAAAAAGAATCCAACTAGATGATGATAATCTTGATATAGTACCAAGTTTATCTAAAAAACAATATATTTTACCTAAAATAACAAAAGCTGAAGATCAATATATTAAAGAAGCTTTTTGGTATCGTAAAGAAATTTTGAAAAAATTAAGTGGGAATTGGAAAATTGGTGAAATCACAGGTTCAATTGAATTTAGAGGTGTTAGATTATCTCAAAGAATGTTGACAACTTTAAAAACAGATAAATTAAATATTAAAATTGATGTTAAGACTGAATCACAAGATCATCCAGTTCAAACAAAAGGTTTATATAAATTAATCCCAATTGATGAATTCTTCACTATAAATATCAAAATTCATAATAATACATCAAGATCAATTAAAGGTGTATTAAGAAATATACCTATGGCTTCCAACTTTGGATCTATTGATAGAAGGTTGTTATTCAATGGGGTATTACAACAACCTTTATTAAATTCTATTAAACCAGATGAAACTTTAGAATTTAAAATTGGTGCAATAATCTTAGAAAAAGGTGAATATGAATGGGGGGTATTAATTGATGAACTTGATTCTGAAAGATCACATATTGCAAGAGATCCTTTAAAAATTATTAGTGTGTGATTTGCTGTCATATAAATATAGTTAATATTACATTTAGCATGAGACAAACTTTGTAACCACTATTCAAGAAGTAGTTGGTGATCCCACAAACCCCGTCTATACGCGTCGTACATACATTTGGTTAGTGCAGATACCTACTCAATTGATTCAATTACCAAAAGCGATAAAGCTAAAGTGACAGTTAATGTGATCACTGAAGTGACTCCCCAGTTTATTTTATGGATTTAAAGCCAATATTCCATAATCACTATTCAGCCAGTGGAATATTTCATGGAAATATGAAATACCGAACATTTTTTTTTTTTTTCGCGGGTACAAAGCTTAAAGGATTTCTTTTGTATTGAAAACATCAACACTTTTGCTTTATGAGATTCAACTAAAACAAAAAGTAGAAGGGCGCTTTTGTTAGACATGAGACATGGTGATATCTTAGATGGTCCTGGGTTGAGTGGTGGACTAGTTATCGAAGGCGCTGGGTTTGTGCTGCATATTCTGCAATGGATAAAGGTTTATGCTTCAAGTCTTCAAGTTACTAAAGTGTCATCTATTATTTAAAATGGTTTGTGCCTAAAGCTGTATTTAGTTATCAGAAGCTTGAATTTGAAGTTGATGCTTATAGGGATGATATAGGTTTCTGTGGTATCCATGATGGTTGTTTTTCCTCCAGTGTTTTTGAAGGTTATCGGTTTTGTGGTTTCAAAATTTTATTCAGCGGTAATTGACAAGTTAAAGATTTGGTGATTTCTCTGTTCAACATAACCCATCAGGATGTTCTCAACAGGCCACTGTCATTCACTAGTCGCTGTCATTCATTAAAATCTACAATTACATTAGAAAACAAAAGAACTACATTCAAAGCTATAGAAACAAGTCGCCTTCCAGGTGTTTATTTATCATTTGCTCCAAAATATGCTGCTCAACTGTACCACTCCAAATCAATTCAAAAGAGGTTTTAACATCAACTCTAAGGTCAATCCTGTTGAAAATGAAATTACTGGTTATAAGGTCAATTTTCCCGCTGCTCACAAGGTCAATTATCCTGTTGATAAGGAAATTACAACTGTTCATAAGGTCAATTTTCCTGCTAAAATAGAAGCTACAAGTGGTTATAGTGTTGATTATACGGATTGTGTTATACAACAAGAAGCATTTTACTTAAAATTTAAGAAGAACAGTAATCTTTCACTGATACTTACTAAAAATCAGAACCACAATTTTAATTGTTATATTATCTCAAATTTGAATGATGGCAAGATATGTGAAGATAAATTATGTGAAGCCATGCAGAGATATCTGTCATTACAGGAAGAATGTATTGTTGTTCAAGAGAAAATTAGTATTGAAAGATTACATTTATCATTAGACTACTACAATCAAAAGTTTAATGTTAATTTTTTCGTGTTGATTGAGGTTCAACCTCTTCTAGAATTATTGGAATTGCTGCAGGTGGAAAATGTTTGGCCAATTGTATATTTGCTGAACGAGCTTATGCTCTTAATAACACAGGAAGACGATACAATAGAAAATTTGGATTGAAATTTGATACCATGAAGAAAACCAATGGAAAATTGATAGAAATATGAGCCAAAAAAAAATTTCAAAAAACTCATATAAAAAAAAAAAAATTATCAAAAACTTTATCCATATGAATAAAATCACATGTGGAAAAACGTAATATGAATATCATGGTCATTGCAATTTGGTCACCACCCGAATAAATGATCATTATAATATTCATTAAAAAAGCACAAAAAAAAGCAAAAAACTGATTAAAAAAGCACAAAAAAAAGCAAAAAACTAATTAAAACAGCCATTTTTCTTTATAATTTCCATTCAGATCTTTAATTTCATCTTTCTAATTTATAAAATTACTCTTTTTCTAACCATTTCTTATTTTATTAGATCCCTATTTTCCCATTTGAGAGCCTGGTTAATTCTCTACTAGTGTCTCAATGATGATGGGGTTTTCCCCAATTAGTATTCAGTGATCATGAAAATTTTAATAAAATAAGATTCGATACTTTTGTAGACATTAAGAGACGACTTCAGATAAAACCTTCAACATGCGATCACACAATTGGTATATTATTGATTTGATCTTCTAACCATCAATTCTTCTTCTTCATATTGAGTATTTGAAGATAATAGACGACATATAACTTAGCTTGACCAACATGTTTGGAAGTCACATTTTTGCTGAAAAAATTTGATGGATATTAATTTTGACCACTTCATGAAGCACCTCCACAGATATACCAATTAATATTTCAAAACCAAATAGAGGCCACAATCAATGGTTAATATCCATGAAGAGATGATTTAAATGAGAGAAGAAAATATAAAACATACTTTCAGTCTCATTTATATTCTTTCTGTGAGAACATTGTTTTAAAAAGGATACCAAAATGAGGCATTTTGAAGAGATAAATTATGAGTGTTTTATGATTATGAGAAGATTAAGACCAGGTACTGAGAATAAGCACATCCCTGCTTATAGAAGTCAAATAGTTAGCTTTTAAAATGAGGGATAACATTGTTTTGGCACTCAAAAGTCCAATCAATCGTGTATATTGTCTTCTTGAATAATTTGGGCTTTATACCCACTGTCATGAATCCCGTGTCATTAAACTTCTCAAAACGGGTAAAATTGATGGACTTTATAAAATTTCGCGAAGTTTTTTTGTAGTTTTCAAGTTTTTTCCAATGAAATGAAAATAAAGTGAATAAAAATAAAGTACTTTGGAGATCAGAATATATCTAAAGAGAACATAACTACGTCAAAATGGTTAAAGGTCCTGCTAAATATGGTGGTAAGTCTGGTACTTTACCAGTCGTACGTCAAATCTTCAAAAAACCTATAAAACCAGTGGAGAGAATTCCAGATAAAAATTCAGGTTATGCTCCAAATGTTAAAGAACCAAGAAATTCATCTCGTGAACAAAAATTACCAGAATTTATGACTATTAAAGATCGTATTAATAAAACTGTTCAACTACCTAAGAATCAACCTACAAATATAAATGCCAGAACTCCAGAACAAAAATTAAAACAAGAAAAAGCACAACTTCGTCGTCAATATTTTATTCATAGTATGAATACTGAAGAAAATAGATTAAAACAAGAAAAATTAGATGAAGAGAAAAGAATAGCTTTTGAAAAAGCTCAAGAGGAAAAATATATGGTTAAACCATCACCATTAGCTGAGTTAACTTTACCAACACTTTCATCATATTTAGATGGTCCATTAATGAGACAAAGAACAAAAGAAGAAACTAGATTATTGAAAACTAAAAGAAATGCAAATAGATTAAATCTTGAATTTGAAACTAAATTAAATAGATCATCTGATTTATTACAATTATATTATAGTGCAGAAAATTTCATTACAAAAGAATCAGATTTATTAAAAGCTGTGGAAGAAGCATTTGCACCAGGTAATGAAGTTATTCCAGCTTCTAATCCAGAATATATTGGGAACCATTATGCTGAAGATGTTGGTGATGCATTATTTGGTACTATTGATAATCATCCAGGTTTAGGACATGTTGAAGGTCAATTAAATGGTGATAATAAGAAATTTAAACAAGAAGTTGCAGCAAGAGCTAATGAATTATTGAATCAACATAAAGAAGTTGATGCGTAAATAAAGGCACAAACCACAACATAAAGGAGAACTATAAATAATTGTTTTGTATATAAGTTTTTTGTTCAATTGTAAATATATAAATTATAATGAAAAAAAAAATAAGTCATGTTGCGCGTACCGCGTAGTTTATTATACTAATCTTAAAATTTCACATACAGAACTTTTTACCATATTTTCAAAAGAACAATATTCAAATATCAAAAGCTCAGTTGAAATATTGTATGAATGATGAATCGTGAAGAAACAGAAGAAAATGAATCAAGAAACAAGTAAAGATTCTAATACACCAGCCGGTAATGGACATTCAATTACAAAATCATTTGATATACGTGATTTAATATTAAAACAACAAAGATCTCAACAAGAATCCAAAATTATTAATGAACCCCAAGTTATAGATGAATCAGTACCCATAGCTAAAGATGAATCTATATATGAACCTCCATCAACTCCAAAATCAAATAAAAGTTTATTAACTGATGATTCAGAATTTCAAACACTAAAAGAAATTAAACAAGAATTAAAAGATGATGAAGAAGTTCCAATAATTTTGAAAAGTCCAATTGATAGAGTTATGAGTAGAATGAAAAGACAAAAACAAGTGAGTAACATACCTGTGATTGTTCATGAAGTTAATACTAATATGTGTGGAAACTAGGTTGAAGCTTATAAAGAACGTCATATAAATGAAGTACGAAATGAACGAGCACAAAGAGCACAAAATAGAGGATTGAAAAGGAGTAGTTCTCCTATGGATGATGGTGGTTATGATGATGATTATAATGAATATAATGACGATATGAAGAATATGAAGAAAAGAGTTAAATTTGATTTACCTGATGATATATCAACTGATGAAGATGATGATGAAGTTAATGAATAAGTGTGTTTTTTTGGCTCTATAAAGGTGGATTACTGGTACATCTGAATGGTTGACGCTTTGCTTTGATCAATTCTGATTTCATGAGGTATGAATTGCTATTTTGAAGAAATAGAGAAGTGAACTCAATTATCTAGAGTATATTATGAGGATTCGCATATCATCTGGGTAGGATTTCACTAAGCATATATGTTCTCCCCAGAAATTAGCTTATAATACTCTCTTTAAATATTAGCTTCTAATGGGTGTACACAAAAATTACTACTTGAAAAGAAATCAAATATTGGCTATAGTATACTTGATACACTCCAACAATGAACCAAGAAGGTATCAAAGATCTATTAATTTACACCACTAATATCCTAATTAAATTTATATTCTATTATACAATACTTTTTGTTGCAAATTAAATAACCACTTTTGTATTCATTGTAAGTAACATTTTCATAATCATCATTGTTTTCCTATTATTTTTCAATTTCTAACAAGTTTATGTCTCCAAACTTGAAATCAACGTTATATTATCACCCTTAAGTAATATTCTACCTAATTCAACTTTTGAATTATCCTTTTGATTAACTTCAAATGCTTCATCAACCACTATATTCATAAATTCATCAAATCCCTAAGTAAATTGTTAGTAAAAAAGACAGCTTATACCTCATAAATCACAGTACACAACACTCACCCTTATCTTTCCTTCAATTCTGAATTCTATTTGTTCAAATAACCAAATAACCACTGTGGATTGTTGTTGTAGATATTTAAATATTAAATTGATTGGAGGAACAAGCTATAATTCCATAGTTAGTAATCCAAATTTAACCAAAAAAAAAAGGATGTGATACGCACTTGTTTCTGTTGTCTTCTGCCTGACATTATATACCCCTTTCCACTTTAAATTAGCTGATAATTGTCCTTTTAAAACTATTTGATTTCTAGTTAATTTTGATCAATATCAGCTTCAATTTTCATAGTAAGTATTAAAGATCCAGAAAAGTCGGGTAAATTGATGACGTAATCACAGATCAACGAAATAAATTCGCGAATTCATTTTCTCGATATTTCATTTACTGATGAATCAATACATTGAATGTTTGGTTTATCTGAGAAAAAGAAGAAGATTTGGAAGCAAAGTCATCAACTACGACCAAAACGAAACGATGGGACAAGCTAAGCTATTCCTTACCTTCAAAAGCTCCAAAACCGCCTATTACTCATCAAACTAATACATTAAAATAAAAATAAAACCAATATGTGAAGAAGCTAGGACCGGTTAAAAAGTTCAATAGAGTGTCTTTAACAATTTTATAGAAGAATTACATAAGTATGTATACAATAAACAATTTTGTAAAAAAAAAAAATTGTTTTGATTTTAAATTAATTTAAACAATAAAATTGAATATTTTGGAAATCAGATAAGCTGCTTTTTCAAGTCTTTGAAGTCATAGTTAATCAAGGTCGACAAGATGAGTGACGTCGTGGGAAAGATCACCGAGGCTCTCCAATTGATGAGCTCCAATAGCTCTGATAAAACTACAGCATTGCATTACCTAGAAGAATTCCAAAAAACTCCAGATGCCTGGCAAATTGTTCATTCTATCTTATCAAATGATTCAAATCCTTTGGAATTAAAGATGTTTGCTGCTCAAACTTTGAGAAATAAGATGACTTATGATTTACATCAAGTTCCAACAGAATCATTATCAGGTTTAAAAGATTCCATTATTCAATTCCTTATACAATACAGTGAAAGTAATAGACCAATTAGAACTCAATTATCAATTGCATTAGCCAAATTGGCTATTCAATATGTTCATTGGTCAAATGCTTTAGAAGAAGTTTTCAACAAATTAAACCAAAATATCCCTGCATTATTAGAATTTTTGAAAATTTTACCTGAAGAATCCCTTGATCCAAAGGGTACACCAATGACTGATGAAGAATTTGGTATTAGAACTCAAGAATTAATCGTGGCTAACGTGGAAAGAGTCCTTTTGTTATTATCAAATTATGCTCAAAGTTCATCAGATTCAAAAGCAAATTCACTTATATTGGATTGTTTAAATTCTTGGATTAAAGAAATTCCAGTTGATCAACTATTAACTATTGAACCTTTAACAAATATTGTTTTCCAATCTTTAAGAGATGAAGATGCTTTTGATAGAGCTATTGAATGTTTAATCTCAATTGTTAAAGAAACTTCAGAAATTGAAAATATTCAATTGATTCAAGCTTTATTTGAACAAATTATTCAATTAAAACCATTATTACAACAAAATAAAGATGATCCTGATGTATTTGGTTCATTAGCAAGATTATTTATTGAAGCTGCTGAGACATGGAATGTCTTGATTGCAAAAGCACCAAATGATTTTGCTCCATTAGTGGAAATCATATTGGAAATTTCAACATATGATGAAGATTTAGAAATTGTTAAATATACTTTTTATTTTTGGTATAATTTAAAACAATCAGTTACATTGGAAAGATACAAAGAAGCTCGTTTGAAATTTACGCCAATTTTCACTCAATTAATTCATATTATGATTAAACATTTACATTATCCAGATGGTAATGAAACTGACCCATTATTTTCAAATAATGAAGAAAAGGAAAAATTTAAAGATTTTAGATATGATATGGGTGATGTCCTGAAAGATTGTACCGCAGTAATTGGTGCACAAAGAGCTTTAATCATCCCATTTGATCAAATTAAATCAAGTTTAAATAATCCAACAATAAAATGGCAAGATGTTGAAGCTCCATTATTTAGTTTAAGAGCTATGGCTAATCAAGTTAGTTTAAAAGAAAATCAAATTTTACCACAAATTATGGATTTATTAGTTCAATTACCTGAAAATACCAAAATTAGATATGCTGCAACTTTAGTATTGGGTAGATATACTGAATGGACTTCAAAACATCCAGAATTTTTGGAAAAACAATTAAATTATATCATTAATGGATTCCAAGCTTCAGATGCAGATATTATTACCGCGGCATCACATGCATTAATGTACTTCTGTACAGATTGTTCAACATTATTAACAAATTATATCGAACAATTATATAATTTTTATGTCAATATTTTTGGTTCTTCAATTATTGATAAAACTTCACTTTATGAAATTACAGAAGGTATTGCACATATTATTAATGCTCAAGATTATAGTAATGTTGCTAACGCTGCTACAATGTTTATTAAACCAATTCTGGAAAAAATTAATGGTTATGTTACAGCTCAAGGTTCAGAAGATCTTTATAAATCAATTGCAGAAGAAATTGAAATTGTTAGAATTTTTTTGGAATTTATTAGACCTCGTGATTTCCAAACTCCTGAAGATCCTGTTGCAAATTTAGTTATTGAATTATGGCCAATGATTACTGGATTATTAGATAACCATGGTCATTCAATAAAAGTTTCAGAACGTTGTATGAAATTTACTAAAACTGCATTACAAACTTATAATTCTTTTTTAATTCCAATATTACCATCAATTGCAAATACTTTAGTTAAAGGTTTCCAAACTACAAATTTTGGTTGTTATTTATGGGTTTCAGGTGTTGTTATTAGAGAATTTGGTGATGAATATTTTTCAAATGAAGTTAAAAATTCAGTTTGGAATTTTGCATATCAACAAATTTCAACATTTTTAACAGTTTTTAAAAATGCAAAACCAATTGATATCCCAGATTTAATTGAAGATTTTTTCAGAATGATGTCTGATATTATAATGTTTTTCGTTACAAATTATGTACTTTCAGATTTATTAACTTCAACATTTGAAGTTGCATTATTAGCTTTAGATATTGAAAAATTTGAACCATTAATTGCAACATTACATTTCCTTATTGATTTAATTTCTTGGGGGTTTGATGTTCCACCAATTTCAATTTATGAAGATGTTCCACCAGAAATTAAATCAACAGTTCAAAATTTCATTGGTCAACATGGTAATGAATTATTAAAACATGTATTACATGGATTAATTTTTAAATTCCCACAAGATACTCATACAGATGCATCAGATTTATTAAGTAAAACTATAAGATTATCACCATCACCAGAAATTGGAGTTAATTGGATTAATTATTCATTAGATTCATTACCTGCAAATTCTGTTTCTCAACAAGAACGTGATAAATTAATTAATACTATATCAAGTGCTTTAATTTCAAAAGATCAAAGAAGAATCAGAATTAGTTTAAAAGATTTTGTTACTTGGTATTCAAGAAAAAATATATCTCCAAGATTTCAAAGTGGTTATTAAGTAACCCCAACTGCCATTGTTTATATAGTTGAATAGCATATTGTTTTTTTGAAGATGTTTGGAATATATAATTAATTATATCAATTATGTAGTCATATTTACATTGTAGTAATATAGTATATTTTGTATATTAGTACATAAGCACACAATGTGAATTTGTTCACAAGATTAATTAGATAAAGATTAAATATAATGAATAGGAAAAAAAGATTGAATCAAAAGCTGAAAGTAATTATTATAAAATGTTCATATTTTTATCTTGTTTTAATAAATGGGATTAATTTTCAATAATTTATCTTGATCTTAATTTATCAAAAACATTTGGATAAGTTTCAGCAATTTTATTAAATCTATTTGGATAACTTTGTTGATAAACTTCAGGATCACGAGCTAAAGCAATGAAAAAAGTTGAAGTACCAGATCTTAAAGGTTGAGTAACAATATTTGAAATTTGCATAGCAATTGTAAAAGTAAATGCAACAACTGGGGCATAAAATGTACCTTCTGAATTATATTCAGGTTTTGTTAATCTAACATATAAAAATGCTAATAAAGCACAAGTATAAGCATTAAATAATGCATAAAATCCTAATGCAGTACCAACTAAACATTGATTAACTAAAGCATCAATACCCTTTTGTCTAATTAAATGCCATGTTGCCTTTGCTGAACTAATATAACTTTCACCATATAATGCAATATAAGAATAAGCATATTGATTAAAGAAACGAGCTAACCATTCAATAATGTTTAATAAGATATCCAAGATTAAATAACCACATTGAGCACAATTTTCTCCAGCAGCTGAAGCATTTTGACGTAAGATATTTAAACCTTGTTTTAATAAATCAATAAATGTAACAATTAAAGAACCAAAACAAATTGAACCAAATGAATAAGTCATAGCTCTTTTGAAAGCACCAGAAGCTGGATGTTTTGGTTGACCTTGATCAGATTGTGATAAATAATACCAAGTACCATAAATACCTGAAATTGTAACATGAATAACATTTCTAATAACTTCAGTAATATAATAACCTGCAAAGAAAACAAAAACTAATATACCAATTAATTTACCTTTTGAACAACCACCACCTGAAACTGAACAACCTTCATTTGATTGTTTTGGATCATATTTCATATAAGTTGCAACAACAACTGCACTAAATAATATTGAAAAGACACCAGAAACTAATAAACCTAATGCAGAAACAATTAATGAAGATTTATAATTCTTCATAACATCAATAACTGTAACTAAAACTTCTGCAGAAAATGGAATTCTTGATCTCATACTCCAATAACACCAAGCAGAAATTAATGTAAAAACTAAGAAAACAACAGCTGCAGAATAATAATGCATAACAAAATAAGCAATTGCAGTACCAATACCCATAATAATATTAACAATAATACCAGTTGTAATGAAACCTTTTGGATGAATTCTTGCAAATGCTAAAGTTGAAGCTGCAATAATTAAAGCAACAACAATAACAAATACAAATAAAATAACAGTATTTGTATTTAAAGTAAAACTTGAAGTATTATTATAAATACCTGAACCTTGTTGAGCATAAGTTTGAGCATAACCTCTTAAAGTTAAAGCTGCAACTGCAATAAATCCAGCAACAACAGCTAAAAAGAAGATTGTAAAAGGAATATCATTCCATTTTGGTTTTTCAACTTGGAAAGCTTCATCAAATGTTTGACCTTGAGGATTTGGTAAACCTTGTTTTTCATCACCATAGTAATTATTATTATCTGGTTCACCTTGATATTCATGTGGTTGAACAAAAGGGTCTTGATTTTGACCTTGTTGGCCTTGATTTTGATTTTGATTGAATAATGGCATGACCTCTAATACCTTTAATATCCTTTCAATTGATTAAATTAGATTAATATCTGTAATTTTATTTTTGACAGAACAATAATGCAGGTGTTATAGTTTGGGTATAAGACACAAAAAAACAATTATTCTCAATTCTATATGAATATTGGTCTTTGATAAACTAACCAGAATATACCTTTCTAATCAAACAAAAAAAAAATTAAATTCCTTGCAATTGAATTGATAATCAAGATCTAATTAACCTTAAAAAGCTTGAATTTAAATTGTAATTGCTCTTTTGTTTTCATTTTAATAGCAAATATTCAAATTCCAAAGTACCTGAAACTAGCAGATGAGCATGGTAAGAAAAACTGGTACAAATCCCAAAAGAGTAAACATTGACAAAACGGGAAATGGTTATATATCTCAGTGGCCCTGGTCTTTTCTCCCGCGAAATTTGGTAATTCCGCTTATTACATTGTATGGAGAAGTAAAAGTGGTGTCAAATATCAAGATTCAACAAAGATCAAATTGATTGTCTTGATTGTCCAATTGATTGTTCAATTAGATCAAGATCATGTTAAAACATCTTTTCAAACAGGTTAAACAAGGTATGTGATCTCAAATCTTTTGTGTTGATATTAGTTAAACTAATAATTATCCCAGTTATTGAACCAGAAACAATACAACCTTTTAAACAAATTCTTGATTTTAAAAGACCAAATGAATTATCCAAAGTATTGGTAAGATCTGATCAAGAACTTGGTGGATTCAGTACTGCACATTTAGATATTGTTGAAAATAAAGTTGCACATTTCCATGGGAATTTAAATTTAGATCCACCACCAAATCGTCCAGATGTAATGTTTAGTGGATATGCAATGTTTAGAACCAAGGATCAAGAAAATGATTTATTTGGTAGACCTAAATTTTGGGATTGGGAACCTTATCATCATGTTGAATTAAGAGTTAAAGGGGACACTAGGAAATATTTTGTTAACATTCAAGCTGATACTGGATTATTAACTGATATTTATCAACATCGATTATTTTTAAATAATCCAGGAAATTGGGAAACTGTTGTTATACCAATTGATGATTTTATCTTAACAAATTGGGGGAATATTCAAGAACAATCTGCTATTGAAAGAGAACGTATTAAAACCATTGGAATTGGATTATTAGATAAACAATTTGGTCCATTCAATTTATATATTGATTATATTAAAGTATTAACTCGTGATGGTGTTTCAACAAGAGTTAAGAGTGAAATTGCAGCAAAAGAACGTGAAGAGTCTGATGCTCCTGATTTTGGGAATGCTAGAATTTGAATGGTTTATTTTGCCACCAAACTTATATTTATGTATTTATTTATTTATTCAAAACAAATTTAACCGCTGAGACCGGTAACAATAATACAAATTGTAAGCCCTATAAATGTCACATGACTATCGTTACAAGCCCTAATATATGTGACTGTGGTGTTCAGATGTCCAAATACCCACCTGGTAAGCACAGCACAAACAACTTTCAAAAACACAAAACACCAAACAAAAGTTCACGAACCCACAACTCTGTTATTCGCGAAAATAAGCACTACTATCGTGAAAAAATTTGTATGGCGTGTCCCTTACCGGTGTTTGCTGGGAGGAATTTTGGTATGGTAGTTGGTTGAATTATCAAAAGATAATAAGGAAAAAAATTACCTTCATTTGAAATATTAGTTTGAAAGAGTAGCTAATAACCCTCAAGAAATTATACAAAAATGGCTAGAGGACCGTAAGTGGAATCAAGATATATTGGGAATTGGATTATGAAGAGGAAGATTATATTACTTTTGGAAGAATTATGGATTGTTAATATGTTATTATCATTGATTTATTGAAGAGTTTTCAAACAACAAAAATGAGATTTTAATTAAGGAATGAATAGATCAAGAGAATAGAGATCATAGAATAATGAAAAGAAGAAGGAATCAGTTTTTAGAAAGATAGTCAGAGATCAAATATCACTTGAAATACTGAACTTTAAATGAATTTTCACATATATCAAGATTCACTAGAATATAAACTTATAGTTTAGTCAACATATTACAAAAGATCAAACCTCCTTTAACAATCACATTCCATATCAATAACTAAAGTACAAATACTAACATAATTCAAATAGAAAGAAACATCTTAAACGTCTTGCAGCTCCATCCCATTGGATGTTGGACAAGTTAAGTGGTACTTATGCTCCACGTCCATCTGCTGGTCCACATAAATTAAGAGAATCATTACCATTAGTTGTTTTCTTAAGAAACCGTTTAAAATATGCCTTAAACGGTCGTGAAGTTAAAGCTATTTTAATGCAACGTCATGTTAAAGTTGATGGTAAAGTTAGAACTGATGCTACTTTCCCATCTGGTTTTATGGATGTTATTTCATTAGAAGCTACTAATGAAAATTTCAGATTAGTTTATGATGTTAAAGGTAGATTTGCTGTTCATAGAATTTCTGATGAAGAAGCTTCTTATAAATTAGGTAAAGTTAAACAAGTTGCTTTAGGTAAAAGAGGTGTTCCATATGTTGTTACTCATGATGGTAGAACTATTCGTTATCCAGATCCAGCTATTAAAATTAATGATACTGTTAAAATTGATTTAGAATCTGGTAAAATTACTGATTTTATTAAATTTGATACTGGTAAATTAGTTTATGTTACTGGTGGTCGTAACTTGGGTCGTGTTGGTGTTATTACTCACCGTGAACGTCATGAAGGTGGTTTTGATTTAGTTCATATTAAAGATTCTTTAGAAAACACTTTTGTTACTAGATTACAAAATGTTTTCGTTATTGGTGAACCAGGTAAACCATACATTTCATTACCAAAAGGTAAAGGTATTAAATTATCAATTTCTGAAGAACGTGATCGTAGAAGAGCTCAATCAGGTTTATAAATTGATTAAAAACTTAAATAACCTTTATATATTTTGATATAATGTCATAAAAAAAAATTATTTCGTTTGTTATAAGATAATGATATTGTAGAGTATGTACTACGAGAATATACTGTATGAGAAAAAGTAATACACTATTTGAATTCAAATCTGATCAATATATCAATGTCCTGTAAAGAACACTTCAAAATGAATCAAAGATAAGAATCAATAAGTGATCATATATTGATATGGTTAATAATTATATTGAAAGGCCATAATGGTTTAATTACCCCTTAACAGCTCTTAACATCCATAATTTTAGAACTAGCAAATAAAATCAAACTGCTTCGAAAATACATTGGTAAGCTAATATACTTAGTAACAACCTGTCGTTCAGAAGGTAGCTATGTTATATGTACAATTGTAGCTTCTTGTAGTTAAGCTGTGGTAATAATCATGGTAAAAGTCAGAAAGTAATCTTTTGTTTTCTTGAATCGATTGCGATATTTTGTGTTATGTAATCATATATAAAATTAAACCATATCAATGTTCAAGATTTAGTACAATTAATCCTCATCTCAGTGTATGTTGTTGATCTTATTACATCTACATTTCATTTCGAAATCAGTTTAGTCAAAAAAGAATCAAATGAATCTCATTAAAGTTGATCATTAACTCAATAACCTCGAGAGGTATATCATCAATGAATCCAAACTAAAAGTATTGAAACACTGTATATTGTTATATTGATGAAATATTGTTATATTGTATTAAAATATATTGTCATAATATCATATCATCAGTATCTAAAACACACATAAAAGGTACTAAAATATACACATCTCCAATAACAATACTTTCAGAAAAAGCGCATTTAGGGAAGAAAACAAATCAGGATTCAGCACCTAGTACTGTTAGTTAGTTCAGTACTGTTAGTTAGTTCTGGATAGCTTAAGATGAAATCCAATGGTGAAAATAATGAAGCCTTTAATGCAAATGGTGAGAATGTAGTTCCAGTGGTTCAAGATAGACCCCTATGTCGCTGATTACAACTATAAGATTATTTCAATTGAATGAAAAATATTTGAAATTTTTGTACTGTATTACATAATGACTATAAGTAACCAATTAAGCTTGTTCTTAATATGGTCGATTATATTACCAGAATTTTACATAGTATATAGCTATAGGATTAATTTTGAAAGTCTACAACTCACTTGAAAGTACGTAGGATTGAAAAAGTCATCACGATCTATTGAATTCAAATCTGATCATTATATAATTGTCTTGTAAATGACAAGTAATTCAAATGAATCAAAGATATGAATCAATTAGCTGTAGGATCATTTATTAATGATTCAATTGATTATATTGTGGGCCTAAGTGGGTATGCTAATTAGCCTTTAACTAAATCTATCCTCAACTTTTATAATCACTGAATTCCCATATTAACAATCATTTAATCAAAAATATGAATATAGAAATACTAGAACACAATTACTATAAAAATATAATCACATCTTTTTACGGAAAAAACGTTCATCAAATCTGTTATATTGATCAGAATGAACATCACGGATTCACTAAATAATACCAAATCGCCCATAAATATAAGATCTCGTTTTGTTTGATATTTGATTTTTGGAGTTGATCATTCAAAATATGTAGCTTTTAAACGTCGACGATTTTTATAAAATTAATTCTATTTTTTGTGCGCGCGCTGTATATGATTTTTTGTTATATAATACATTAAAATTTAAAAATTTAATAATGATAATATCATAATGTATAGTCAATATTTATCAGCTGTTTGATCATTGATCAATATCCCGCTTTTATTTCGATAGTGAGTAAATAATAGTTGACATGCATGTATGAGCTAAACTACAGTTCATTTGATAAAAATTGGAAATGAATCTCATTAAAGTTGATCAATAAATCAATCCCTGATTAAGGATTTCATCAAAGAATCTAAACTTCAAATTGAAACATTGTGTATTCATGTACCATGGGATATCCATCGTGTATATAAGACTACCCATTGATACTTGATTAAATCATTGCTTGAAATGGGCACCGAATTTTAGCGTACTCTATTATCAAAGATATCTGCAATAACTATCAATTCACTATTGAAAACATAGACGAAGTAAAAACTGACTCATTATATATAAAGAACTTAACCCGGTATCATAAACAATTGACATACCAAGAGCTCAAAAATTCCACCAACTAGTAGATTTAACGTCTGGTTACCATCAATATGCAAATGAACAATGTTCGAATGTTAGTTGGGCACTTTGCAGATGAGAACTACAATTTTCAAAAAAAAAATCCTTCGTACGAGTATTACATAACCAATATGGGTACATACAGCTTTAAGTACTACAGATCACAATGATATTTTAAAACAAAGGATAGTTTATTGAATTCAAATCTGATCATTATATAGATATAACACTCGAAGAATATGGTTCAAATGAATCAAAGATAAGAATCAATATTATATTTTTATATTAGATTGAAATGTCAACATATATATAGTGTTCAGTGTTCAACGTTCCACATATATTAATAAACATATGATGTCAACATATTTTGTAACAACAAATGAAATTTCGAGCATACCCACTGAATCCACAAGACACCGTAGTTGTAGTTTTTTGTTCTTTGTTGAAGATGTTCTCAAAAGAAGCATTGTCCAACATGCTGACGATACACATGTTATCTTCTCATTCAAATAATAAATTCACCATAGAAGAGGAGCTGAACTTTGAAACAGTTGAATCAATACATGATTATTAAACAGAATAATGTGGTCAAAATTATCAAGCTAGATTGTTAAGATGGTTAAAGAATCAAAATCTTTTCCGTGAAATTCATAAAATGGCCGCCCCCAGATTCAATAGAGATTATGTAACACAAAAGATTATGGACACGTCGATGTAAACTAGTCAGTTACTTTCAATTATATTGTTAGCCATTACCCATTTATTTCTTCTAGTAGGCGTTGCATGGTTAATATGGAGATGTATGTGATTTGATCTTATAACTTCGCTACAATTCTTTCATTGAAAATATTGAAAATGAAACTCATCAAAGTTGATCAATAATTTTATCCCTTGAAAAGGACTTCATCAAAGAATCTAAACTTCAAGTATTGAAACAATGTATATTGTACCATAGGATATCCATTTTATATATAGAAGACTACCCATACTGATACTTAGATACCTTATTGCTTGGAATTGGTCTGCTCCAGTGGACTGTATAACCAAAAATCTTTTTACAATAAGTACCATCAATTCATTTCTAGTATGAAGCATCAAGTTTGAAGAACAAAATAATAGTACAATGTCCCATATTTAGAAGAAAATAAACTCAAATCCACTAAATAAAGGTTGCCAG